CTTTGAGTTTTACAAGTCATTAAATTCGGAAAGGCGAACAGCTGAGTATTCTTGGAAATATGCAAAAAATGTTGTTCTATAAATTTGAAAATATTTATTTGATATGAATTTTCATTGTCTTTCAAGTAGGTTCTTGCATATTTCCTTTAATTGTTCTGCATTCTGAAGATGTTCTCCTTTTGCCTTTTGGCCAGCCCATAAGTTGGCTATATATTTTTTTCATTTTAAAACTTGGCAGATTCTTCAAAGACACGATCGCATATTTCACTGGCAGCCCATTGTCTTCGGGTTTTCCTGAGGTGTTTAGTTTTTTCTCACAAATAGTGCCTTGTTCTAAATTTTGGTGGGGCACGCGACTCTTTCCTGTGATTTATCTATGTTTACCGACTTTGTTTTTTGTTTAAACTGTTGGTCCGCCAGAAAACAAAAAGAAGGAAAAACTCATTAATTCTGATGGATCAAAGCTAAGCGGAATATTATTCCGATGAAAGTGGAAAGCTTAGTGGTCTCTTTGAACATATTTATGATCGGTTCGACAACATATTTCCCGGGGAAATTAAATGTTTTTTAATAAAACAAAATTTACGACAATGATCATGTGGATTGTCAGCATATGTCTATAATTAACTTAAAATATATTTGGCAATTAATAAATTTGATAGTAAACTTGAACTAAAAGGTGATTCACCATGCGCTATATCATTTTTTTGTTCTATGTTAAATAATTTTGATTTTTTGTCAACAACAGCAGACTTTTCATTTCTAACTAATGATCCTCCGCCTGGCAGTATATAAGAGATAATTTTTTGACAGCAAGCAAAAAGCCATTGGAATTTCTCTCTATATAGAAGACCTCTTCCCGATTTCAAAAATATCCCGAATTAAATATAAATTCAGACACGTGCATTATAAAGTCTGACTAAAACTTATCGTTCCAGCATACGAGTATAGAAAGATATTGGTTTATAAATAGGTTTTATGCATTTGTGACATATCCAGAGTATATGTTGACGGAGGGATGGGAACTATAAGAGCTATATATTATGTTCTATGTAGAGAATATACATATGTGACTGGGAAATACATAGAGTGTGTGTCCTATATTTGACCTCAACGAAATTCAGGAACGAAAGTTGTTTTTATTTTTCGAGCTTGATGGCGTGGGAAAGTATAAAAGCAATTGTAGGCGTTGGTGGAAATTTCTTTGGAAAGACAAAAGATTAGTAGCCACTCAGTCGATGCACAGCATTCGTTCAGTTGAGAAGTGATTTGGACTCCGGGTCCCGACTACCAAGGATTATAAAGCAAGGATATACATATCCAACCAAGAATTTCCCTAACCTATATACATATATTAGTGGGTGTGTCTCTCTAGCAGAGGAAAAGTATGTGGAATATTTGTGTAATATAATTAAATTAGGTTTATTTAATTATTGGAAGAAGTGCTCCATAGTTATACGGTATCATGTACGAAAACATTTTAAGAACTCTTGGAATTCTTTTGAGGCAAAGAACATTTGGTCCAATCAATTTACTTTTCGGTGCGACACAAAAATAACATCGACTTCGATCTTTAGATCTGTGCAGAGAACAGAAATAGAAATAGAAATTGTTGAATAAAAAATGGCACGCAGATTCGAACATAAAAATGAAATTATGATTTTTTCAAACTTGTGGCCCTCGCCCACGCAAATTATTTGAAAAATGCTTTTGGTGACATAATTCAGCGTATACAAAGCACATCCATTAAATGGTCTTCAAAAAGAGTTTTCTATTGCCTGTGTTTTTTGGGTACTGTACTTTTCAAAATACTTATGAATAGGAAACTAGTTTGTGCTGGTAAAATATAATCGGACTTTGCCACATTTAATAGTTTATTTGATTAGAACAAGGTTTTTGTTAAATAAAGATAATTAATATGAAAAAACTCAGATAACAGGATCTAAAAAATAATAATTTACCTTTCATCTCTTCAGCTGAAGTCAGAATGCCAAGCGGTAAAGTAGACAAACCCGTCATCCAGGACAACCGTGATGGTACCGTCTCGGTCAAGTACGATCCCCGTGAGGAGGGATCCCACGAGCTGGTGGTCAAATACAACGGAGAACCCGTGCAAGGTGAGTGACTGTAATGGAATTTCTTCCTACATCCGCTAACTGATGTTTGTGAACAGGATCTCCCTTCAAATTCCACGTTGACTCGATCACCTCCGGCTATGTGACTGCCTATGGACCTGGTCTGACTCACGGTGTCACCGGTGAGCCCGCCAACTTCACCATCTCCACCAAGGGAGCCAGCGCCGGTGGCCTAACCATGGCCGTCGAAGGACCCAGCAAGGCTGACGTAAGCAAAATTCTTTTCCAGAACCCAGACCATTTTTTTATGAAGTCCTTCATTACAGATCAACTACCATGACAACAAAGACGGCACCGTCTCCGTGCAATACCTGCCCACTGCCCCTGGCGAGTACCAGGTGTCCGTTCGCTTCGGCGATAAGCACATCAAGGGATCGCCTTACTTTGCCAAGATCACTGGAGAGGGTCGCAAGCGTAACCAGATCTCGGTGGGCTCCTGCTCGGAAGTGACCATGCCCGGCGACATCACCGACGACGATCTGCGTGCTCTGAATGCCTCGATTCAGGCGCCTAGCGGCCTGGAGGAACCCTGCTTCCTGAAGCGCATGCCCACAGGCAACATTGGTATCTCGTTCACTCCCCGTGAGATTGGCGAGCACCTGGTGTCGGTGAAGCGTCTGGGAAAGCACATTAACAACTCACCCTTCAAGGTGACCGTGTGCGAGCGCGAGGTAGGCGACGCCAAGAAGGTCAAGGTGAGCGGTGCTGGCCTCAAGGAGGGCCACACCCATGCCGACAACATCTTCTCTGTGGACACGCGTAACGCTGGATTCGGTGGTCTCTCTGTCTCCATCGAGGGCCCCAGCAAGGCTGAGATCCAGTGCACGGACAAGGACGACGGCACTCTCAACATCTCGTACAAGCCCACGGAGCCGGGATACTATATTGTCAACCTGAAGTTCGCCGATCACCACGTGGAGGGTTCTCCCTTCACCGTCAAGGTTGCCGGCGAGGGCAGCAACCGTAAGCGCGAGAAGATCCAACGAGAGCGAGATGCTGTACCCATCACCGAGATCGGCAGCCAGTGCAAACTGACTTTCAAGATGCCCGGCATCACCTCGTTCGATCTGGCCGCCTGTGTCACCTCGCCCAGTAACGTGACCGAGGATGCAGAGATCCAAGAGGTTGAGGATGGCCTCTACGCAGTGCACTTTGTGCCAAAGGAGTTGGGCGTGCACACCGTTTCGGTGCGCTATTCCGAGATGCACATACCCGGCTCACCGTTCCAGTTCACTGTGGGACCACTGCGCGATTCCGGAAGCCATCTGGTTAAGGCTGGCGGCTCTGGCTTGGAACGCGGTGTAGTCGGTGAGGCGGCCGAGTTCAATGTTTGGACTCGTGAGGCAGGTGGCGGTTCCCTGGCCATTTCCGTGGAGGGTCCCAGCAAGGCTGACATCGAATTCAAGGATCGCAAGGACGGCAGCTGCGATGTGTCCTACAAGGTCACCGAACCAGGAGAGTACCGCGTGGGTCTTAAATTCAACGACCGTCACATACCCGACTCGCCCTTCAAGGTGTACGTCTCTCCTGACGCTGGAGATGCCCACAAGCTGGAGGTTCAGCAGTTCCCTCAGGGCAACATCCAGGCTGACGCCCCCTACCAGTTCATGGTGCGCAAGAACGGCGCCAAGGGTGAGCTGGATGCCAAGATTGTGGCTCCCTCTGGAACGGACGATGATTGCTTCATCCAGGTGATCGACGGCGAGATGTACTCCGTGCGTTTCTACCCTCGCGAGAATGGAATCCACGCCATCCATGTCAAATTCAACGGCGTGCACATACCCGACTCCCCATTCAGAATCAAGGTAGGCAAGGATGTGGCCGATCCGGCTGCCGTTCACGCCAGCGGCAATGGCTTGGATGAGGTGAAGACTGGACACAAGGCCGACTTCATCATCAATACCTGCAATGCTGGCGTTGGTACGCTGGCCGTCTCCATTGACGGTCCCTCCAAGGTGGCCATGGACTGCACAGAGGTTGAGGAGGGCTACAAAGTCCGCTACACACCTCTGCTGCCCGGCGAGCACTACATAACGGTTAAGTACAACAATATGCACATCGTGGGCTCGCCATTCAAGGTTAACGCCACTGGCGACAAGTTAGCCGATGAGGGCGCCCAAGAGACGTCAACTGTGATCGTGGAGACGGTGCAAAAGGTTGCCAAGGGCGGCAAGAACACGGGCGTCCATCTGCCCACCTTTAAGTCGGATGCCACCAAAGTGGTGTCCAAGGGCATGGGCCTGAAGAAAGCCTACATTGGCAAGCAGAACCAGTTCAGCATCTGTGCCACCGATGCGGGTAAGTTATATCTTAACTTAGCTTAATGGGAAGTAAATATTTTAACTAAATTTATCGCTTATCTTAGGCAACAATATTCTGTACGTGGGAATGTACGGACCAAAGGGACCATGTGAGGAGTTCCACGTTAAGCACGCTGGCCACAACAACTACAATGTGCAGTACCTGGTGCGCGACCGCGGCCAGTACGTGCTCCTGATCAAGTGGGGCGAGGAGCATATACCCGGCTCCCCATTCCAAATCGATGTGTAGGAAGGAGGAGGGCGCTTATATAGCCGGCCAGGCATATGTGTACGTGTAGATATATGCTTTCGCATGTGTATGTGTGTGTGTTGGCGCGCATGTTCCAGGGTCAAAAGTCGTGTGTTTCTTGTTTTCATCATAACGCTCTTTGTTTAATTTTAATTTCTTGATTTATCAAAATATTTTAGGTAAGTTTTTGTTATTTGTACATACATGGAAGGAAGTTGCTTCTGTTTTTCGACGCGCCATTTTCACTCTTTTTTAAAATTGATCTTACGTTTTATTTGTTTTCTTGTGAATATATAAAATTAACAATAGCCGATATGAATTTTGATAAACTTCATGGAAACAAACTTAAGCACAACTTCGACACACAAGAATTACTATTGCAATGCGAATAAATCTCTTAAACAATTATTTAATACTTAAGCGAAAATTTATGATGATTATAATGATTATGACGTATTATGTTTTCTATTATCACTATTGATCATGTAATTTACGTGAAATAAATCAAAACTCAAAAAATAAACTTTACAATTATGTTTTATAATAACTTTCCTTTAGCAAGAATGTGTTTAACACCGCAGGAAAAATTAACTTTATATTTAAAAGTAGGTCACTATAGAAACGATTTTACCTAATCAGATTTCTTGCCGAGAACGCTATAAATTGTACCATATCGATTGACTTGGTCGAAAATGTCATCATCGCTGGCACTGGAGGTCGAGATGTTGGCGAGGCTCTGCGCATCGATCGGAGAACTCAAAGCGGCAGCCAACTCTGGTGTGGGCTGGTAGTAAACCGAATGACGGCTATCAAAGCTGCGACTGCCGATGTGATATTTAAGATATTTTCGGGCCAAACGGTCACCAATGAACTTTCCGAGGCCCTGCTCAGTCAGTGTGAAGTTGCCTGCCCCTTGATCCGAGGAGCTGTGCAAAAGGATGCCGCGCTTGGTTAGCTTGGGAGGTGGTGGCATCGGATCACTTGCAGGTGCTTCGCAGCAGGTGGTTGACGTTACCACCGTGCAGTCAAGATCGCCGGCCATGGGTCTAGCTGTTTCAGGGGAACTGGAGCTATTCGTCGCTGTCTGATCCTCTGTAGTGCTGACGACGGCAACCCTTTTCACCGCTAGCTTCTTGGCCAACACGCGGCTGCTGGCCGTATCGTTTGCCACAGCTGTAGAGTTGCATGTCACACTTTGGTTGTTAAATACCACCGTTGATTGCTCGACAGGAGATTGGATTTGCTCTTTAGATCCTTGTTTTTTTGTTTTCCGGCGCTTCTGTTGATCTTCCTTAAAGGTAGCTAACGACAAGGCCACAGCTTGTTGGAAATCTTCGTCTAATTCGGGAACCTCGTCAACTCTCGGGGAAATCTTCTTTGGTCTTCCGGGATGTTTTTTCTTTGGAACCTTAATAGACGGATTCGGTTCAGGTTTTTCCTGGGAATCGGGTGATTGGCTAGAATCCTCTTCCCTGATTTCCGGCAAACTTGGAGCTTCAATGGAGGTTTCTTTCTTTTTTGAATTTTTTACTATCGGAGTACCGGAACTCTTTTCAGTTTCAGGTGGTTTATCGATTGTCTTTGCCTTTCCTGAGATCTTCCTTCGCCTTTCCACCGAGGCAACTGTTTTTACACTTGATGCTGAGCTTGCAGAGGAATCGAAAGTTAAGATAGGGCTATTTTCTTCCGGGACTTCAGTATTCGTAATAACTTTGTGAACTTGGGAAGAACTGGAATTAATCAAAGTTGGTTTAACACCTTTCCTAGCAGTAGAACATTTTGATTTGGTTTTGTCTAAGGAGGAACTCGCAATGCGTTTTCTTTCATCGTTTTCTTCTTTGCTCTTATCGGATGATTCACTTTCGACACGTATATGTTTTTTGGCACACCTTTTGTCATTTTCAGCTAAATTGTTGCCTTCCAGGGACTGGATATTCTCTTTGATCATGGGATTCGTTATTGTTTCCTTTACCCCCCGTATGGGCTTAACGATTTTAGTCGCTCTTTTTAAAATAGACGCAGATTCTTTTTCTTCCATTTCCGGAATTTGAATCGAGTAGTTTGACTTAGCTTCAATGTCAAAGGCCGATTTGTTTTCGACAGGGGGATGACTTGTTTTTGGGTTAATCAAGCCATTTTTCTTCTCAACTAGAGTTTTTTTTGTCGCAACATTTTCGTTGATTGGTGGCAAGTGGAATTGCGCCAAAGTGTCCTCTTTTGGAATAGCTTTTTCTGTTGCCCTTACGTCTGTTGAAATTTCTTTAGTTTTTTGATTTTTTTCAACGAAACTCAATAAACCACTCCTGCTTATGAACCCATCTTCGCTTTCAGTAGAAGATTCACCTTTCGGAGTATGCAGATCCTTGTTTCTCCCAGAGGGATATATTTTGAGCATATCAATTGCTCGAGGGCCCTCTTCTAAGATTTGTGGCAAGCCCTTTGTGCGAACTACTTTCCTAGCCGTTGTTGTCTTACCTGACACCCTCGGAGTTGGTACTGAATTTCCTCTTTTTCGCTGAGAACTGCTAAACAGTGCCCTTTTCGCGAAGGCGTTATCTTCATCGGAGCTTTCACTGCCGGATATTTTCTCGTATTTAGGTTTAGACTTAACCAATTTAGAAGCAGAGGCAGCTTTCCTTTTCGGCAATCTGTGGTCATGGCACTTATATCGAACAGGTTCCGGGCTATTTTTTATAACAGCCATCAGCTGCTGCTTATGCTTCCTACTGCTTCGGTTCTGCACTAGCCATTGCTCGGTGGAGCTGTTGGCAACCTGGACGATATTGGGGCAAAAGCGGTCACTGTTACAGCAGCTGCAATCACTCTCAGACAACTTTGGACGCCGGTTCATCTGCATATCGCAATTATGATGTCGTCGCATGGTATGCATGGACATCGAAGCCGCCTGGTGATAATCGCGTTGATCCGAACCATGTGAGCAGCATTGATAGGCACTCTTGGACAGGGCGTGTCTTCGGCAGGTATGACAGTCGCAACCACTGAGCGATGGATCGTCCTCACTGCTAGACGCTGAATCAAACATCCACGAGTTGGCGCGCCGTTTTCGAAGTTGCTTGCGTCTAACGTGATGACTGCTAGAGTGGATGCAGCGCATCGGTGAGGAGGCGAGGTAGGCCAATTTTCGCTCCTTCTCCCGCCGTCGATGCAGCAGCGCCTGCATGTGGTGGCGGTGCTCCTGTTCGTCATCGTAGGCATATTTGGCCCTCAGCTCGTCTCGTTTGTGGGAGTGCTTTCGGTACATCTTAATTGTTGTCATGTTAGAGCTCTTGTTATTCATGTGGGTGTTGCGCTGACGGCTCTGCTGGATGTAGCGGGCTGTATCAATTGAATGTAGCGACTCGTCGCTATAGTCCGAAATGGAATGGTCTTGAGGATGCAGGTATTTCGGCGGTGTGGTCTCTAGGTAGACGCCGTTGTGGCGCCGCATCCAGCCGCCCACATGGCGTTCGATCTGCTTCTCATCGAAGGTGTTTAAAACGCGTTCCAAACCCGCCTCCCGCCACTTGCGCTTATGCTTTTCGACGACCGGCATCGTTTGGTTAAGAATTTCTTCTATCTCGGCCTTTCCCGCATTATCCTCACCCGGGCACAAGATCACCGTCAGTTCTGCAATGCTGGTGGCATTGATGTGTCCCTGTTCTAGCTTCGCTTCAGGCACATTTTCTTCCTCGGCTTCCTCCCCCTCGAATTTCAGCTCCGAGTTCTCGTCTTCGCCTTGAAATATGTCATCAAAATCCGATACTAACATATCAAGTCCATCGTCAAAAGTTGATACATTCTGCAAAAACATGGAAATTAGAAAAGACGCCACTTGGTTCTTGGTTCTTGTTAGTCACCTTTATGAGGCTGGACCAGACCTTAGAACGCTCGTAGACCATAGCCTCCAGCGTTTCCTCGTTCACCACTGCATGCGACATTGCTGTGGATTAGCCAGCTATCTGAATATCTGCTTGAAAGCGAAGAAAATTAAAAACTAACTGATAAATAGAATAATAAAATGCAAAATGGCTGTGGTATTACTAACAGTGTGGTCGTCGTCAGAGCGCCAAAATATACTAAAACGATCCGGTATTAAAATTTACTAACCTTCTGCGTTTGATATATTTTTTAGTTTTTTAACTGGATACTATTTTTAAATCTATAATCTGACTTTGATAAAATATTTTGATTTTCAGAGCGCAGAGGTAGTTAAAAAAAATTGTTTGTATTGTTGGTATTTAAATTTCTGAAATTTACCTTCTCAGATTAGTTCTCAAAAAGAAATACCAAATCGCCAGTGCTGCCAAGGAGAATATGCGCGGCAAATTCAATTGTTAATTTTTGTTGGGTTTTTATTTTGAAGTTATATATGTTTTACATTAGATTAATATTGCAGATAAACAAACGAATACATATTGTATGCTTAAATAACTGTTCAATTGAAATACATATACATAGCTCCCGCTCCTCCGTTGGCCACTTAAATGTCGGAATATGTCTCGCTCCAGCGTTTCAGTTTGTTTTGTCTCGGTCTCGTTATTAATGTTGTGTTTATAGTAAAGTAGGCTGCTTGGAATCGGAATTGGCTACAGCTGCGCCAGCTACTTTCGGTTACGTATGGCGCGGTCCATGATCGTGTTAATGCGCGTCTCAGAATAACCAGGAACGAGCATGTGGATTAGCTCCTTCATAAAAAGATCACTTACTCCCGGGCTGGAGCGCTCTGCCAATTCAAACACGGACTTCAGGTCACCGATGTCGCTGCCCACACCCAGGTTACGTCCACCAGATCCTCCTCCGCCTCCAGATCCTCCACCAGAATACTTCCGCTGGATATCGCTTAGCACGGGGAAAAGGAAGTTGTTCAGACAGGCGCTGTTTGTCTGGACTAGGCGTTGTCCCGCTCCACTGTGCTTGACATGGCTGGCATGATTGGGGGCCACGTGCTCCTCGTGGCTGTGATTGTTGCTACTGCTGCTGCTGGCGGCAAGGGCAGCGTTAGTTGCATGGAATGATTCACGTTGACTGCTGCGGCGTTGCTGCTGCTCAGTTGGCGATGGGTTCGGAACCGAAGCCTGTAACGGAAGGCCCAGTGACGCACGACGATCCTCTACATGATCCAGGGGTGCGGCGGAACGCGACTGGCGCAGCTCCGGTTTGGAGCTGGAACGCTTTTGCTGCAACTCATTGGCCGACGAGGAGCTGGTGACACTGCTCGGAAGAGGAGCTGCATTCAGCATGGTGGTGGTGGCGTGTTTGTTGCTCAAGTTGCTGATGTTATTGTTGTTAATGTTGTTGTGGACGTGGCTGTTCTGGGGGGGCAGGGCGGATGCGGATGAAACAGCCTCGTTGGCTGTGATAACGGACACAGAGGAAGCTGATGCCTGTACGGCGGACACAGAGGACGCTGATCCGGATGAGGTGGGGGATGGCTGACCTGCGCCGCCGCCGGCTGGCGAGTGTGTGGTCTGCATTAGCTTCTGCATGGTCAACTCGTGCTCCTGCAACTGAAAACTGTTGACGCCCGCTCGCGGGGCACTGTTAATGTGCAGTCCCTTAACGGTCATGATCCATGGTTCGTCCTGGCTGCTGCCACCCTGCTTGGCATCCGAGTCCGAGTCGGAGTTCTCTGACTCCGTTTCGCTTTCGTCACCCTTGGAGAGCTTCCACTTCTTGAAACGATCGATCAGGTCGATAAGGTATGCGTTCTTCTTGGCTTTTTTGATGAACGGGTACTTAAGCAGCTCCTTAGCCGTGGGCCTGTTCTCCGGGTCCTTGTTTAGACAGGCTTCCACAAAGTCCTTGAACGACTTAGTATAGTTGCCCGTCAGCTGCGGCGGGTTGTTTTTGGGAATGAGGAAGAGCACACGCATCGGATGCAGTTCCGAATTTGGCGGCTCACCCTTGGCCAGCTCTATAGCCGTTATGCCTAGCGACCAAATGTCAGCTTTGGCATCGTACTGCGACTGCTTGATCACTTCGGGTGCCATCCAAAAGGGCGTTCCGACAAAGGTGTTCCTCTTGGAGGTGGTGTTGGTCAACTGGCCGGCGACTCCAAAGTCCGCCAGCTTTACATCGCCCTGTTCGCTCAAAAGCACATTAGCCGCCTTGATGTCGCGATGCAGTTTCCGCTCCGAGTGCAGATAATCCAGGCCCTTGAGCACCTCGCGCAGTATGATACCGATGTGCATCTCCTCGAAGGAGCCGGCCTTCATGAGGTCCAGGGCGGATCCACCGCCCAGGTACTCCATGATAATCCACAACTTGGTGCCTTTGAGGAAGCTACCATAGTACTTGGTCACGTACGGTGAGTCGCACTGCGACAGCACCATGATCTCTTGCTGAATGTCGTCTATTTCATCCTCGGCTTCCTCTAGATCGATTATCTTGATGGCCACCACTTGCTGGGTGCGGTTGTCGATGCCCTTGAACACTTCGCCGAAGGAGCCCTTGCCGATTCGCTCCTGTTTAGTGAAGATCAGCTCCGGATCGACTTTCTCCGTCCAGGACATGATGGCTACCTAGTTACTTCTTCCCACTTCGTGGCTCTTCGCTCTCCACCTCCTCCTTCGCTATTACCGGATTCCCTTGCTGTTCCGCTGGTTCTCGACTGGCGTGGATTGTACCCGACTGAACTGGAATGCTCTACGGGCTATTTGATGGCTCTGCGTCTTTACGGGGACACTTGACTAATAATTTTTTCGTTGGTATCTCATTTAATCCGAGAAATCTCTCTCTTTTTTTCTGGCTACTTTGCCAGTGTGACCAGCCGAAGAAGCGTAGTAGAAATACGGAAAATACTGATATTATAAATAGTCTCAGGTTTTCTTACGATTTTCAACATTGCTACTACAGAAATCCCTTTTTAATTTTACTTTTCAACATTGTTGCCGTTTATATTTATATAAATTAATATTAAAAAAAATTAATGAACAAAAATTACAATTATTAAATGTAATACTGTATGTTCTTTACACTTTCTAATTGCAATTATACTTTTATTACACTTTTCGTAGGTCTACAATTAATTGAAGCTTTAATTTACGTTAAGATCAAAGTTTGTATACTCCCCAAATAAATTATTTTAAAGGTATAGAACTTTAAATTTCAATAAAAAAAAAACGATGGATTATTCGATTGACATGCATTTTTTATTCGAAAGATAACCTTGACATAACCATTACATTTTAAATATGATTTCTGGCATATGACCGCCATGGCTGGCTCGGATGTAGTCCAATCTGGACGTCCAATTTTCGATTACTTTTTTCAACATTTGTGGCCGTATATCGGCAATAGCACTGCAAATATTGTTTTCCAAATGGTCAAGGGTTTGTGCCTTATCCGAATAGATAGCGGTGTTAAATCACAAGATCTTGAAGGCAAATTCACAGGTCCAAAACGTGAAACTAGGCGGTCACCAAACGCGTCTTTCAATACGCTAGCTGTGTGACATGTTTGCGTCGTCTTCTTGGAAATTCAGCTCCTGGCTGTTGAATTTAGAAATAAAAAAGTTAGTTATCATGACTTTATACCGATCACCATTGACTGTAACGTCCTGGACATCATCAGGCATGGTCACATCCCGAGACATTGAGTTGAGTCAATGTCTCGGGATGTGACCATGCCCAGAAGCTTGCCGCCAGGCAAGGAAAGCTGCCGATTATTAATCAGGCCGGTGAACTGGTGGCCATGATTGCCAGGACGGATTTGAAGAAGGCTCGTTCCTACCCAAATGCTTCTAAGGATTCCAATAAGCAGCTTCTCGTCGGCGCTGTCATTGGAACCAGATCCGAGGACAAGGCGCGACTGGTCCTTTTGGCCGGCCAACGGCGTGGACGTCATCGTTCTTGATTCCCCGCAAAGGCAACTCCGTCTACCAAGGCATGGAGATGATGAAGACATAAAAGGAAAGACCTATCCCGAGCTCCAGGTCATAGGAGGAAATGGTGCCCAGGCCAAAAATCTCATCGAGGCTGGTGTCGACCTAACTGAAAATAAATCACTTGACAACTGTTAAATCCGTCGCCATCTTGAACAGTAATACCAACCTAAAGTTCTGTACCTCTAAAAAAACATCCTTTACATAAAATACCATTCACAAACCACTTTTCGTTTTAAATGTATTTTATTTATGAAATATGTGTTACATTTTTACAAATAAAAAATATTTTTGAGTTTCTTCTTTTGAATATTTAAAACAAAGTACTTTATTGGCGAAAAGATGACAAATTTTCACAACTATGTGTTAGCATATAAAAGTCCTTACACAGATTTCTACAAATATTGTTTTTTTTTCGGTTTTGGTACCCAAATTGCCTGGGTACTGATTATCCGATTCGTCGATGGTTGACTACGACTTTGATATTCACAAAGATAAGCCAACCAGCAAGGAATCTCTGCCAAATTACATAAAACCTGGGACCTGATCAGGGTTTTCTTTATTAGAAAATACCCATACAGACCTGGCTATCAAACGTTGTTGCGGCAGCACTCTCTTAACATGTAACTCTGTACGTCTGAACACAAATTACCAAAAAGAGGGCGAAACGGATATGGTAAGACATAAACTTATGAACTAAGGGAGGGGTCTTTTTGTCGTATTACATAATTGAGCAGCGGGATCGGCCCTCAGTTCCGGCCACATCGGCTACCTCGCCAACGGGGGGAACATTTTCCCCATCGCTAGACTTTTCATCGACATCCTGGCCATCGACGTTCTTGCCCTCGACATCCTTCTCATCAGGGATTTCCTTAATGGGCGAGCCGCCCTTCTTGGGAGTCTCTACACCGGCCTCCTGGCCCACAGTCACATTTTCGGGAGCCTGCTCTTCCTCCACTTCAACCTCTTCAGGCACACTGTTCGCGGATGTGATTATTTGTTGCTCCTCCACACCGGAACCGTTCAGATCCAGCCGCACACGGGATGGAGAACTGATTGTCGTCTTGGAGAATCTTGAGCGCAACAGACTGAATGGCGATGCCAAATTCAGGCTGAACAAGTCGAAGCGGGCGCGCTTAGGAGGCGACATTTCTACGTCCTGGCCAATATCACTGGTCGACTGAGATGCCGAAAGTGGCGGTGGAGTGCGCTCGCGTTTGCGTCCACGTCCAAAGAATGAGAACGAAAATGAAGAGCTGTTGGGAATCTCCGATCCTACAGTGGCATTCATGCTGGCGTTCGTGCAGTTGGAGGTGTCCAAATCGCTGTTACCGCACCTGTAGGTACCTACTTTTGATGGCGTCAACGAATCAATGGGTCGTATGCTCCGCCTGCCGCTGATCTGAGCAAAAGTGCGGGCTGGAGTTCCTGCCGGCGAACTGGAAGTCTGGGTAGCCAGCTCCACCTCGTTGGTCTGTTTGTTGCTACCACGGAAACTGAAAAGACGGCGTCCTGGGGTGGATGTAGCTGCCGGCAATGCATTCAAATCGCCGTGGACGCTGCGTATTGGCGAGGCATCGACTTGTAGAGTTTCCATTTCCACATCCTCCTGTGGAGTCAAAGAGCCAACAGACGACGACGGAGCTGTTTCAGGTTCTTTCTTCTGTGTCGGCGAAGCAGGGACTTGGGTTGCTGCTCGGAGACTTTTGGTGGCTGCCCGACTTGCGTGTGGATTTGCGTTCCTTTGTCGGAGTGCTAAGATCTGGAATAATCTCTACTTCATCATCAATGACCACAACATCCGTATCTGGTTGAGGAGCGGGTGTGATACATTCAGCAGTAGCTTCCTTTTTGGTCTCTTCCTGGCTTTCTTTATTCTCAGAGGAAATCTCTATAGCCTCTTTCTCGGCTACTTTTTCCTTACTCTGTTTTTCAGATACCACCTCTTTTTCTTTCTTTTCATCGATCACCTCCTTATCCTTCTTCTCGTCAACATCTTTTTTTTCCAGAACCTTATCCTTTGATTTTTGTTCCTTTTGGTCTTTGCTGGTGGAGCTACCGTTCTGAGGCTTCTCCTTGCCGTTACTGGACTTGCTGGCACCGTTTTGGTTAGATCCGCTTGAAGAAGAGGAGCTGGTGGATGACGTTCGCGGTTGGTTGGTCTTCTTCACCGGTAGAAAAGACTCTGTGATCTTTTTGTTGCCATTTTGGGGACTATTCGAGCGCCCATTGCTGCCTGATGACTGTTGAAGGCGGGAAACGGTAGAGCCACCGCTTAGCGAGAGTGGTATACGACGTCCCGAACTAGTGCCTCCGGAGCCTCCTCCTCCACTGCTTGTGTTGCTAGCCATTTTGCTTAACATTGGTTGGGTTTTGTTCGACGTGTTGCACGATCTCTGTAAGAGGCACAAACAAGTAGAATAATTTATTAGTTGATTACATTCTTCCAGTGCAATGAAAATGAAATGGAAAACTAAACACAGATTGATTTGCGGTTTGTTTACACCACATTCCTCTCGAGAACCGGCTCTGAAATTATAAACCCCCACCTCCTTACCACAGTTTTGCTGTTCAGCATGAGAATTTTATAATCACAGTAGGTTTTTGTTTTAACGCTTAACGCTTGGCGTTTTATCTTTCGGATTTGTTAGCACGTCCTGACGGTTGAGAGTCTCAAGCTTAACTTGTAAGGATTTCAAGCCTGCACCGTCTTAAGTAGCTCATCAAAGGATCAGAATAAGTTCAGGTACTCGGAGCACTAATCAGCTGAAGAAATATGCAGAATCTACCTGCTGAGACAGCTGCCTTTTTATGATGTACATATGTGCACAGATTAGGATGCGTTAATTACCAGGAATAAGCAATTGCACAGTGACATATGCTAATTTTTACCTCCAACTCTCTAAATGCAGGAAAATGCTTGTTTAAGTATTCCGCTGATTTTGGGGTGGGTATTTTTAGGTTTCCCTCCTTTTTGTTCTGCCTGACTGATTTTTTGTTCCCCCAATTTTTGTTAACTGGCTTCCGTTCTATGAAATGCACTTAAAACAAAGTGAAACACAAACTTAACAAATACAGTTCGACACGCAAAGCTGAAGCAAACACGCTTTTTGTATTTATTTTCATTTGCCTTGCAAGTAAAATAAATCTAAAGGGTAAGAATGGCAGAACTGAAGAAATAGTATAAAAACAAAGAAGGCGAAACATACCAAGAGAGAGAAAATTTCTTGTCATAGGCCGACATACACTGCACAGACAGTTCGATGTCAGATAAATGCCATGGGAATTAGAGATAAGCCGAATAGTCAACAACTCTTAAAAAAAAAGATTCAAAAATGTATATAAAAAAACACGTGTTTTTAACATTTTTTAAATGAAGCACCTTTACTGTCGCCAAAAACAGTCCTTTATTATTCAAATTCCTAGTGTATTGCGCTTTTTGGATCTAAAGCGTTAAATAATATATGGAATTGGTAGAGAATAAAGTAAGATATGTTTACTATACATTTATCATCTATAAAACGATCATTACAAGTTAAAGACAAAGGATTTAACAGGATACTAACATAATTTTTGTAATTTTATATTTTTTATATCTAAATTTAGCATACTCTTTATAAGGGTATCAAAACTAGTTGCACCCCAGGTGCATTCACTTAGACGATGCGAAGGGAAGAGAAAAGTAAGAGGAATTCGTTTAGAAAAAACTGCGTTGAGCAGTTTTCTTTTTAGAAAGTGGAAATTGCGAATGCTGAAAATCGCGGACAACGAACGATGCTGAAAAAAAAAATATTGCACACAATTGCAACGACAAACTGCAAATATGAGTCTTTGTGTGGGTTGTGGCACACAGATATGAATGTACATAAACACATATGTATTTATAGCCAAACCCTCTTTGTTGTTGGAATCATTATTGTAATGCCCTTTTCGCCGTTTGTTTTGGCATTAAATTCGTGGAGTTGATTAAACTCGGCATCAAGGCGAGCATAAATGCCAGTTTATATGGTCGAGTGGTTAATGGAGATTCACTCCAAGCCTATTTAATCAATTTCAACGAGTTGCGATCGGATCAGCAAAAAACATAAACATGCGAAGGAATTGAAAAAAGAATCAACGCACATACTCGTATGCACAGTCTGTTTGTGTGGGTTAGAAAAGGCGGCTAACAGTGCGCGCGAAAAATATTGGGCACAGTACCATCATAACGCAACGTGACATTTAAAAAACTATTTTAATAAAACTGTTTTTAGTGATAAAAGAAGCCGTTTCAATATATTTTTCTTTACGCATTTAAAAATTTCTATCACTCTATATATCACTTACTCAGATTTTTAAATTTAAACGGATATTACATGAAAGCCCCACCTGTAGCTTAAGTTAAAATATTTATTTTTATTTTGTTGGTTGTCGTTTGCCTTTTATGCTTTGCCACCACTGTACCAGGCAATTGTCGGAGGCTCAGACCCCGCGTTCATTTTTTAAAATGGCGGCGCGACAGCCGCAATTGGCGATAATGCATATGGGAAAAGAAAATGTAATCAACTCTTGGACCAGAGATTCATTAAAACCCTTCGGGGGGGTTATAAAACCACGATTTGCAGTACCTGCTTTTAATTATTTTTCAGTTTTCGTAGTTGTGAAATTATTTTAGTTGCACGCGCAAAAATTTATGTACACCTACACAATCCTACCGCAACATTAAAAAGGATGCGCGTTTAAATCCTTACAAATTCGACGCACTTTTAATTTTCAGTAACTTAATATTATGGTAGAACACCCACCTCTTCTTTTCTTGGTTTAGCAAGACAAAAATATCTTTTTTTATCAATTACTTTACGACAAATAAATTTTCAATCCAACCGACGCCGATACAAACAAATTAAAAGCAACGCTCTAGTGTGACCTTAGCTGGATACATCAAAAAATATCTTCCCTTCGTTAGATATGAAAGTGCCGAAAAACTATCGATTATTTACGAAGGTGGTAGTATTGGATATTTCAAATATGGAAACTAACAAATCTTTAAAATCTCGCACTGTTTTTCCCTTTCGAATAGATTAAAACCTTTTTTCTTTAATAGTATCGTTGTTTTGGAATGAGCACAGTAAATTAAGCTCTTGGTAAAATTATTTTATTTCCACTCATCTGGTAGCTTTTCAGATCCCACACGTTAAGGACTATGCGTTTTCCAACACTCGTCTGTTTCAGGAGAAAAAAAATCGGAGTGGCAAGTGGCAAAATAAATAAATAAAGCTGTAAGTAGCAGTAAATGAAAAATAAAAACTTAAAATTAAATATTGTACATCAAGAATAATGTGAGCGTTGTACCGTGAGCTATCAGCAAACTTTTTATTTACCTTCGTGCGTGTGCTTATCTATTAGTGAAAACTTCAATGAAACAAAGGGAGAAATTTACTGTGAACTTTCCCATCTCATATATGTACATATATACGTGGTTATATTTACAGTATCTGTGAGATCTGGAATTCCCTGGCTGTGTAGTGTAAATGTTTGCCCCGCATTGCAGCAATCTTTTACAGCAAAGTTGCCTTTTCACAATCACAATTAATGGCCTTCTTTCTGAGTTTCCATTTCCATGGCCTCCATCAGCTGTTTGGCACATGGCATTGGAAGTGCGGGTGTGTTCGTTTGTGTATGTCAATAGTATGTACAATGCGTATGCGCGTGGAAGGGGGTTAGGGTGTGGAATGTGAGTAATATTTGTTTATGTGGAAGCAAAGTTCAACGGTACCTGCAAACACACACACTTGGACAGTCACCATCCGTGCTGATTACGCTATTTGTTTTCACCTACACAAATATATTGTGAACGTGTATAAGGTTTTGCCTCCTCACCATGATTCGGCACTAATTCGCCCAGTTTTTGCCTTTATCATATTCATTTACCAACAAGTCAGCGTCACTTTACGCGGAAATTTTAAAACCGCACTTCGATAAACGAAACAAAGAATTTGTTTTGAACGCAGCTTAATTCTCAAAGTGCCATATCATTTAATTGATTACAAATATGGGATTTTTAGGGAAGTCCCTTTAAGCGCTATCTATTGGTGATTCAGATAAAAAACCATAGGTATAACTGCACTGAAAGAAAAAGATTTGCTTTCGGACAATCTTTCTTTTTAATGTAATTGACATATCTAAGATTAAATAATTTAAAATAGGTAAAAAAATTTATAAGAACAATTAAAGGTTAAAGCTAATATATCTAATATTTCTTTAGGACATTTCTTACTTTAAAACTATTGTTTAGCATATTTAAAATTTTATAATTTCATAATTATGTTAGTAGGTTATTAATTAGGTTATTTTTAATCTAATGCATCGTGTGATATTATTATATCCACCACTATGCAGATAATGGGCATCATAAAATGAAAATATTTTGGGAGCATGACATGATACTTTCAAGCTTTATAGCCACTACTCGATTGCTTGGTAACGGTGACTAATCACATATAAAATCCATACAAATTAGAGGGTATACGCAAAATTTTGAATCCCCAAAAGAGAGAATTATCGATCACTATTATAATGCGGACAAAGGGCAAATATTAGCTTGAATATCTTCTATACTTTAAATACAATAAAAATTTTGATATGCTAATGTAGTTTTAGTAGGGTGTTTCACTTTGGTTTTTGTTTTTTTTTTTTCAAATCGTTGATTTTGTGTGGACTTTGAACAGATTTTAGTTATCAATTTAACGAAACAAACGAAATTCCTAAATGGTCGGATGACGCGCGTAAAGTTTTCCAAATCGTTGTTTAGGCGCACAATTTACCCTACAAAATTAAATTAGGCGGGTACATAAAAACCATTTGAAAATTCATGCTCCTCGAAAGAAAAAACCTGCTGGACAGGTTTGGTATTTCTCACCTGAAATGGAAAATCATGGCAGACAATTGTATTTACCAAAGGTACCGATTTGTGAACATCATCGTTATAGGCCAAAAAACGCTCGTAAGCCGTTCGTTCATTCATGGTATAACTTTTTATCGCCACAACAAGGAGTATTCACCTGTAGACAAGGGTCCAAAAGAACCGAGTCACATGTAAGCATGATAGCGCTCTTTGTAACGCTCTCAGCCATCCGAGAGATAAGTCTCTGTGGGCTTTCGATTCCAATTCCGATTCCCGATGGTTAGAGCAGAGACCATAGCAGTCAGTTGACGGGCTCTCTCCACGGCGCACGCATGATCGCCGGAGCGGATTTGCGGAGCAGCAGATGATCGATCGTGCGTTTCATTTTCAAACTGTCTTTAACCGCGAATTTCGAATATCTCGAGTGGAGTGCGTGCATATAAATTATTGATTAAAACAAAAACTATCTTTTGTGAATTGAAAAAAAAAACGTTTCAAGGATCTTCCTAAAGATCCTGACTTGTGCTAAAATGCAAACTGAAATGCATAGTCCTATGCAATATGAGAATAACATCTCCGACATCCCCAACCATAAGATATACTCCCGCCTACCAGAGGGTTGGTATTTTTTTATATTTTGTTTTGTATTTTACGATGGGGGTACAAGTTCAATTCGCAACGAGTTTGCCAGATAATTTTGTTACTCGGGCTTTTGGGGAAAAAAAACCACTGATCATGACGGTGCACATCGCGAATCAAGTTCTCTGGTGGGTCCCACACTCTAAAACAGCCCACAATGATTGGCGAAAATGTTTGAAACGTTTCTAGATTGTTTTACAGTGAAGTCACCTGAAAAAGAACGTGAGATCTTAAAATAATCGGTTGAAACGACATTAATGGCAATTGCATTGGCGTACGTGTTTGAATATTTGAATATTAAGAGACAGTTGAAAGTCGTTTTGGATATTATTGTTAAAGATAGCAGTACGGGGAAAACTGGTTTGTGGTTACCATGCATATTCCGGATGGCATTATAGTAACTACTCCAAAGTGTGTACTTTAAAAACTAAAAGTATTGTTTGCTTAACGTTCTTTAAACAAAAACGACCATTAAGTTTAATCTTATCTTGTTTGTTTTATTGTCGATATTTATTTATTGTAAATCCTAAACAATATTTTTATACATCTTTTAAAATACAAAATATATAATCCCCTTCTAGAACGTATTAGAGTCTGTCGTATCTCACCATTCAGCTATCTTAGATATGCATAAAACCCTACGTCATTTCACACTTGGAGGATTTCTTTAAAGTGCCATCTTGGTTTTGTGTTTTTGCAAATTCATACCAGATTAGATAACATAATAGAATATATAGCCTAAGCTGATTGTCGATCTATTTGCGATGGATGGGGTACAAGGGTTACAGGGCTCGGATGTAAAGTGTGTTTTAGTTACCTAACAACGGAGAATAAGTTTCATATTTAATTTATAATTGAAAAATGTCTTTCTCCTGAAATACCTTAAAATATTTAAAATTATGTTCGAATTGAAAAAATTAATAATCTAAAATTTGCCCTTCCAGAGGCTGAGATGAACAACACTTCGGAAAGTTGTTCTATCTCGTCGAATTGTGGCGGTCGGTTTGGATCGGTGCACTCGACCTTAGATGATCACGATGCCACGGATGACGACATGACATTCTGTATGTCAAACTATGCCAAGGAGGCATTGAAGATGATGTACATGATGAGATCGCATGGCATGCTGACGGACGTGGTACTTGAAGTAAAGAAGGAACTTTTTCCCGCCCACAAGGTGGTCCTGTCCGCGGCTTCGCCATATTTCAAGGCCATGTTTACGGGCGGACTGAAGGAGTCGGAGATGTCGCGCGTTCAGCTCCAGGGGGTAAGTTGAGCTCAAGCGCGGCCCTCAATTGGTTGGTTTAATGGATGAACAGTTCGTCCGTTTCGCTTTTTCAGGTCTGTCCAACGGCTATGTCCCGCATCCTTTACTTCATGTACACAGGCCAAATTCGAGTGACTGAGGTGACGGTGTGCCAACTCCTGCCAGCGGCTACCATGTTCCAAGTGCCAAACGTAATCGACGCCTGCTGTGCCTTTCTTGAGCGCCAATTGGACCCCACAAATGCCATTGGCATAGCCCACTTTGCGGAGCAACACGGCTGTGTCGAGTTGCAGAAGAAAGCCAATGTTTTTATAGAGCGGAATTTCACACAGGTAAGTAATACCCCTTGGAACCTTAATCACCGAGCTACATTTATTAATTTATTTTTAGGTGTGCCAAGAGGAGGAGTTCCTCCAGCTTTCGGCTTACCAGTTGATAGCCTTAATCCGAAGGGACGAACTGAATGTACAGGAGGAGCGAGAGGTCTACAACGCTGTGCTCAAATGGGTGAAGTACGACGAAGACAATCGACACTGCAAAATGGAGCACATATTGGGCGCTGTGCGTTGTCAGTTCCTCACACCTAATTTCCTTAAGGAGCAGATGAAAAACTGCGACGTTCTGCGAAAGGTTCCTGCTTGTCGCGAGTATTTGGCCAAGATCTTCAAGGACTTAACTCTCCACAAATGCCCGGGTGTGAAGGAACGAACACCTAACACCACTCGCATGATATTTGTGGCCGGTGGCTTCTTCCGACACTCGTTGGACATTCTGGAGGCTTACAATGTGGACGACAAGACGTGGACGACCCTGTCTAATCTGCGTATTCCAAGATCCGGCCTGGGTGCCGCATTTCTCAAGGGCAAGTTCTATGCGGTTGGAGGAAGAAATAACAACATTGGTTCTTCCTACGATTCGGATTGGGTTGATCGGTATAGTGCGGTTAGCGAGACGTGGCGACCCTGTTCCCCGATGTCCGTGCCGCGCCATCGTGTGGGAGTGGCCGTAATGGACGAGTTAATGTACGCAGTAGGAGGATCCGCCGGGACGGAGTACCACAACACAGTGGAATAGTGAGTATTATTCTTCAATTTCTAATAGATCCTAATGTAGTTATTTTAAATTACTCGATATCGCGGAACGTATTTTAACAAAACAGAATATAATCACTTTTTGGAGATAATTATAATATTTGTATAAATTGTTTAATAATGATATTCCCTTTCAGCTATGACCCGGAACTCGATCGCTGGACTCTCGTACAACCGATGCAGGCCAAGCGTTTGGGTGTGGGTGTGGTGGTGGTAAATCGTCTGCTCTATGCCATTGGTGGATTCGATGGAAATGAGCGATTGAGCAGTGTTGAATGCTACCATCCGGAGAACAACGAATGGAGTTTTCTGCCACGCTTACAAACGGGTCGGAGTGGAGCGGGTAAGAATAATTAACTATCCTGTTATCTGAACTTCGACTAAAATCCGATTTAATTACAATCAGGTGTGGCTGCAATAAACCAGTATATCTACGTGGTGGGCGGTTTTGATGGTACCCGGCAACTAGCCACCGTGGAGCGTTATGATACCGAAAACGATACTTGGGACATGGTGGCGCCAATCCAAATCGCTCGTAGTGCTCTCTCGTTGACACCGCTGGACGGTAAACTGTACGCAATTGGTGGATTTGATGGCAATAACTTCCTGTCGATCGTTGAGGTCTACGATCCAAGAACGAACACCTGGACCAAGGGAACGCCTTTGAAATCAGGAAGATCTGGTCATGCGTCGGCCGTTATTTATCAGCCCGCATGTTCCCCTACGTTTATGGACTACGAAGATAGCGATGCACCTCAGACGGATGGAAATAACGGCGAGGGAAGGCACGGGAATCTATCACAAAATCCATGCGGTACGGGAAGTCCACAATATCCTGGAACGGCGTCCAATATGCAATTCCATACTTCATACGGAATGAACGGGTGCAATAATTGTGACTCTGAAATAGATGTGAAGCCAGAAATTCCTATAGAACGACATTCTTTTCAAATTCCCGCCATCAGATCCGAGGAGCTAACCAATCCTAGCTGCCCGTGGGCGAAAATGCAGGAACAATTTCGAAGAACGCCGCCATTGTCTTTTCAGCAGGAAGAGCCAGGCCCATTAGATACGCGACATAAATTCGACAAAGCGCGAAGATCATGTATACTTAGCACAGCAGGGAAAGTATTTTACAATCACATCGAAGGTCGTCTGCGAAAACTGACCACTGCATCAACATGACAATACGAATCCGAGCCTCATACTTAGCCACAACCAAAAACATCATTCATTGTACAAAGCCTGATCGTTTTTCCCTAAAATTCCATGTTGAGAAGCAGCATTCCATTAAAATATTGCTAGTGTGTTCGCTAGGTAATATATATATTCAAACTGATTTTATGGCATCCATAACATTAACTGGCGCTCGTCAGCCCATTTTATAAAGATTGATTAGGGTAAATAGTTGATTAGTGGAAGGAAAGTTATACTGATAACTTGCGTATTGTACTTTTTTAAGTGTAGGATTATCAAAGGAATTATGTGCATCCATAGTAATTATTAAGAAAGAGAAAATAATATAAGCAGATAATAAAAAAAAAAACGTTTACAAAATTAATTCAAAAGTGTTTAAAACTGATAACTTGCACTGGTATAAACTAAAATTATGTAGTTAACAAGTGCGCAGTAAATAAACTGCCCAAAAATTAGGCCCTAGTCGTGTGACTGGAAAGTCGACCATAAATCAAGTTTCATCCATTAGTACTAACTCATCATGACGGAGTCGTTTTTTAACTTCAAAGATAAATTTTTAATTTTCTTTTTAACGACTATTCTTGTATTTTGTTTATAAACAAAGGTCTTAACAAGTAGTGGCTTAAAGACTCCTCTGTTTTCGCGGTCTTGGGGGATTAAATGAGACGTGCGTATTGTCGGTAATGGAAACAATATTCAGTCCACCCATTTGAAGTCCCTTGATAGCCGACTGTAAGAAATAAGAATAATTATATTGATAGGAAGACTTTATAATATGAACATACCATTCTTCCAGGGCCAAGGCCCTGGACCTTCACTCGGACTGTCTTCCAACCCAATTCAACGGCTTTCTGTAAAAAAATATTACAATTTTTTATGGTAAATATGTGCTTTTAAGCATATTTCTATATTTATCCTTTTGTTTATATGATAACAATATCAAATCAATATGTTCAATCGGATGATATTCTTTTAGCTATACAACATGAGTATTACCATTTATTAAATATTTTTGTTTTTTTGGGTTCAACTTACTCCACTAATGGTAACAGCTGTAGCTTGAGCAGCGATGTTTGTTCCCTTGCGAGTGTTTTTGAATCCCTCGATGCCACAGGATCGTATCAGCCGGAGGACTCCTGAAAGTAGTTTATATTTTAATAAATACCCACTTTTTAGATTTAGTTATTTGAAATTTAAGCAACCTTTGTGATCCGTGACGGAAATAATTGTGTTGTTGGACGAAACACGAATGTTGCAGATGGGCAGCTCGTTGAAGGGTATTCCATTAAATAGCTGGGTGGCGGTGCTGGCATCTGGGAAGAACTTGGCTTTACTGTGAAAATGATGCTAGACATTAGTTACTGTTTAATAGATATTTTGTGAATTACCCACCGATTGATAAGTGTGTCTATATCCACGGTCTTTTCACCCACTGTTCCTTCGTCTTTGGCCGGTAAAGATGCCAGCATTTCCTTGCGGTCCTCTGCCTTTCGCCAGCACGAGCTCGTGTGAATCCTGGAAGTCTGGAGCGGCACAGCTGGCAAGGTAATACTCCTAAGAGCACTTAAAAAAACAGTTTTAAGTGACATTTTTAATTTAATTCCGAGACGGTGGACAATAACCAAATTACATCACACCGCCAGTCCGGCAACACTGTCAGTGTTGGCAAACTCGCTACAACAAGTGGCCGCGCGTCGTGGTGACTGCCAACAAACCAAGAGGAAGAGTATTTTCACGTGTTCTTGTTTAAAGTTGGTTTTGATTCCGGTTATCCTCGTTTAAAATGGCTCTGAAAAGGTTGAAGAGTAAGTATATCCTATATAAATTATGTTAATAAAATTAGACTTATTTGTAACTAACTCGCAGCTAAAAAATCCAAGAGGTTGACCGGTCGCCTCAAGCACAAGATCGAGAAGAAGGTGCGCGATCACAACAAAAAGGAACGTCGTCTTGCCAAGAAGAACCCGAAGAAGGGCAGCAAGAAACAGAAGCTTATCCAGATCCCAAACATCTGTCCCTTCAAGGATGATATTCTTAAGGAAGTGGAGGAGGCAAAACAGCGCCAAGAGGCTGAGCGTTTGGCCCGCCGCGAAGCCTACAAGGTGGAACGCGAGCAAGCACAGAACAAGTTCAAGTCGCTGGAGTCCATGGTCGAGGATGCAGACATGCGGAGCACTGTTCACGGTATAATGCACGAAAACGATGACCAGGACGAGGACGAAAAAAAGTACAAGAATGCTGTTACCAAGGAGCAGTCCTTAAAACAGTACTTTAAGGAGTTCCGAAAGGTCATAGAAAACGCTGACGTTGTCCTGGAGGTGGTGGATGCACGTGACCCACTGGGGAACTCGTTGCAACGAGGTGGAGCGCGCAGTTCGCGGTGCTCCAGGCAACAAGCGTCTAGTCCTGGTGCTCAACAAAGCCGATCTGGTGCCACGCGAGAACCTGAACAACTGGATCAAATACTTCCGTCGTAGTGGTCCCGTGACCGCTTTTAAGGCATCCACACAAGATCAGGCCAACCGGTTGGGACGCCGAAAGCTGCGCGAGATGAAGACCGAAAAGGCCATGCAGGGATCTGTTTGCATTGGCGCCGAATTGCTGATGTCTATGCTGGGCAACTACTGCCGCAACAAAGGTATTAAGACCTCGATTCGCGTGGGCGTCGTTGGCATACCCAATGTGGGCAAGAGTTCCATCATTAACTCGCTGACACGCGGCAGATCCTGCATGGTGGGCAGCACTCCAGGCGTCACAAAGTAAGATTCTTTTAATTTTCTAGCTTCTTTTGATGGTTTCTGATTTATTACATATAATTAATTATTATTTTCAATAATTTCTTCAGAGCAATGCAAGAAGTAGAGCTGGATTCAAAAATAAAACTGATTGATTGCCCCGGCATCGTGTTCACCAGTGGATCTGAGAACTCGCATGCTGTTCTGAAGAATGCACAGCGCGTGGGTGATGTGAAAGATCCGTTCACAATTGCTGAGAGTGTTTTAAAGCGCGCCAGCAAGGATTATTTCTGTACCATGTACGATATTACAAGCTACGACACATTCGAAGAATTCTTCGCCAAAAAGGCAGCCAGAATGGGTAAGTACTATACATAATTTCAGATGGTAGATAATAAGTTTTTACTCTAATTACAGGTAAGTTCCTGAAAAAGGGAGTTCCGGATGTTGTGGCCGCTGCCCGAAGCGTGTTAAATGATTGGAACACAGGCAAAATCAAATACTGCACACAGCCTCCAGAAGTTCAAGAAGCCCAAAATGTGCACATAAGTGCCTCAATAGTGCACTCTGAGGCTCGCGAATTCGATGTGGAGAACTTCGAAGTCCATGGAGACAGAGATCCTAGAGCATTGCGCTGTGAAAACTGATGACATTATGGAGATAACGTCTACGGGGCCGCTCGAGATCAGAAAACCGCGCGAAGAAGAGAATCCTGCCGATAAATTAGCAGCCAATTTGGTCATAAACGAGAAGGAAAAACCAGCGAAGGGCCGCAAGCGAAAACTGGAAGAAGAAAAGGAGAAGGTGGATCCTAGTCTGCTCTTGGAAGGTAACAAATAGAAATGTTTGACATGGAATGGTATTAACTTCTTATATTATCCTAATTGCAGAAAACCAATCCCTGAATAAAGGCATCAAACAACTGCAAAAGCAAAAGAAGAAACAGATTGTTCGAAATGAGAAGAAAATCTCGAAAATAACAGACGTTCTGGACAACTTTAGCTTAGGTTCATCATCTTCAAAAGGCAGAAAAATACGATTTTGATGAGGACTATGTGATTGAATAGATTCTGCATTAGTTTTAATCATTAAAAAAATATGTTGATAATACACTATAATATAGACACGTGTAATGTCTCCAAAAGAAACTTCAATTGCCCCCTTTATTACTTTGGATGATTTCAGCCATTTCAAAAAAAAGGTAATTTAGTATCCGGATTGTTTTTGTAAATATATTGAAATTTTATTACAATCTTTTAAACTTAACAGTATAACTGCACTGATTAAATATTTGATCATATTGAAGCTATCGTATGTATTTATGCCTGACGAACAGAACACTTTACAAATGTAATTTTACATGCGGAGAAATTTTTAAAATCATCCCAGTAACTTTGCTCATGAGTACGTTTCAAGTTTGTTACTATTTTTTATAGTGCTTTTTTGGAATTAAAATATACATACAATAATCACGTAGCTATTTTCTTTATGACTTTACTGAACACGGTCTTTCTTTAACAGTGAGAAAAATGGTAACAATAGTTTTACGTGGATCGCATTTATTCTTAGAAGAAATACCAGGCTGGGATTCTAGGTTGGCCTACATACGGTTCTTTGTTTGGTACAGAGGTTAAAACAAACTAGCGCACGGATTTTTTACTACTACACCAAATCCTCGAAGTGGCATTTCCTACAGGTGGAAATGCAACCGAAGTTGGGGCTTGTAAAAGATGAATAGACGAAGGATGATTTTTGATTTAAATAAAAGTATTTAATGGTACTTAGCTACTGTGAGTAACTTAGTGCGTATCTATTTATACATTTAAACAATGAATGGGGTATGTTATGAGAACGAAAACAGTCAAAATATCAACATAAAACAAATAATGTTCGAGCATGACGTATGCTTTCTTAAAAATTGAATCCCAATGCGCTAGAGTCTAAAACCTTATTGAATTTAGTTAATTGGGTTTTTTGTATCATTTATCATTTAACCTAGGATCATCTATGCAGATTCTACTGAACAGATTTGTATTTCAGTGATGTTTGGTTTCAGTTTGGGTGGGGTATAAATTATGGGCTTAGGTTATTTTTTAAAACGTCGCATAGAAAAGGTAGTGGCTTCTGAATGTTGTATCGTAACTAGACTATCTGCCATTCTCGAAACTGTTAACCCTGATGTGCCTTCTGTTAAGTATGTATATATAAGTTAAATATTTATACATATCATATAGCTACTGGCAATGGACCTCTAGCCCCATGCGTCGGTACATTCTACATGTGTATATAATATATATATAGTGTGAATCACAGGATTTCAATTTTTGCTAAGTATTTTTAACAATCAATTACTATGTATTTCGCCCCGACTTGACCCGAGTTCTCGACTCCTCCTCCTTCTCTCACTTAATGCGACTCAGATGCGTTAAAATTAATTTCGATGTGTCTACTAGCAGTAATTGAAACTTGTTTCGTAATTATGGATATTAACATTTAAAATGATTTCTTTTGCAGTCCTTTGTTGTTCCAAATTATTGGTTGTTTAATGGTTAACTGGCGGCTTGATCTCCTGCCCGCCAGACACCTCCACCTCGTCCTCGTCGCAGGATAATCCGTCAGTGCGCACACCCGTTTGCACAGCCTGGTCAGCAATTTCTGCGCCTTTCGTAGCAGTTGGCGTGATCGCCAGCTGCTCACTTGGTCGCAACCGCATCCGCAACCCAATGGCTCTACCCGGTGTTGGGATGACGGATAAGGTCCTACCGAAAGGGCCTGCAGCAGGTACTGTCACCGTAGATGGCTAAAGTGCACCTCCAGCCAGCAGGGGCAGCCCATGATGTCCTGTCTTTTGTAGGCGGGACCCCAGCCTTTGGCGAAGCTGATCTTTATGCTGAAGTAATCGACGGGTCCCATTTGGTGATGCCCTTGCTCCTTCATGCTCAGCACTTGAGCCCTTTATAAAGAAATAAATATAAACAAATTAGTCTCCGTATTTTAGATTTAGTAAAAAAAAATCATCTTACCTATATGTTTCAAAGGCCTTCAAACAGTAGCCGGGCATCACTTTGCACACGCGGTCCAGATTTTCAGCCAATGTGGGAGAATCCACAAAAACGGGGTTATTTCCGCGGTTGTAGATCCAAACATCGCCGTTCTCCAGACTTAATGTGACACCTGGAATGCATAATCCGATTATATTTTATGTTTCCTAGATAAAATAGTCTCTCTTCTTACCTAATCCGACCTTCTGTCGCGTCGTTTGCACCGAATCCGAGTGGACCTGGTTGCCTGCGGGAGTAAGGTCACGTAGGCACATGCTATCCCCCTCACTGCTTACGATCCCATCCGTGTAGATATTGACTGCTTTCGTTCTGGCATGAAAGAACTCCCCGACTCGGTGGGCCATCTCCCAGTAGGCGATTTGGCACCACACCTTACTGTTGATGTTGTGATCTTAAAAATACAAGAAAAACGAAATTATTTAGATAAATTATATAGAATGTTTATAGATAATTTATATCGATGAAAGTATTATTAATTACAATTTTAATAGCTAATCTATAGTATCGAATGGTATATTCATTAGGAAGTTTGTAGACAGTTCATCATATATATTTTTTTACATTATTTACCACGAAGCTACAGTTCATGTCTTGTCATGTCACTTTACTGGGCGTTCAAGTAAATGCTTAAAGATTACGATGTCAAGTTAACTTGCTAATTTATTGGCCAGATAGTCGAATCATTAAATTCTTAACTATGCCTGCGATAAAATTATTCCCATTAATAACTATTATTTAAATTGCAATCTTGTAAGCCGCATACAAATTGTACGCTAAAACGGTAATAACTCTTTTGACGCTCAATAAAATGTGATTTAAAATGTCCATTACGTTGAGGGGATCTCGGGGGAGTTAACGGCTATATATATTGCCATATCGTTTGAAAATACTCGAAAGAAAGAACGAAGAGACGACGGCAAATACAGCAAATACGGCGAGTCGCACATTCAAACAGGCGCATTCACATTACGTTCACACTCACTTTTGTGCTCAGACATTTAAATGGTAATAATTTTGGCGCCAGGGCATTACGTAAACAGACCGGCGTCGCGTATTTGGTATGTGTATAAGTGTGAGTGTGTGTATGTGTGGTATTCATTCGCGCATATATCGGCCGTGTATGGCTGTATATATACATATGTATGTATGTATATAGTACGCAAACCCACAGAGTCTGTTTATGGGTTCATTTGTATATTCCGATTCCGAACGCGTGTCGGGCCAATAATAAAGCGAGAAACAAGTGCAACTCTTTATTTGAAATCCTTGCCATCACGAGAATCTGAATCTGTTGGTAATGTGTGGGCTTTGAGTACAAATTATTTGATATTTATGACCACATTAAACCATTCATAAATTTAGAAATTTTTATATTTAATTAAAAGAATATACCTATGAATATCTCGGAATTAGTAAACAAAATGCGCTGAATTTGACTTTTGCAGTCGTAAAATCCGACGTAGCAATGCAAACATTGCGTATACGCCACCGTATCAAAATGTATATATATGTATTTGTATATATTTCTAGGTAAATATTTGTTAATACCTACTTCAGATGACACCATTGTCAGCATAAACACACCCTTGTCTTGGGAATTTATCAATCAACAATGGCATAAAGAGCATTGTCAGACAACAGAGTGCAAATATCGCGCATACGCCATGGTGGCCAAATTGCCAATTGCAACAATGCCAGCGGGTCGATAGTCGATTGCTGGTGCAGTTGGCCAAAACGTGGAGAGCCAATTCGAGAAATGGTGGTGTTGCGCATTGGGCGGCGGCAAGTACACTCACAAAACACAACAATCGTTCAGCTTAGCGATTCGAGGGGAAAATCGCAGGGAAAACGTCCAACAACAATGGACAGCACGCGCTCGCCGAGAATAAATCGGAACGAAAAGGCCGAAAGGCGCTAAAGGCCAAGCCCAGGCGGGCGGCTAGTGGCGCCAAGTAAAAATATATCGCAATAAATCCGTAGACGGCTTTTAAAATTTTGCATGGCAAAGAATGTGCCGAAAGGGGTGGCAAAAGGGGGCAATGACGGGGGCCAGCGGGGGCGTTGGACGCTGCAAGTGGCGCCTGTCCGATGTTTACCTAATTAGGTCGACGCCGGCGATTCCGTCGCGTCTCGCCATGGCCACGAAAAATTGTTTACCCCACCAGGCTGGCGTCGCCACCTCGCTCAGCTCGAGAACGCGAGAACTCGACAAGATTGTGGGCCATTGAAGTTGATCCGGGATAGGTGCTAGGAGATGGAAAATTGAGAAAAAATAATTTTAGCCCCTTTGCGCAACCTTAAATGATTTCAAATCGAATATTTACTTGGAAATTTCGGCAGGTTCCGCCATATAATTTTCAATTTATGTGCGATATTTTCATCATTTTTGTTCGTAGATAAATAAATAAGTTAGGCATTTTTATTTGGAGATAGAAAATAGGAAAAATATGGAATTTCTTTTGGGATATAAGTTTTCACAATATGCCTTTTCAGGGGTTTTTAGTGCTACATGACAGGAAATATTTGGAAAATGTGTGTAATGCGAAACGCATTCAACTCTGAAACGTTTGGTATGTAAGGAGGGTTCTGCTTGAAAGATTCACCTACTGCAGTTTTTCCTGTACTACATACATATGTACATATTTGTAAAATTCGTAGCGCCGCTTCATGGCTGTTGATTCCCCTTGCTAATATTTATGTAAGTAGGTACATAAATGTACATGCATTTGTGTTAGATGCCCGAATCCACGGGCTGCTACATCATCTTTAAATTTAGAATATTTTATCTTCAATCTGTGTGCATGTGTGGGTCGAGGCAGTGGCCTGTAAGTTTGTTGGTGGCACACATGTGTGGTATCCCCCTTTCGGGGAAAAACGGATGTTCGACTTGTGTGTGTGTGAGTGTGTGTCTGTGCTCCATTTTAGTAGAGTCCCACCGGCGATGAAGTTGCATTAATGCAATTAGATAATTAAATCGATTGCTTAAGAAATCAGCATGGAAGTTTTCATTTCGAATGCAGCATTATTTAAAACTGTTGATATTCATAAGTAATGATAATTGGTTCTTTACTAAATCAAAAAAAAAATAAAAGTAAACTTGCATTTTGTATCTTAAAAACCTATACTCCCCAGTAAAGCTCTAAAGCTTCAAATTGTTTCTTATATTTATTAGAACTGGTACCATATAACTATAACCGTGACCGATAAACCACTACATTCAACCATTCCGAGTTCAAAGTGTATGCAAACAATGTCTACTTGTCAAAACTGTGATGGGAATCAATCAATTTGGAATTTCAATATATTTTTAACTGGCCTGTCACCCAATCGTCGTAAAGCCGCAACTTAACGGTCCATTTAAATGTAATAGTTTTCCGTCGTTTTGTCGCCAGTACAATGCCATAAAAAAGCCAAATGGACGATGGTGTATAGAAGTATGTGTGTGTGAGTGAGTTCTGGCCAGTTTCTGTTTCACGGTGCCGTCTCAGTTGCCGGGTAATGGTAATGCCGTGAATGATATCATAGCCCCCGTAGGACCCGTAGAACCCCTTCTAACCCCCTTCCCCATCTCAAGCACTCTTGTAAGTTAGCACTAAGATTGTGGCGCCATCAAGAGCGCCAACTCACCTCACTCTCTCTCTCTCTCTCTCTGTTTCGGTCGGTCTGCCGCCGCCCGTGTTTGTTTTTCGCTCATTATTTATTTTCATTTCGTTTTTGCTGTTTTCGCTTAAAAGTTAATATCAATATAGAAAGTGACGACCTGACGCGGCAAGCTGGCGCCACTATACAACAACAACTTGTCCGCAAGAGAGAGCACCCGCTCACACACACAACCGCACGAAGACCACACACCTACATGGCAAAATAATCGCAAAACTGCTTGCTCTCCCACTTTCTTACACTGAACAAAATCCGTTTTATATGTACTAATAAAAAGTACGTTAGTTAATTATTTATTTTTGCAAAAAACAAATAATTTTGCTTATTATATTATTGATATTTGTAAATTATATTGTAGCCCTTAAACATTTTATTCAATATCAGATACAATTTTTCTTTCTCTGCACTCTCCCAATCACCTGATAAGCGGGGCAGAGGCAAAAGAGAGAGAGAGAGAGAGAGAGTGGTGTTTTAAATGCAAAACTCACCTTTTCCATCAGTGGTGAACGACTCGAAGAGAGCGGGCTTGAAGATGCTCGAAATGCTGCTGCTTTGGGTACTCCACGTGCTTAGCGCCGCCGACTTTGCATCGTTCTGCGAGTCTTCTTCGGAATCTGCAAAAATCGGGGATCATCAGTATACCCGGATCGAAACACTATATAGTTGAGCCGGCTTACCTGCATCTCTCAGTCTCAGCATTTTTGAGCGTTGGTATGGCGGCGGTTGGGCTTCTGAAATGGCATAATCCAAAAATTGCATTAGATATCTTGAAGATACGAATTCAGTGGGATAGTTGCATGTCTGTTTTATAATTTTTTAACACGTTTTTTTAACATAAATAAAATATTTTATCTCAATCTACAAGTTAAATGTTAGAACTAATTTATAAATAATATCAGTAGTATTTCAATTTTGTACTTATTTCTCAACACAAAATATTAAATAATTTTAGGATAAAGATTTTAATATAATCTTAATTTTAATATGAGAGCTGTCTTCTACTACAGCTAAAGCTCTAAAATATATCAACTGGTTAATAACTTGATAACGTTAAACTCTTCGATTTTCTTAAAAAATATAACTAAAAAAATAAATTAACCAAGTTTATGAAATAACTTCACAAATACTTGATAACATAAAAAAGCCTAATCGCAACCTTATCAGCTGAATGCAGTTTTAACCAATTCGAAATGGCAATGCCCATTTGGATGATTACCAACAATTTCGAGTTAATCAAAAGTTCGAGTTATAAATGCGCGTCTTCTAGTTGGGGCGCATTTAGGATGAGATCATGGTTCGCCAAAACTAATACATACTAGTAGTGTTCGAATATTTGAACATCAAATCAAAGCGAAACAAAAACAGAGAGATATAGAGACAGAGAGAGAGAGAGAGAGCAACAAAGCCAAACAAAAACAATGGGCAGAAAAGCCAAGAGGAGGAAAAGAAAAGGCAGTCGAAACAAACCCAGGCGTAAGCAAGCCAAACATCAGCGCGGCAATATAAAAATAAATAATCTTTGCATATCAGGCAGCCGCACTGGGGGACATTTTATTTTTATTGGCGCAGAAATCGTTTGATGTGCGGCGAATCTCCGATCTCCGGTCTCTGGTCTCTGGTCTCCGATCTCCAATTCCTATGGCGATGTGCTTAATAACTTAGCTTACATTCTACTCCGTTTTCATTCTACTCATTTCACTCCCAAAAAAGCAAACGGAACAGGTCGTATTTGCTGGCTGAGATTGGCACAAACAAAAGCCTCAATGAATTGCCTGCCAAGATCGAGAGATATTTCTCATTCAATTCCATAAATTAAATAATTTATGAAACGTCGCATTAACATTTAATAGCATTGCATTAATGTATTACTTGCAAGTTTAAGCTCTGGCAAGAGGGTCATAAATAATAAAATGTTTTTAAAAGTTTACTAAAATAACTGCTTATATAGGTGCTTAATAGAATATTCTACGTTTTTGTATAAAATATTCAAATGAAAAATCAATTAAAACCAATATGTTATCAAAAATGATGTCAAAGATTAATTTGCTGGACTTAAAGGGGCACGGCAGCAGATATGTAAAACAAACTAGATATAAACGAAATCGGCTTTGCATCTAAATGGCATTGATTAACTTCGCCTCAATTGAATGCAAATCAATGCGATACATTTAAAGCAAATTAAGATTCAGCAAACAAAAAATCGCCATTAAAGAAGAAGTGGACAATAAAGTCCAGGAGTAGCCATCAAGTGCAACAGGTAAACCCAGATTTCGTTATGGGGATCGAAGATCTGTGGTAATGCTCTTGGTATTCTGACGGCGCATAAATCGCTTGATGTGCCTCGTCAACGGCGCCCGGCGACTCGGCTCGACTCAAATATATACCCAGATCGTGGCGATTCGCCACCGCCACCGTCGCCGTTGCCGGCCCCCCCAGCTCCAATGTACCAGTTAAACCTGATTACGAGCGGCCGCGTCATCGACGCCAACGTCGAAAATCTAACAATTCTTAAAAAAAAATTTATATATACAAAAACAAAAAACGAGCGCCGCAGCGAAACCGAAACTGAAACCAAAGGGAGAGCCAACCATTCCAGCGCCGCCGTCAACAAACTGATGGATGGATCGTATGACCAGTCGGTGAAATAGTCAACTGAATATTCACGGTTCTGGATTTTGGGTTCTGGGTTCTGGCAGAAGAGTGCCCCGTCCATTGACTCAGATTCCAGTAATTGAAATTTAAGCATGCCAATTCCACCAAGTGGCCACGGGCTTTATTTATCGCCCATGCTCCAGATTTTAATTCAGATTCGGATTTGATTATACGGAAATATGTTTTGCATTTGAATTAGTCTAATTATGCTGCCATCTTATATGCAGTTAGTTATTTGATATGAATGAGGGATATTACATTAACTTCTTTTAGAATCTTAAAATATATGCATATAGATATATAGATCTTATGGAAAATCCTAAATGGCAAAAAACCATATTAGCAATAGTTCTTCTTTGAAAATAATTAAAATTTGGTTTACGTTCTATCCTATTTTCCTTCCCTTCGATTATTGGCAACTTTAAGTACCGAAGATATAATGGTTTTAGCTGAAGAAAACCTCAACTCTTCCTACTATGCCTAGCACACAACGTAATTAGTGAAGTTCCCCCTTTAGAAAATCATTGAACAGTCCCGAAACGTTTCCACCAGCGCAAATATGCCAAACATAAACATGTATCTGTGTAGCCGATCCCCAGGAACACACAAAAACCTCAAACCAAACGAAAGCCAAGCTTTATGGGCAAGAACCGCACCTCTCAATGAGATCGGATGGATGGGGCCGAGGCACGCAAAATGATCCTTTTTTATGGGTGCCTCGCTAGGAGGAAGGGACGGGACGTTGGAGTCGTTGGTGCCGCAATGTCCAAAGACTAAAGCACCGGTCGTCGGACCACTCGTCGTTACAATTCCTGGAATTGTGTTCCCCGATGCCGATGCGGATGGAATAACATTATCGACTTGTTTAATGTGTTCGGCGCCATCATTAAAAAACCAGTCACTGTCGGGACGTCGTCCATCCGCCAGCCAGACGACGATGACACAGCCACCAGAAGGCAACCAGAAAGCCAGAAAGAGGCCTGTTGCCTTTTTCCAGTTGCCTGGTGCCTGCTGCTTGCTGCTTGTTGCCTGTTGCACAGGCACAGGTAAAGTGGCACAGGTAAGGCAGCCAGGTAAGGGAGGCTGTATCTGTATCTGTATCTGGAGACCGGCACGAACAGAGTCTTCATGTTTCCCAAAAGATTGTGTTTTGTGCACAGGAATGTCGGTATAGACATGCCTTTTTGCCATCACATCTACAGTGATTATCGGTTAGGGGAAGACTCTGAAAATGCTGGCATAAAAAACGCAAGTTGATCTTAATCTTAGTCGCTATTAAGTTAAACATCAGCGAGTAAAAAGTATGCAATTCCCTAATTAATTTGTTCGCTATCTTAAAATCCTCTTTTACTTTAGAATTACCCTAATTAGGGATTTTATTTTACACTTTTTAATAGCTTCTACAACGATTTTTATTGATATTAAATCTATTTTCATTTTATGTTTTAATTAGCACTAATTTTAATGTTCATTTTACTACAAAAATGTGTTAGTAAAATAAATAAAGTATAAAATGCAAGATAAGAATTGGAGGTAATAAATATTCAATTTGTAATTATTTTGTGTTTAAAACTTTTAATATTATTTATGGCGTAAGTTGTGTACAAGTTTCGGGGAATTGTGTTGATAAAGGTAAATTGTCTTTTCCAGAATTTGATAAGTCAAATTGTTATAGATTTTCTTAGAAAACCCCCCGATTTTCTTTCTGCACATGGCGCTCAAGTAGGTGTTTGGTTTCTATTTGAGGTTAGACATGCCGATTGATGAAAACAACCCACACAGATGATGTAGGAGCATTACATGCATGCAGTTTAGTGCTGATATAATAGCCCGATTAGATTAACACTAGAACAGCAATCCGTATACCCATATACAGTTGTAAGCTCGGCCGAGTAATACGCACGTTCTAGATAACGTTCAATGTGCCCAGTAAACTACGACTGGTGGCCGGGGTTATAATGGGTTGTAAATAAATTGCATTCATCTATCTATCTATTGCTAACCATGATGCAAAGTTAATTCTGCGATGTATATGCAGGGTGCATCTTTCAATCTGCATTCGATGTATAGCACTCACAGATACAAATGCTAGATCTACGAAGTGTGTGCATGCGCGTGCTAAAAATAAAAACAAACAAATCGGAAAGCGCACATGTATGTAATGTACATATGCACATGCACATGCTCCGATGTTTGCCCGAATGTACATAGTGCGAATGGGATCTCTAAACGATGCGCCAACTAGCTGGTGGCGACGGATATGCCGCGGGCCCCAGCTACAGTAAAGCTTCGTTAAGTCGAATTTGTTGCTAAGCAACTAATATTGTTATGTTGATAAAAGTCAGAATTTGGTTTTCTCTACAAAAAAAAAACAACGATTTTTAAATAAACAAGATTTTTATGGTTTTTCCTTTTTTTTTGTTTTAAGCCATATATAATTTTACCAGGACCATTTGCTTTGGATAAACGCCAAAAGGTAGGCCAGGATTTAATTATTATCGTGGTCTAACTTTCTTTACCTGAAATACTTTATTTTAATAACGTTTCTTTAAGCTTCTAAACTACATGTTTTAAGAGGAATACTTTTTTATTAAGTTTTAAGAATTTCAAATTCGCTTAAGCTTTATAAGATAGCTTGCCACGATCGTTTGATTCATAGAAGTTGGACTGTATTTCGAATGACTCGAGTGCTTGGATGAGTACGGGTTGTGGGTAATGGGTAATGGGTATGGGCAATGGGTAACGGACTCCGCCGACTTTGCTTTAGCTTTTGCGTTTGCGTTGGCGACGACGCCTGATTATTTCCTGGCGCCAGTTTCTAAATTTACGCAAATTATTTTGAAAAGAATTTAGTCGCCGTCATGTTGGGCCGACCGTTTGCGTGGCGCTTTCACGCACATTCTCCGTCGCTCTCTCTCTCTCACACTCTCTGCATCTCCACGTGTGCGCCTGTGTGTTGGTGTTCGAGTGTGCGAGCCGTGATAAAGCGGAATAAATGAGCCGGAGAGCGGCGGATACGGTGGGTGTGTGAGTATCGGTATCGGTGTCTGTGTTTGGCTTTGTGTCTGTGTCTGGCCAAAAGTCAAGGCGGCGGCGCACAGTGAGCGCACACAGAAAGAAAAGTTTTTTGATCCTAGTAAACAGCTTAGAATCATTCCGATATCATGATTCAAAGCTTGTAAGCTAAACGATATAGCCTATATCATAATCAATCAGATGTTTATATATTGTTTTGAACAAAAAACATCAAAACAATATTTAAATTAGGTCAAATATAAAAGAATTTCTTTGGCATGTTTTGCTCTTTATATGTACGTGCAAAAATGTGAAATTCATCTTCGTCTCATCAAGCTGATAAAAAACAATATATATCTTTATTTTTCACCTGACTTAATAGCTCGTTTCTTTACCGTGCAGGAACTTGAAAGTCGGTCTTCTGCGGGAGCAATTTAATGCCGAATACAGATACAGATGCACCTTGTATCTGACTCTTTTGGCTACGCTCTTGGTCTCCAGACCGAAAAAACACTCACTCATAAATACAAATACCCACACTAATGCACAAATGCAACCCATGCTCGCTTGCGAATAAAAGGAAACAACAACAAAAATTGGCGAGCGACGGCATTTTCGTATGGATTTCGCATGCCGCAGAGTCAGTTCGCAAGTGTGAGTGCGCCGCAGCCTGTCTGTGTGCCCTGGCGCCACCAAATACATGCACAACCCGCACCCAATTCATTGGTGTGCGTCTGTGTGTGTATGTCGGCACCTACAGTGGTGGGCACAAGTATTGGGGCAGCTGGCGCTTAGATTGCTATTAGCTTTTCCAACCGCCATAAAGATTCGGATAAGGTACGAATTTATTAGGGGAGAAACCAATTGCAAATGAATTTTGAACAATCTAAATCCAGTAAATAAACATAAACTCCCCTCCCTTACCTTTCCCAAAGCGAAATTAATAAAATTAACGTTTTCCAAGAAGCAAAACGAATTTTTTACAAGGATCACAAGGAGGGGCATTGTCTGGCATTTTGGCAAGCTAAACCTAATTTTGATTTAGTCTAAAAAAGGGGAAGTGGTTTGAAAAGTTCAGTAAATAGATTGCGTTATCGTTAACCCCTGACGAATAATTGCAAAATCCTATCTTTCATAAATATTAAATATTAAATATTAAGAAGAATTATGAAGTTGAAAATACACTCTCACATTTATTTCAAAAACCATTTAGAAACTGAATAACGCTTAGCCACTTGTGACTGTAGTACCCATTTCCTACCTGTTTCGGGCTGTTGCAGGATGCGGTACCAGTGCAGCGGATTGCAACACGTATAAACGCAGTCGCGTGCGGCGGGACAGATGGGCAGTCGCTTTAGCTCCTCGCCACTTCTTAATCCCGGCCAGAAAAACAGTCGGCTGGCGGTCACGTGTTGCTCCTGATCCGTTTCCGTCGTACATTGTATCAATATGCACTGCAGATAGGTGGGTGCGGTGGTGGCCAAGACATCCCGTGGCGTGTTGGCCGGTGGATCCACTCGACTCTTGACTGCCAGCAGGAGTTCGGCCATCTGCTTGCGTTTCAGTTGCTTCATCAGAGCATCGAAATCCTCGCGAATCCGTTTCCCATTCTGGATTTGGTTTTGTGGATGATGGGTGGCATTGGCTCTGGTTGGAATCTTGGGTGTGGATCCGTTGGTGGAATCCGTGGAGCCGCCGCAACAATTCCGGAACATGGTCGCAAATGTGGTGGCACTCAACATTCGCCGGTCCACTTGCTGAACCTGTACACGTTCCGGATTCCGTTCCTGATCGTTTCCATCGATCAACATGTGGTCGCCGGAGCCTGCGCAATTGCAACAAGGAGCGGTGCACCAGTGGTCGGATGCTGGCGGAGGCGGCGAAAGCGTATCCTTGTGGTTTGGCAGGCGGCGGTACGGGTGGCTGTTGTTGTTGTTGTTGTAGAGGGTTTCGACCTGGGAGGCCGAGCCGGTGCAGGATATAGCGCAGGACATCGAACTGTACGGCGGCGGCGGCTGGATGGGGGGTGATGTTGGCATCCCATCGCTCGGACACGGATTGATTCTGGACGCATAACGCCATAGATCTTTCTTCTTTTCGCGTGGGAATATCATGGAGGGACATACAGTTTTGCGGTAACATCGATCCTATTGTATGCGCATTATTTGTAGTTGACTAACTTGTTAAGCGGACTCTACGGGGCCGGCTAGTCACGGTAGTTTAACTCAGTTTCTGTTCGTTTCTACGGGTGGGTAGTATCTGGGAACTTGGGTTACTCGCGAAGGAAACGAGGGGTCCAGGAAATTTTTCGGGAACTTATTGGGAACTCTTTTATACTCCTCGTATCACTCGTTGGCTTTGATATGCTTTCGACGGGTTTGATATGTATTGTCCAGTGGTGTGCACTCTGCAATAAAAGAGGAATATGTTGATTAGTCACTGGCCTAATTGGTCTTCCAAGTATCGTTAAATGCACTCGTGTTTATGCTAAGCAGGGGTGGAGTCCACAAGAGGGTTTGGGTGCTAATGATTCCTCATAAACATTCGGTATTTTATAACTTGTAAAGAAAACATATTTATGAACAGATAACGAAATTCTTAAAATAGTTTTGGACAAGTTTAGATTACTGTTTACTGGTTTTTTATACCACACTTCCTTTTTTTATCACATATTTTTTTTATTTTGTTTTTCTTGATCAATTATTTTCATAAAATAACCGGGAAAAATGTAACCTAACTTTAACTGCAAAGAAATCAGGGTTAAAAAGATTATTAAAATGAATTCACCCCTTTTTCGGTTTCCATACCTATGCCCCTGGTGGAAGGAAAGGAATCTGCCTGTGGATCGCTTGAGTGAGTAATGTCCCCTTCCCTCCTTTTACCGACGGACAGACGACGCCAGTGCAATATGCAAAAGATCTGTGCGGCAGCATCAGCTGTCGGTGGAAAGGAGACAGCGATAGTTGGGGAAAGGGGCAAAGACGTTGGGAAAAGAGGGAAAGGGGGACAGAGCGAGGAGCGCCGCAAATTAACAGCCCAAATACAAACATATATGTACGTGTGTGTGTGGCCCATGCGAGCATTTCCATTTTGTTGCTGGCATTTCTTGTGCTCCTTATCGACGACAAAAGTGGCGCCGCCGGCATGACGGCAACAACAACAAAAAAAACAACAACAACTACAACGACAGCAGCGAACAGCAACAAAATTACGAATCAGCCCCACAAACACGCTCACCAACACCAACACACACCTATACTCATGCACACTCGCAGTTCTCTCGCTCACTCACACTTACAGAATGCTTGCGTGCAGAGTAAAAAAAAAGGCAGGGCGGCGGGCGTGCGAGCGAGAGGGAAGCGCCTGGCGCCACTGACGTAATAAAAGAAATAATAGTAACGATGTCGGCGGCAGAGGCGTCGTCGGAATGGCGCCACACCAACACAAGCGCACCTCAGACAGACACACGGACACGGACGAGCGACGGTCGGTTTGTCAGCCGGTTTGACAAGTTGAAGAATCAACAATTTAAGGTTGAGGTGAGTATGGAATAATCTACCGTAGCCGTGGTCAACAGAGAGCCCCCTGAGAGTGTGGTAGAAATCGAAGGCACTGTCGAAACTCTTTTAAAAAGTCAGCCCAAGTCGAGAACTTTTGGATTCTACAAAGACTTTTTTTGGATCTGAAGTTTCAAAAATAATAAGTTGGGTTCTAAACAAACAAGTTTTACCTACCTATAGAAACCAAATCTTTAAATCTGACATCGTAATTATAAGAACGAGATATTTAAAGATTTCCAAGAATTCTACACTTTTCAAAAGCTTAAAACATCTCAATTAAAAACAAAATGCATTTCCCCAATGCTTTTCTTCAAAACGATTAAGAAAATGTTTTCCAAAATCACAAAATTTACTCTTTAATAAAAGTTATAGCTAGCCAATCAAAACGAAAATCTTTTTATAATCAAAATTGCAATTCGCAGGCAATAAAAATAAATTATATATGATACAATCTATACACACGACGCTGAATGATTGTTTTTCAGCGAACTGAGAATATTCTGATACTCAAAACATTGTCAAAATTTATATTTAAAGATCAAAAATTAAGTCTTTTCTAGTTTCTAAAAGTTTGCAGTGCGAAAACAAAACTTTGAATGCCATAGATCACATTGGAAAAAGTGTCTATATATATGCAATCTACATTCAAGATTCTTAATTCAAAACCGCTGAGTGATTGTTTTCTTCAAACTCACATTAACAAATTTAAGCATTATATACTTATGTATGTATGTACTTTCAGATAATGAAAGCATGACTAATTGCAAGTCCAATTGGAAACAAACGCGATTTGGTAAGAGATACTCGCACTTTGATTACGAGATATGTATTAAATAAAATATTATTTATTAGGGGAACTTTGAAAACTAGTAAATATTGATAGTCGACTTCTACAACACTATCTTTAAGGATAGATTATACTTTTATTTATATTTTCTTTTCAAAACTTCTTTAGATAACATTTTAAACAGAAAGAAAATGTATAAGAGAAGTTCTAAAGTACAAGAACATAAAAATCGTTTTCCAAATAGTTTTTGAGTTCAATACTCTTTTAAAAACTTTTTTGCTGACTTGATAGTTTTCGTTTTCTGTTTAGCATAATCACGAGTGCAGCTCTTTAAAAATGAATTTATTTTAACAATTCTAATATATAAAATAAATATGTACTTACTGTTTCACAAATGTTTTACCAGCGATATCCGTTTTATCCTTTGATTTTTTAATATATTATTAATTATAGATGATATGTATTTGTGTATGTGATATGTTTAGAAGTTCACTTGATATTTTGTATATTACATTGACTGCAGGGGAAACAAAACTATTATTATATTGCACAATGAAATTGAATTTGTTTAACACACGTGCCGACGGGTTTTTTATTTTCTATTGATTGGTTATCGCAGTCGTCTTTTTCTTTACTTTTTTTTACTGGTCAGTCACTTTTCGCTATGCATATGTATGTATGTACGTTTGTGTGGATTTAATAAGGTGCGAGTAATGTGTTGATTTCGATTGAATATTATGTTGAAGTAGCCGAAAGCCGAAAAACAATAACAATTTCAACGTGGTGGAAAAGGTGTTTTTTTCCTTTTGTTTTTGTTGGATTGCGATTTGCGCTCTGCTTTGATTCTGCCGGCGTCGCTGCCGCCGCTATATACATATACGTATGTTTGTTTGTATGGCTGAGTGCAGGTACAATGTGTGTACGTGGCTGTCGAACAAATGCATTTCTTTTCTTTTCCGTTTTTTGCCCAGTTAAAGTTTAAAGACACTACATAATGCTTTTCCCTCGATTCTTATTGATTTTTAAATTGCGAAAACACTACGCTAAACACACACACAAGCACACGCAATAGAGATCGAAGATCCGTTATCCGGACAGAGAATTCTCGCTCTTTCTTCGCAAACACAAACATATGCATAGAATTCATAACAGCAAAAAAATAGAAGAATTTTCGCCTGACGATTTCCAATCCCCTGCGATTTTCACTTCAAATGATTTGCCTTCGCACTCACACTTTTTCTATACATTTCCTCCTTCACTTTTCAGTTCTGGAGCGAACAACAGCAACAACTTCACTGCACTTGTTTGTTGTTTGCGACGCCCGCGTTTGCAACAACAAAAGAACCGTAACCGTTGCGAAAATAAGCTAAGAAAACGTAAAAATCCGTTGTTATTCGATTAAACCAAAAATCGTTTAGCAGTTCCGAACATAAATAACATTGTTTCGGAATATTTCTCGTGGCAATACGTCAAGTATCCATCTTTTTGTTGATATCTTTCGGATTTCTCGAACGGCAAACGAACACACAAGCGGCGCGGTTGAAAATTGTTGGGGCAATGAGCAGAGCACGGTGCTCACGAAAAACTATATGGATTGTGCCAATCTTTGGAGCTGTGGGGAATTCGCTTGGACGTTGAGTTTTACCAACAGACCGAGAGAGCGCGAGCGGTAAGAGAGGAATTGAGGGAGGAATATGCAATTGTAGTAAAACGGAAAGAAGAAATATTATGATTTTTAAAATTCCTTTGCGAATAATTTAATACTTTAAAAAATTAGACATTGCAATGTCTTCGGAATTGACACAACTCTACTTCAGAACAAATGAATTCGAACTGAGAGCGAAGAGCAATCCGCTGGATGGCATGGTGAGTTTCTTGACTCTCTTCTCTCGCTTACACAGATACAACATGCGCACGCACACCCACACTTCGCTCAATGCTGGCAGTGCCGTTGGATTTAGTGTTGGCAAACGCGGTCATTTTCAAAATTTGATAACTCATTTGAGTTATTAAGAAGACTTTTCGCTTCTTGGTTTTGGTTATTTGATTATTAGGCTTGAGTGAAATTAAAAATCCAATGGATTTTGTGGAAAAAAGTAATAAGTGAAATCCAAAATGAACTATATGAGAGTGTATTATTTTATTTCAAATGTTGTATTTTTAAATAGCAAGAACGAAAAATGTTGCCTCAATTTAACTCAAGCTTAAAATTCTGGATACATTTTAGATCTCCATTAAGTACCTTACGTAAATACGTCGGTTTATGTGGCTAAAAAAACGCAACTCCCTCGGTGCAATCGAGAGCGCAGAACCTGAGGAAGCAACATCGACATTTAGCGCGGTCTTCGTTGCCGCAAAATGTGATGAATGGTTGTGATCAAGGGCATATCAGTTGCATTGCCTTGCCCATGTCTGCCCAAACATACGGACAAACACACGCCCATACAAACTGGCGCCCCTGCAGCGGGCCTACACACACAGGCGCACTTAAAACGCGCAGCGAGGATCGAGTCCGACACTGAGACAAATTACGTTATGATAAAGATTTGTCAATAAATTATTTTACAATAGGAAGTTTTTAAAATCACTCATTGAGTTTCGTTATAAATCATCTATTTTACAATAATATTTTATGAAGAAGGAAAAAATATACAATGATCCTCATTTAAAGTCGTCCGACTTTCTCTCAGTGCGCGGCAGACGCTCCAGCAGGAACCCTGGCTCGTCAGTTCCAGCAGAAATACATAATTGTCTCTCGTTTGGACGACTCGAAAACACAAAAGCAAATAGGCTCCCGTCATTACGATAATAACAGGTCGGGAACAGGGAACAGGGAACACAGGCCACTTGTGGAGTGGAACCCGGCAACCGGCGATGGTTGGCAGGAGGAATTTGATCGCGTCGTGAGCGTTAAATAAGCGAGAGTTGGGCCTCTGACTTGTGGAGGGGGGATATTACCTCCGGAAAGGACGGCAGGAGTTTGAATACATTATTTTCTTATGAGGCCAAAGACATTCCGCAAATGCTAAACAAATAATAAGACAGCCAAGAACGCATCTTATTTGAAGGGGCTCAATTATTTAGCAGTTCTCTTTTGCTGTATTTAACTTTATTCTTAGAATATGAACAAAAGGTACAAAAATTACGAATTTTTCATCAATGAAATCCAACAAATAACACTATGGCCAATTAATATCGATTTGAAATTTGACACTAAGTATGATTCAACATGAATTAAGCTTTATATTTGATTACGCTAAAATTGCTAGGTAGGGTGAACCGAAAGGTGGTTGCCATTTCTGCAAAGTCACCCATTCATTATGATAAAGAGTGCAATCTATAAGATAGCCTAATTATAATTAGTAACTAATTTAATTTTGTTTTTAGAAAATAGAGAAGTTAAAATATAAAATCAATATTGAAGAATAGAGCACATTATTTCAGCAGAACCTGAATTCCCGACTATACACGTGCCTATCTTGAAAGTATGTCTTTATAAAACTGACGTCATCTTAACCAATGCACAACGTAGATTAGCATAAATACGTTTTCGTGTGTGGGAAGGGTTATGGTATATAGTTTCGGTGATATAGTAGATGGTCATCTATGAAATCTTAACTCGCTCGGCATTGTCATGTTGGGAAATGTATCGGGTTTCCGATTCGCCTTTTTTTTAATGCCGACAAAAACTGAGGAATTCAGTTCATTCAGAATGTGTTCCTAATTTGCTATCTGAAGAATTCTCAGAAAAATAAATTCGTAAGGTAAGTTGATCTAAAATGCCTTTGCTACTTTATTTTCTAAAATTTCCCACATTCTAGTCGGATTAAGTTAATAAGCTGTAATAGTACTTGATCTCCTGATCAGGTGACCTGTCTGAGTGATTGTTCAGTTGACAGGAGCCCACTTGGGTGGTCACTCATCCTTGAGAACTCTTCACTGACATTCTTCGGTCGAATCTGCTGCAATCCACTATCAGCAGAAGCAGCAGAGACAGACTTCCTCTGAAACCCCGGAGCTGACGAAATTCTTGGCAGAAGCGAAAACCAGTTTAGCATCGTTCCATCATCTTCTTATCCTGTGCAATTCCTTGGGATTTGTTTGCTTGCCCCTTAACGAGTTCCAGCCTTTTTTTTATTCATTGATATTCCCATTGCTGTCTCTCTTACCCTCGGTTTTGAGTTTCATAAGCTAATTTTCGAGAGTTCATTCAAAGAAGATAAATCTGAATAGCGTGTGTCCCTCATGAAGTCGGAAGAATTTGACTGGCCTTTGAGCTCTTGAAAGCCAGATCGCCTTACCTCTTAGTTTTGATCAGCGGTGTTTGTTTTTAGGTAAAGATACCTTATTCGCATAACTATTTACTGCATACCGCAATCACAAGTTTCAGCATTACATCAATTAATTAGATATTTTATAAATTTAAGATGCTATATCGGTAAATTTAAATTGCTGAATTTTATGATAGATATTTTAAGATAAAGTATTATTGAAATTTTTTGAGAAGAGTTTTTTTAACTAAGCTTTTTAACTTTTGATTTGAGTTATAACATTTTTAAAAATGTTTTTTTTTAGGATGAAAACTTACAATTTTTTCAACTTTTTAAACCAATTAACTGACAAAATGTAGTCCTTGATTAAAGTAAATACTTCGATTGATATTATTTTATTTAAGAACCAAATCCACATTCACTTTATTTTTAACATAACTCATTGTTATACTAATCCGAGGTTACGACGCGTCTTACCTCCTGGATACTTGGTCATTTTCCAATTTTCCAACTATATAAAAGTTTAAAAAGTTCCTTTTGAAAATTACTTTCGGATGGCGCGCTTTTACATTCGACTGACGCGATTTATTCGGACGTGTCCTGTGGCGCATTTCTAAGTCAACTAAGCGCCAGTCGTAGCTGGATTCGTCCTTTTATAGGCAAGGACTCGGCTTCGCTGGTTTTGGTGCGCACTGGGGACTCCTGTGACTGCGACCACTGCGCAGTCATACGGATGTGGACATGGAAGCGGACTCAACGGCGGCGGCGACGGCGGCACGGAAGACTCATTGGACAAGGCGCCGTCGCCGCCGCCGTCTGTAACTGAATCGAGCTTACGAGTCAGTCCTCCTCCTTGGACGCCGACGCCACTCGTCCTTCGTCCTTCTGACTCATCTCCCAGTCCTCGCCAGCCATTCATGCACCAAACTGGCACTTGTATGCAGATGTATGTCGCTGTGGACATTCGAGTTTATTGTCTTCCACATCCCTTTTTTTGTGGCGGGCACATTAGATGTGTTTTGGTTTTTGTTTGTTTTGATTTTTGGCCACCGGATCTATTCGCAACTTGAGAAGTTTTTTGTTTTTCCAACCATCATAACTATGATAATTGTGTTTTTATTTAGTGTAAATTTATTTTGATAGTTTCGTAAATAATTGTTAAATATTTGCTTGAAACTGTTTGAATTTTTGGTATCCATCAGCAAACATAATATTATTTTTTATTAGAAAATATCTTAATCTGGTAAGGCCTAGAATAAATATACCGAAATATGTATAACCAGGCAATAAATCATCTATTAATTAAGAATCTCTAGCAATCTATTCTAACTCATCTTGAATAATACATTTATTAATAAAAACCCCCTTGGGCTAGAAATAAGGAGTCGTATTAAATTGAAAGAAATTGAGGGACTGCAAAAAACACGACGGAGTAAGTACATAAATTTTTAGTTGGCGTCACTAGGCGTCTGGTCTAGTCGCACTGGTGTCTAAGCTGAAACCTATCTGCGCGCCATTTCGTTTTTCAAATGTTGGCTGCCGGCGACGGCGGCGATGGCGACTGGCGGCCGAAGTTGGCCTAAACCGCATAGCGAGCCCTAGACGCAGACACTCCGTTGGGAAAGTTTGCACGACCCCCGTCAACCTATTGGCAGCCAGAGGAGAAATCAAGACACTAACTCTCATTAACCGGTAATTAAGTGGTTAAATCGAATATAATGAGGTCGAACTGTAGAAAAGGCGGGTCGTGTTACACTTTCGACGAAAGAATCTGTGAGATCTTGGATAGAGTACTTTTTAAAAATCATACTCTTACGACATATGTCACCAAGATCAAATGTTAATATAACAAATGAGTAATATTCTTTAAACCCTTTACAAAAACAAATTTATAAGAATCAAAGAGGATCAATGTCCAAATACCATCAAGCTCACTACAGGATCATTTAAAACCAAACCCATTGGTAATGATGTACAAATGATGATCCCCTTCTGGACTCCCCACCCACCACAGGGTGCCAATCGTGGTGTTGTCAACAAAAACAACGGCCAGATAGACGCGACAATAACTCGTCATCATCGACGCGCCGGCTATTTTCGCATCTAATTGTGAGAGCAGCGGCGTTTGGCGCGCCAATTGGTGGCGATGGCAATAATAGCGGCGCCCAGTGGCGCACACTTGGCCCGTTCGCAAATCAAAGTTCTGCGTATCCGCATCCGCTGGGTCCTGGTCTTGCCCTGAACTGCGGCACTGTCTGCTCCGCTCCACGGCAGTACCAGAGTCCTGTCGTCCTGCCTGTCGTCGTGCCATTGTCGCTGTCGCCGAAGAAGCAACGACGGGCGACTGGTCGCCGCAATCGTCTGTCTAAGTCTAGCCTTTGGATGCAGTCAGAAAAATTGATTGGACTTTGAGAATGTGTTACATTTTTGAGCCTAAGAATAAAGGTAGACCATGTTGCCTTTTTTAATAAATTAAATATAAAAAACTCATATATATTTAATTATACTATAAATATTTTAAAGCTTTCAGTTTGTTAAGGAAACCATTGGTATTATTACATTTTATAAGTTTTAGAAAATATTTATCACTTTTTTGTATTCCACAACTTTAGGTGAATAAGTTATTTCTTTCAGTGCACCGCATGCTAACTGCTTAACATGGGGTGGGAATGGGTGCGTGGGCTACACTTCGCATCCCTTCTCGCTGGGCGCTAGGACTGCTGCCGACAAGTTGTCGTCTTGGTGACCGTCGCCAGTGGTTGGCGTCGCCGACTCAGAAATTTGCAACAATTCCCGAGCGCGCCGCCGCCACTTGTTACGCACTTTGGCGCCTCCGCACAACAAAATGTCCCTTACGGGCAGGCAACTGCCGACACTTCGACGCTTGATTCTGCGCCAAAAACAAAACACAGACAGACACAAAACACGGTCTCCATTGATGTTGATGTTGATGCGATTGCCCCCACTCTGGGGATAATTGTTTATAGACATAAAAGTATGATTATAATTTATAAACTAGATCAAAGTAGATCTTTATTTGTAAAATTTTTAAATGAAACCAAAGATGTAATGTCATTTAAATAAAGGTATTAAAATAACAAGAATAAGTGCTAAGGATAATAAAATGATAATAGAAAAACCCCCAATAATTACTAGATCATTTTGTTCGGTGTGTTCTGTGAAATGGTATGTTTTATTTATTATACTCCTTGAAATTATATCAATTTTAAAAGTTTGCCTTTGAATCTGCGAACATATTTATGTTAAATGTTTGACGTGTTTTTGCGTGTGATAAATACAAATAAAACTACAATAATTATTGTATATGCGTTTACAATCTTAAACACCTATCGTATTTTGACTCTTGTTTGCTTAAAAAGCAATAGTTTTTGAAGTGTTTGCCAAACTCTTGTCTTTCCTTTCAGATACAAAACATGAATTTCGTTTTTTAAAAAATTACTTAAAACAACATTGAAATGATAGTGTAGATAAAATTAAAAACGAAATAAAATTAAAATGCTCCACAACGGATTCTTACAACAAATATCTCTCCGTTGCTTTACAGAAGTTTTGATGAAAATTGCAGTATTTTTTTTTAATTTCAAATTTGTTGATTTTTTTTTTTTTGGGTTAAACTAATTCATTCCGACCATCGGGTTTTCGTTTACGTTTAAAAGTCAAAATGTATCACAATTTTGATCATTTTGTTATAATAAACACGCTTTTGACCGTACCTTCTCTCACAATGCTAATTATTTAGTACACATTTATGCTGAATGTCTCGATTATATATTTAATGGGTCTTGCACAAATTTGATTCAATGAAACCCAAAATGTATTATTGTAAAAAATTTCAAAAAAAACGATATTTACAAATACCAGAAAAAAGGTTGATATATTTGTAGCTGCGCGTTTAAATGAGTATGCATGAATCGCGCATATATATATATATATATCGGTGCTTAAAAATTTTAAACGTATTTATCATATTCCCTTATTAACAGGGGTATAAGTTACATACATTGAAAGCCCAGTTGTTATTTCGATGACAAAAAAAAAAAAAGAATATTACCAGAATATTAATTTACACAGAGGGTCGATTATTCTTTAGAAATCTCTACAGAAATGCCGGAAAAGTACTCCTTATCAAATATAAAATGACATAAGTATGTACAATGGGCAAAACTAACCATTCGATATTTTATTTATAAAACATGCTCTCCTTTTCTCTTTCTCTCTACCTCTCTTGTACAGTGCACATAATTTTGGATAAAAGAACGTTTCTAACAAACTATTATCAAAATTTATTGACAGTTGAGTAGTTTCTCAATTTCAGTATGAGATTTTTTATACCCTGTATCAATAAGTTTTTGTGTAGTATGCGTAAAAGTAAACACGGTCATGCATATGTGAGTATTGTATACATAATTTATACAAACATATGCGTAATTGAGTAAAGCAATGCGAACTCGGCTACATAATTTCACAATCATTTAAAACGCTCAATCAAGTGAAATGAAAATCTTGCAAAGCAAACCTAATCAATTTGATGCCTGGCTTCAGTTATTAATGCTAAGAGGGCATCCAGCTTAAGATCTTTAAACCGATCGAAATGGTGCATAAGCGGTTGAATCGCATCCGACTCGATGGCAGCCGATATGGTCTGGTTTTGAATAGTGCGGTTGAGGCAGGACGCGACCTGTGCCAGGAACTCCCGCCATTTCTGTCTGTTCTCCTCACTAAGAGTTGCATCAGTTTGGGAAACGTATATTTCCTCGGCCCGAAGTATCAGGGCAACCAACGATAGGATTCCGAACTGTAAATTTAATGATTATAAAACTATTCCATTACTTGATAATGAGATTAACATACGCGACTGCAGAAGATTCCAGTCAGTTTTTTGTCATTCAGCGTAATGGCAGCTGAAATGCTCACTAGGATTTCAAAAGTGGCGTGGTTTATGTGTTTCTTAAACTCTGGATAGAGCGCGTACAAAACTCCTTCAACGTCGTCTTTGTCCTTTTTCACCACTGTCTGCAGGGAACAGAATACACCGCTCCACACGATCCAACGAATGTTTTGATCCGCGATGAAGGGCATAATCCGACGGAGAAGTATCTGCAATGACACATTGTTTTAGTAAGGTGTATAAACCACTTTTAGTGACCTCTTGTAAGTATTTTCAATTCTATCATTTAAATGCTACCTGTTTTCATAAATAATATAATATGAGACCAACTCACCTTTCCTTTGCGCACATTCATCATGGACACCACCTTTTCAAAAGCCAGACCAGCTTTTAACTTATTGACCAGCGCAGCGTTCGTCTCTACTTCATAGTTGAACTTGTTCTTCAGCTGCGGATTCATGGTCTGCGGATTAGCGGCTTCAGCGGCACGCTCTTCGGGTGTTTTATTTGCCATTTCTAGCTGCTCAAGGGCTGCAATGCGCTCGGCCTCCTTTTTCTTTTTTAACTCTATGGTGGCCATTACCTCCGGGCTCTCTAGATCCTCTAATTTCAGCAAATAACGATACAGCGTCTCGATCAAAAGAAGAATATGTCGTGACTTTCGCATGCTGCTGGGATTAACATCATGGCTCGCAAGAATGAGGCAACGGAGTCGAGCTCGTGGAGGGTGAAGTCGGATTGGCATCTGCATTTGATTCACCACTCATTATATCAGCATCGATGATTTTTCGCGGCGCTGTTACACTTCCGTACTGCAGTTTTCCAAGCGAATTCTCGAATTTCAGAGGCGAGAATATATAGCCTGTCAGGTTGTTGTTGTTATTCCCACCTGAACCGTTGTTCGTGCTGCCTGCTGTACTATTGGCGTTCTCCGAGTTGCGACGTTCACGTCCGTGTCCATTGCGTGTGCCATTTTTGTTGCCCAACTGCACGAGAATAAGCTGCGCATGCCCGCGTGGCTGGGTCAGCGGATGATTCAGCTGATTGTCCTTGTGCGCCTGGCTGTTTCGCATCTGCCCGTTCTGCTGGGCCTTGCGCTCCCTGAACACCGTATAGTAGTAGTCGTCGATATACGGCGTATCCGTGTTCAGCTGCGACAGCTGGATTCCGATTAGCCAGTGCTTATCGCGTGTGCTCATCAGGTTGGCATACTCATCGTACTCTTCCAGCGGATAATTACCCGTACCATCTGGACGTCGTCCTAGTTGTTGCTGTTGCATCTGGGTCTTTTGGCGATCGCTGGCCACAGATCCGGATCGGCTCTGTTGCATTTGTCGTACCACTGCTGCCTGCTGAAGTAGCGGATGGTTCTGCTGGATCTCCTGCACCAAACGCATGTTGAACATGTTGTACATGGAGTTCGGTGGCTGTTGACCTAGTAGGCTGTTGCCCCCTTGCAGGGGTAGCGGTAGCATTCGCGGTGGAATCTGATGCTGATGGGGCATTTGCAAGAAAGGCGGTGGATGCACACCAGCGGCACGCATTGCATTGAAGCTCGGATGCATGGCAAAGTTGTTCAATGCCGTGGGCAGGGCATGCGGATTGGGTAGTGGTCGCTGGTTACCGCCGGGGAGTGGAAAATTTGGTGGCATATGCTGCGGCATTAGCGGATGCTGCGGCATATTCCCGGGCAAACCTGGGGGGTAAATAAAACCAGGTGGTACTCGGTTTCCACCCATGCCGTTCAGTTGTTGTTGCTGCGAAGGCGGTGTGGGCAGTAGCTCGGACAGTGGATGGGGACCAGGAAAACCCAAATTTGGCCTAGGTGGAGAGGTCTGCGGCGTTCCCATAAAACCAGGAGGTGCTGTAATAAATTGATAATTAAATGTCAGTCCATGATGTTTTTCTGTTTTCTTATCTCATTTTGAGGTACTTTGTGAAATTGACTTTCAATAACGTTGATATTTTTTAAAGGATTTAAAGGATTTTACTCTTATAAATACTATAAAATTTTATAATTATATAATTTAAGGAAATTTAGGAGCAATATTTTGATATTTTGGCTGAAAAAGCACAAATTACATCCCCATTACGACTAAAAGTGAAAGTCGGAGCAGTTATGCATAAGTCAATAGAAATTGATTTTTAATATGCTCACCCTTGTGCTGCGTTTGTTGTGGAGGCTGTTGATGCGACTGTTGTTTCTGCTGCTGCATTTGATGTTGTTGAAGCTGCTGCTGCAATTGTTGCTGCTGCAAGATGGTTGGCGTGGCCACCTGCTGCCTGTTGCCCTGGCTGAAATCATCGAACATCTTGCGCTCGATTTGTGGCTGATTTGGCTGTTGTTGCTGTTTGGGCATGGCTTGCTGTATAATCATATTCCGTTCTATGTCCTCGAGGGTTGTAATCTTGGGGAAAGCCTGTGGAGGCAGTGGAAAGTTGGTATTCGCCTCCTGCTGAGGCTTCATCTGTTGTTGCTGATGCTGAATATGTTGGTTGCTGTTGCTGCGGTTTGAATGCACTATGCATGGGCTCTCGGAACAAATTTTGGTTATTGGGAAAAGTCTGCGATCCCCAGACGCCTGAGTCCAGTTTTATTCTATTGCTCAGGCCACCGGCTTCGTTGTCAGCCGCGAACGTGGATAGGTCCATGTCGTCCAGCTTCATCGAAGAGAGGTTCAGCTCTAGATCGGAGTCGCCGATGTGCCGCGACTGCCGGAAGGGGACATTAAACGGGGCCGGAGTGGAGCCGCTAGACGAGGGCGCCGAAGAGAGCGGATGGCCGTGCCTCAAAAAAGAGCCGTTGCCGTGATCAGCGAACTCTGTACTTCCGCTGGACTCCGCTGGCCGCTTGCGTACCCTTTCGCCATTCCCGCCCAGCCGCACCATCGTCTCATGGGCCTCCTCCCAGTCGCCATTTATCGCCGATCCAAAAGTTTCGTCATTGAGGGCATCGTACTCCGCCTCACCTATGCGTCCATCCCCACTTTCATCGTCCTGGGCATACAATTAAGATAAGTAAATTAGAAATTTGAACATTTTATTGCCCCCGGTGGCCTTCGATGCCCCCTTCTTTGCCGAGTGAAAAGATAATGTGTGCGTTGTGCATTTGCAGATTCCGGAACGGGCCCGTTCTATCGGATTTTTCTGGTGCAGTACCAGGATCACAGCTTACCGGTAGATTTGTGTCAAAGCCGAAAAACGAGTCATCCATGGCGATAAATATATTGCTTTACAAAAAATTATCATGACTTGTCAGTGACAAGTTGTCACCACACCAGTGTGACCAGCGCGGCGTGGGTGGTTGGGTAGCAGAGTATCGATAGGTGATATCGGTTGTGGCACGCTCTACTTAACCAAATAAAACGGCGGGATATATACGATGGCATAAGATAAAATAAAAAATCAAATTACAGATTGGTTAATAATGTTAAGTTAAATAAACCAGAAAATATTAAGAATTATTTGTCTTTTAATGGATGAGTCTGATTCCGTAATAAATTTATAGACATGTTACAATATGGATTGGCCATGCTAAACTAAATTTATTTTTGCAAGTACCCTTTATCAATGCATTCGATATTTTGAACCAGTCACGAGATATGGAACCGCGAGCGCATCTCCAAATTAATGGTTCAGTTATCGGTTCGGACGCAACGCCGAGTCTGTTTTTCTTTTCCCAATTACTTATTTTGACCAGTTAAAGCGGGCAAAATGAAGCGGAAGACGAGCGAGATTTGGTGCTTCTTCCGGGCGGTGGACGACACGTTCGCTGTGTGCAATATCTGCAAGGCTAAGCTATCCTACAAGACGACTACCACCAATCTGAGCAAACACATGAACAGAATGCATCCAACATCAGGACTTGGCCGGAGTACTAAGCACTACAAATTCCAGACCCAGAGCAGTAGTGCCATTGACCGAAATAGAGGGAAACCGCGTAACTCTACGCAGGAGGTCATAATGCTAGAGTTCGTGAAGAAGCATCCGCGAATGCTGCAAAATCCGACGTGGGAAACGCGAACTAATCTGGAATCACTGTGGGAGGAGCTGACCTCCGGCGCTGGCCAACAGTCGCGCGGCGGAGGAAAAGACGTCGCTACTTGACAAAATTAGCAATAACATTGAGATGGTCCATGACGCTGCCAACAGCGCACATCTCGCTCTCAATGAGTTCTTCGTCCTGTATAAACAGAAGCTGTTTGAAGACAAGCGACATCACTTAGCCATTGAACAGTTGATGGCTGAGAAAATAGAATTAAAAAAGAAACTCTTGGAAATCGAACAGCGAAAATTATCGCTAAAATGAGGGGATGTAAGGTAGTCTTAATAACGTAATAATTAAATAAACTAAGTATTCGATTAAACTGTTGCCTAATTGTATCATATTTCAACTTGCCTGATCCCAAGCCCACTTAATACACAAATTTAAACAGCATCCTTAAGTTTTATTTTTGAGACATTTAGCTGATTTGCAATTGTTCTTCGTATACTTCTTTTAGGATTTCTTTAAATTCCGCAGGATAAGCCGCATCGCTCATAACAGCATCGTAAACATACTTCACATTCTGTGCAATACAAGCTTTTAATTAAAAGGCCGACCAATAGTCCATATTACTTACCAATTTTGAATCAGCTGATGTAGAAGATTGAGCCTCATCAGGATCACTTAGCCCGTTTAAGTCTCCGCAAGCTATGAACGGAACTAGCCGTCGGTTGACATCGGATCCAGTTTTTTGTGCCAGAAGACGAATATCATCTCTTGCCGGGTTAATCACTTGTGGAATGTACCCCGCGGGCAGGCAGAAATCGGAGCATACAACAAATGCTTCGATGCTCGATGGACGCGAACTTGGTGGCTTGTAGATGTCGAATTTCTTGAAGAATATTTGCATTTGGGAGCTTAGTAGCCATGTGGCATTGCCCTTAAAGATCTTGGCAACAAAAGTTCCGCCAGTTTCAAGAACACAGGTGGCAATGCTTAGAGCAGCTACGAGTAATTGATGTTGCATGTACTCATCCATTTCGTGAACACCGGTAACATCGGGGGCTCCATCGCAAACAACCAACTGTGCCTTCTCGCCATTACTGCCGCCAAAGTGCCCGATGATTGCTTCTGCTGTTGACTGTTTGGTGATATCTCCCTGGAGTTGGATTATGCCTCTGATTGGTGCCATAGCCTGGAGATCAACGGCTATGATCTTAACAGCTGCTTTCTCGTCATCCGTTTGACAGGGATCATATAGTTTCCTCGATAGAACCTGGGACCAGCTGCCAGGAGCAGCGCACAGGTCTACCGCTCGCTGGACACCTGATTAAGAGGATGCAAAACGAAAATGGGGAGGAGAGAAAATATAAAACACCTACCATTTAAAATGCCGTAGGCCTCGTCCACGTGTAGTAACTTGAATGCACTCCTGGCCCTCCAGCCCTCCTCCTTGGCTTGGCGGTAATATATATCGCGTTTATCCTTCGATGTTTTCCCCATATTAAACTATTTTATAACTGGAAGAAAATAACTCCCATGCTGGGATGAAATATTAGGGATGGTCTGTGGAAGAACTGGATCCCTTTTAGATTTGCGAAACAAATGAATATACTCAGACAAGTTATATATGGGGTATTCTCTTTACAGTTTCAATTTAAAATTTCTGATTTTGCCCCATATACTAATTTATTTCTGGTGAAATTTAAGAATTATAAAATAAAAAGTTTGTTAATTCTTGTTTGTTTAGGTAAAAAAGCTAGCAAATAAAAATGCGTTGTAAAGTATCTTAGACTCCACAGAACAATTATATGTAAATTCATACAAAAATTGAGCCTGGATTTTATTAGCTACGCGATACGGTCTCATTGTTAGCGCGAGAGCTTTAAAAACACGCATTGGAGAGGTTTTTCCAAATTAATTGCTAAATATGCACAGAATACCACTGCATATGGTGTCAGAGCTTTGTCCCGAGGACTCTGAATATGTAACAATGTCAAAAGTCATGTCCCCACGCAACCTCATGTAAGTACCAACGCTAATCGATCTATGACAACGCAGGTTTCCCATTATTGCGAAATACTCGTTATCCTGCCATGAGGACGTCTGAATATTATTATATACTCCATGAGATACTTTCTTTTTTTGCAAAATTCTAGAGAATGCGAGCTGTTCCTTGAAAGTTTTGCGAAAGGAAAGCGAAGCAGTTTTTGGCGGCTTTTCAATATCTGCTCAAAACAGCCTCGATATTTCTAAAGAATGTCTGAAAATGAGAAATCCGAAAGTGTTAATGAAGGTATTTGCACAATTTGTACGATTATTATCCACGTTGTAATCAATTTTTTTTAGACTTTGCACAGCCTGGACGAGATCATATGCCGCGCACCCACCGCCACCACCACTTTCGTAGACGCTATTTTGGCCCGAAGTTTGCTCTATATGAAAAGTAACCAGCATGCGGTAGGCCTTCATAAAATATTTATTATAAACTATGTTTATAATGTCATATTACTTTTAGATTGCCTGCACTGACTTGTTGTTTTACGAGGCTTTGGATCCAACGCTCAAGTCACCGGCGGGAACTATAGTCTCACAAATCCTTCTCTGCATATCCCTCTACATGAATCGGGAATATCAAGCATCGAAAGATAAATTGGCTTCTATAAAAGACCTCATTGGTAAATTTTAAAATTGATTGAATTATTATTATAAAATTCAGTATTTATGTATTCTAGGGAAAACACCATTATCCGATAAAAGCGGTGAGTAAAACTTTTATATACGTATTAAATAACTGATGTAACCTAAATGTTACTATATATCCCAGAAATCGGACAGTTCATTACCCTTATAGAACAATACGAGGAGAGAATAACCCAAGCTAGGAAGAATGTAGAGTTTAATAAGAAAGTTCAAAGTAAGTCACTGATACCTTATGAGGGCTATAAGCTTTCACGGAAAATACCCTATACCAGCCAAGCCTGTGAATACTTGTAAGTAAAGAAAGATTGGTTTATTTATGTGTTAATTACATGTTATTGTATAGAGAAAAAACTACTAAGAAACCTGCTGGAGTGTACGCCTCCCGTGAAATTCCCAAAGGAGAATTGGTCCTAGTGGAAAATCCTGTCTGCTTTCAGTTCAGTGCTCCGTTCCTAAACTGCGATGTGTGTGGATTGCACCAGGAATTGCTCTACTCCTGTGAAAACTGTCGTTATAGAACATATTGTTCAAAGTTGTGCATGGAATCAGATGCGGATATTCATATATTTGAGTGCTACGGATATAGAATTGGCGTGATACCAATGCTAGAGGCATCGATGCTATTTCGATTATTTGTTGAAGCAGGAGATTATATACTTCCGGCATTAGTCGACTATGCGATGGAAGGCGGGTATGTTAAGTTTCGATTTACCGTTATCTAAATTCATGGTTAACCCCCAACAGAATAATAAGTAAACCCCGTGAAGCTTGGAACTTTATACTTGACCATGCTAAGGAAGAGGATAAAAAGTACAAGATTATTGGAGAACTACTTGCCACAGCACCAGACTATAGCCTTATTACCAAAGAAAAGTATTTCGAAATTGTAACAATAGCATTTCGTTTGTCGGTTTTCATTTTCAATGATACCGAGCTCGCAGACAAATATTTTTATTTGCTGGCTGTTGTCAAGACTGACCTTATCATTGTAATCGCAGCTATGCTGTTACGATTAGCCGGACACGTGCTATTAAAGTCGCAACGAGATGAGTTTTACTATCCGAAACTCGGAGAAGTCATGAATGAAACTCACGAAGAATTCACCGAGTGTGATGCACTTCCAGTGCCAATTGACCGTATAATCGCAAATGCGTTTAGTTACTATGGAGTAGATGGGAGATCTGATTTCGTAGACTGCTACAATAAAGTTCACGACAATTTAGTTGAGGACGAAAATGAGATGCACGAAAAGTTTTCTAAAGACAGTCCTATATTTAAGTTTGTAGATAGACTTCATTCCATATTCATTAAAAAATGTGAAATCGAAACTGTTGAGCAACTGATGGAAGCGAAAACCCTACCAGCTCATCAAGTGGATGAGATTCTTGAAATGTCTAACACTTCAAAACGCTGCCAATTGTTAACAATTATTGCCAAATATTTTCATGAATTTGTTCATCAATATTTCAACAAATTTGAAAACACTTTTCAATCTAAAGCCACACTTTGTATCACATTAAATACCTTTAAACAAAATTGTGCTACCGAAAACGTTAAAATCATGTGAGTTTAGTCTTTTGATATGTGTTAACATTTTTTAAAGATGATTTTGTTCTTTTCTCAGATCGCTTCCAAATGGAAAATTTGTCGGAGTTACTGAAAGAAATGTCGCTATTGGCGAGGAATTAGTATTATGTCCTGAATTTATCAAACATCGTGATCAGAACATTATATTGAACTTAGCACACTGCAAAGACTTAAATTTTTCTTCAAAAATAAATCATGGAAAACCAAGTGTAGGTATAAGGTTATTTTATTAAATCATTTACTAATTTTTGAATTTTTAGTTCGAAAAAACGGCTTCTCCCGAGTTTTTACGACACAACAACGCGTTCATCTCTGCAATCAATAACAAAATTTTAGCTTGGAAACATTCTAGACAAGGTGAATCAAGTGAATACATTTTTCAAGTATTTACCTATATAAACGTATTTTATGTTTATTTTACAGATCCGAAATTACAACTGAACTTGTCAATTTTATATGGTACTTATAATAGTTTTCTTGCCTTGCATTGCGAAGAAAATGATGAAATACGTTTGATGGGAGTCCTTAAATTTTCAATGTTTTTAGCAATAAATGGTTTGCATCTGTGAGTTTATAGCCTGAACTTGCTTGAACTAATTGTACAATATTTAATACAGGTTTTTTGCAACATGCCAGCGATAATATGTTACACTTAGTTGAGTTAATTGAGCTGGAAGACATATATTTTAAAGAAGTCCAAACTTATCGGAAAGTCCTTCGTGTAATTCAGAGTATTATGGAACAATATATTAACATCATGTGAGTTCAAAATTCTATATAGACCTATATAGTTTATAATTTACTAACTACCAATTTTTAGGACTGAAGTTACCCATATTGGGCCGGACTATCCCAAAACTGTACTTGTGAGCTGTTCCTTAATTTTAAAAAGACTGCAACTACATGTCGAAGCTTTAATTGATAATGCAGAGGCTTCAGCTTTATATATGGAATATAGTAGCCTTCATTACAAATGGAAAACATTATTTAATTCCTTTATTCTAATGCCACCAGGTTTAAGGCACTTCTTGGTAGACTCCAATAAGTGAGGTAAGTTGTGCCAAATATTTCCATAAGAATTGAATTTTTATTTAAGTTTTATAATTGTTGTGCTTAAAAGCATCCTGTTAATTCTCACTTAAGACCGAAATACTCTAATTTTTGTTATTTTAATACAATTAAAGACACATTCCAGTTAAATTATATTTATGAAAATAGAAAGCCAAACATATGTATTAGTTTAAGTTAAGCGTATGTTGTATATTTCTAGAACTAGCTTGTAAAGTTATTTAACAAAAAAAAAAAGAACTGTGAGTCAGAACTCTTTACTTAATTTACTTCTTTATGATTTCTCTATCTATTTCCATTGTTCATGCTGCTGGCAAAAATAAAACTTTCAATCTTTTTATCTTTATATATCACTTAGCAAGAACTTGGCCATTGTTTTTTTACGAACCGTAAACACGTTCCCGTTGACATTATTTGTTTAAGAAATTCGCCTACAGATTAAGACTTCCGAATATTGGAAATTATGCTTGCATATTTCTGCACGTTCTTCAATCTTGCCAATCTTACCAAGAATTTCGCGTTCTGTTATCACGTATACGAAGCTCGGAGATCGTGCGAGCCATCAACTGGCGTAGATCTATATATAGGCGCCCAGTTATTGGTGGTGCATTATGTTTTGTGGTGTCGTTGGTGCTATGAGAGTTTTTATAGTGGTTTTGAGTGTGCTGACCGTGGCGGTTGCCAGCCAGTGTCCTTATTCGTCGATGGAACCGTTGTCAAGGTCTAAACGGAATGCTTTTGACGTGCGTCCAGGGGTCAGTGACGGAAGTTTGGATGCCTTGATCAAGGATTTTATGCCCAAGTACAATTCAAACAATGTGCATAACAGTTGGGCTGAGCCTTCTGGACCCCATCAGACCTTACGGTGTGGGATTCCGCCTCGCAATTGCCTTAATGATACCTAGAAACTTGCAGTACCGGAGTTTAGATGGATCCTGTAATAACTTGCAGTATCCGGAGTTTGGAATTGCTGTTTCACGGTACCAAAGGCTTTTACCTCCTCGGCAAGTGGAACAGGCTCCGAATGCTCGTTTGATATCCTTGTCACTGTACGGCGAACAAACGAAGAACGATAGATTCCGCACCATGGCGGCCATGCAATGGGGACAGTTTGTGGCCCACGACATTAGCCAATTGAGCACACGGGGAGCTCCTCTGGATTGCTGTGCAGAACCACGTCACCCTCGTTGTTTGGCCATCAATTTGCCACGCGGAGGACCCATTGCCTATCATACCGGTAAGACCTGTCTGCACTTTGCCCGCAGTGTGTCCGAAGCTGATGCCATTTGCCCGAAAAGTGGAGCACCTTATCCTGAGAAGCTGACAGTGGCAACTGCCTACCTGGACCTTTCCTCTGTCTATGGAAACAATCCCTTGCAAAACAGCAGAGTACGCCTGTTTAAGGGAGGTCTTTTAAAGACAAGCTACACGAACGGCCAGCATTGGCTACCGGTTAGCCAAAATGAGGCGGGCGAGTGCGGTGCTAAGAGCGAGTGCTACATCTTGCCGGATATTAGGAACCGTTTCTCGCCCACCATCGCCCTTCTGCAGACTCTATTGGTTAGGGAGCATAATCGACTTGCTGAGAACTTAGCATTGATTAATCCCGATCACGACGATGAGCGCATCTTCCAGGAGGCGCGCAAGATCAACATCGCCCAGTTCCAGAAGATAACCTACTACGACTGGCTACCGCTTTTTGTGGGTCGCTCTTACACATATCTCAATGGTCTGATATATCCTGTGGAGCCAACGGAGTACGTCAACGACTACGATGAGACAATCAATCCTGCTGCTTATGCGGAGTTTTCTGCTGCTGCCTTACGATATGCCCATACTCAGATCCCTGGATGGTTCTCGTAAGTATTCAGTTTAATACCTAATGGGTTCTGTCATTACTAGAGTGATTTTATTTTACAGGCTGGTTGCCCCCAATCGAAGCTCTAACCAGACACTGCGCCTGAGTGACTACCTTGATCGATCGGAAATCATCCGTCTTCTTGACACGTCCGACAATTTTGATGCTTTGTTAAGGGGCTTGGCCACTCAGCTGCACAAGCGATCGGATGGAAATATTGATCGAGAGATTAAGCACTACTTCAACCGCAAGGAGTTCGAGGAGTATGGTTCGGATCTTAAGTCCATAGATATTCAGAGAGCCAGAGACTTCGGCTTGGCCTCATACAATGATGTCCGAGAGTTTTGCGGCCTGCGACGAGCTGTGGATTGGGCCGATTTCGCTCATGAGATTCCGGGAGAGGTGGCTAATCTTGATAGTTTTCATTTTAAGCAAAAGTATTTTATTATTTAACTTCTACAGAAAATTTCGCTGCTGCGCCGATTGTACGCCACTCCCGATGATGTGGAGCTGAGTGTGGGTGGCACCCTGGAGTACCATGTCCCAGATTCTCTATTTGGACCAACTCTTTTGTGTGTGGTGGGAAAACAGTTCCTGAATACAAGACGCGGCGATAGATTCTTCTTTGAGCGGGAGAGCGCAGGAGGTTTTTCACGCGGTAAGTTTTTAAATATTATTGTTCCTACAGAATATTACAATTCGGTTTCCACAGCTCAACTGGCGGAGATCCGTAAAGTGAGCCTTTCCAGTTTGTTCTGCAGCAACGCCAACTACCTGCATTTAGTTCAGCCAAATGTATTTGTTTTCCCAAATGCACAGTAAGTCTATACACCTTTAAATATTAATTAATATCCTCTAAAACCCATATTTCTTGTTTTAGTAACTTACTACTCAACTGCAATTTTATCCCGCAAATTGATCTTAGCAAGTGGCAGGATCTCAGGCCTCAACTTGTACACTAATGTTATTACTTGTAAATGTGTCTAAAACATATTGGAACGCTCAATTTGTTCTTTCAGATACACAAATTTTTTATAAATTTAATTTCATAGAAATTTCCATCAACTATTTTACACAAAAAAATAACAAAAAACGTTTGGTTTGGAATTTTTGAATTTCTTTTTAAAATAAAGTCTGGAAATTTGTCCTAATATTTATTTAATGTTAACAAGTTATTTAAAAGGAAATAAAAATGTTGAACAAAACTGAAATAACCATATTTATAATATGTTTATATTTCTTTATGCATTACCATTAATGGTAAATGAGAACAATATCAATCAAGGCACTACTTAAATAAGAACACTAACAAATTCTTTTATAATATTTTATTTAACATAATTGTTTCAGACTCTTTAACTTAAGAAATATTTAAGCTAGTTTGTGTAGTTTCAATCTCCTCATGCATTGTATCTACTAGTATAGATACAGGAATCCCAAACGCAGATTCTTTGGGAGTTGAAGGTATAATCGGATCATCTTGACGGCAAGGTCCTTCTCTGTGGTTAATGCCTCTGTTGTTTCTGTTGTGAAATCTTCTGGTTTATCTGTTGGATTGCTTGATTCCAATTCATGATCATTTATTATTGTTAATATTTTCTCTGGCACAAGTGTTGTGTATTCTGCCGATTCAGTGGTTTCCGTTGGATAAGTCTCAGGGTTATCGGTGCTCGTTATGGGTTCCAATGTAGTGAAATCATTTAAACTTTCTTCATCATTAGCTATATTATTCGTTGATTTTTCCTGTGGTTTTTCGGTGGTTAGTTTTTGGACGTCCTCTATAACTTTTTCTGTCCCTATATCGGCGTTTTCCATTTTTAAGGTTTCTAATTTTAATAGTTGTCTCATTTTTAGCACCAGGCGTTTTCTCAGTAAATGTGTCTAGTCCTTTTAAGATCTTGCTTTTCCTCTACTATTTTATCAATTTTAAACTGAGTTTCGCCTTCAAGTTTGTGATCTTCAAATGTAGTATTTGGAATTATTGGATTTATTTCTTTATTTAATACAGACATTTCTTCTTTGTCCATTGTCGTATCGGCATCATTCTGTATTGTTTGACTTGTTAGGTTGTTAATTGGGCTAAGTTCTTCATTTGTTTCAAATTGATTTGTTGATTCATCAAAAGTAGCAGGTTTCTCTTCAGTTAAATTATGTAAAAGGTTAGGATCTTTCTTTTCTTGAATATTTTTATAAATGTTAAGCTGAGTTTGATTTTCAAGTTTGGCACCTTCCACATTAGTATTTGATATCTCCAAATTGGTTTTGATTCACCGCAGATTCCAAGTTAGTTATTACTGAAGGTGCAATTTCTTCTGGTGCTGCTGGTTCGTTGTTTATTATTAAACTGGCATCATTCTGTATTGTTTGATTTATTAAGTTGTTAATTTCACTACTTTTTATATTTGAATCATTTTTCATTGTAACTTCATCAATAGAACTAGGCATTATTTCACTAAAAGGTGCTATATGGTTAAGGTCTTGATTATCTTCTGTTATTTGATTATTGCTGGTCTGAGTTTGGTTTCCAAGTTTGGAATCTTCCAAAGTAGGATTAGATATATATGAAATATTGTGATTTATGGGAGAATCCATGGTTGGTGATTTCTTGATTTCTTTTAATATAGAAATTTCTGCTGGCTCTTTGCTTAGTGTTGCATCTTCACCATTCTGTGTAGTTTTATTTATTATGTAGTTAATTTGACTAACTTTTATACCATTATTGGTTACGTTTTTCTTTTGCTGTGATCCGACTTGGGTGATATTCAAATTCATGGTAGTATTAACTTTTTCTGAACTGGGTTTCTTGAAACGATTTGTTACCTTGTTTTTGGAAGCCATTGGTCGGCGATGCAAATTGCTCGAGTTTTTAATTACCTTTTGTGTATTAGTCGGTTGGCGAACGATGGCGTTTGTTTTATGTTTTTGGGCATTGGACGTAGTTCTTCTTTTGCTATTCGTTGGGTTTATCTTGTTACTTTGATTGATTCGCTTCCGATTGGAAAGTGGGGAAGCAGTTGGTCGCTTGCGGTTTAAGTTTTTGTGGTTTTGGGTCAGTGGCGAACTTACTTTAAGAACCTTGATTTCATTGGAATTTGGAGGTGCCTGAGGTCTATTTGTTTTTGTTACCACTTTCCTGTTATCGGGTTTTGATGGCGGACTTTTATCGTTGCCCTTTGTGGTTTCTTTTTTGGGCGGCTGCTCCTCTTTTATTGCTGGTAAATAAATGATAGTCGGACCTTGCTTTTGGCGATGTGATGAAGATTTTCCAGGAGCTCCTGGTGGACCAATGGGCCCTGGCAGACCTGGATAACCCGGCCTCCCTCTTCTTCCACGTGCTCCATGCTCGCCACGATCTCCTCGATCTCCTTTTTCACCAGGTGGTCCTTCTTCACCCGACACGCCAGGAATTCCCGGTGGACCCGGCGGACCTGGCGGTCCGGGGCGACACTGACAATTTGTCTGAGGCCCATAGTATAGGGAAGAACCTATCGTTTCAGGATTGAAGTAGTACAGATCATAGTTTTTAGGATTCGACTTCTTTTTTGTTTTTGGTCTAGACTCTGTTTTAGCTGGCTGAATTGGGGTTAAAGTCCAGTAGCACTCGCAGAAAGTTAAAATGGCTAAAATAAAGAAAATCAAATTAGAGTAGGCAATGTTCTTAAGCTAAGATCTTTAGGTTACTCACCTGATAACAGCAAGACCGCGAGCAGCCTCATTTTGAGGCCCTACATTCGTGAATGAACATCTGTTCTGGGGAGAACTCGTCTTTTATAGACCCATAGAAGTAGATGAGACTTTAATGGGTTAATTGGAAACATGTTAAATTCAAATCTCAGATTTCAGATATCAGCTAAACGACTTTGCATAAATTTAACCCCAGAATGAACCAAGTCTGCTATGGATTATTGAGTGTTAATTGTGGTCTTTAGTGTTTATTTTTCTATGACCAATTATAATAATTTATATAATACGAGTATATATATCATTTTGAATTATTTCTATTAGGCTATATAAATATATAAATAAAAAGGTTAATTTACTTTTAGTTTCTATCTTGGCCTATTTTTCCTTTCTTGTTCTAATTCTGCACCCATTGTTTTGTTTAATATGGACCAATAAAAAGAGATACCGAAAAATGGAACGATCTCTGCCTTATGTGTTTTTACAGATACTAACGTCTTTGTTTTTTATGGCGATCATACAAATTGATTTTAAGTAGCGAAATTCTAGATGATACAAGCAAATATCTGGGGGGTAATAAAGGTGTGGATGCTCTAATATCGTAAATCTGAATATTGGGCTAACATTTTTTAACCATTTATGTATTTTTTTTATTACTAATCCCGTTTTTTTACCCAAAATTATCATGTAAACTGCAAAAAATGTGGGACTATCAAAAAGATGAGAAAACAGACTTTTAGGTAATGTTTGAGAAATTTTTAGATTTAAAAAATATATTTAAACAAAAACACTTTTACTTGTCTGGCTGATAAGACTTAACAATGTCCCATTGTATTTTGAACTATGTTATTGAATGTTTAAATTCATTCGTCGTCTTTGATTTAATTGTTTTATTTCTTTGTGATTTCACTTTTCACATGCCTTTGTTTATTGCTAATTTTTGAAAGAAGCACACAAAGCCAAAGCAATTTCTAAGAACAACGGAACTATTTCGCCAGTTAACAAAAACCTGGTTTATTGCTAATTTATTTAAACTTTTATTTTATAGAAATTCGAGAAGATGATCTTATTAATATTGTGATTAAATTCATTTATAACAGTTAGAAACAGTTTATGATTTTTCTCAAAGAAAGGGAATATACAGAAAAATCCCCTTCTTAATCCCTTTCCATAATCTTAAATATATCTTCATAAAAAAACACATCATAAGTTAAATATTTGCATTCTTTTTTATTTTCGTTTATCATTGGCTTGTTTTGGAGTTATACTGTTCATAGGCATAAATGTGAAAGGGATTTCTTGGAGTTCCAATGGCCAGGATAATTGGACCTTTGTTAGTTCGCTCCTCGATGATCTCTTCCTCAAGAGCTTGGTTATCTTCCAACATATCAGCGTTGTCCATCTGATCCTCCATTATGGGTTCGTCCTCTACTAATTCTTCCTCCATTTCTGGCTCGTAATAGTTATCCATACCGAAATTTTGATCTTCTTCAATCACTTCTTCAACGGAATCAGGAGATGTTGGATTCTCCACTGTGTTATCTAAGTAACTAATATAACCTGCTTCCTCGGCTTCTGTTTCGAAGTCATTGGGCTCATAGGGAGTTTCTTCCTCACCCTCCATGAAGTCAGAATCATCTATTATGTTCTCAACGATCTCCACATCTTCATCCAGCAAGTTCGGATCATCGCGGGGATGTTGCTCTCCACTGCTCTCGGGCTTCATTGGTTTAGTTCCTCCCTTATGTTCTCCATTACCATGAGTTCCATCGGTGGGCGGTGGTTGATGATGATGATGGCTGGGAGACGTATGATGGTGATGATTATGCCCTCCGTTATTGTGGGACGGATGTTGTTGGTTATGTCCATCATTTCCATGGTTATGTGAAGGGTGATGATGGTTGTGTCCATCATTTCCATGGTTATGGGAAGGGCGATGATGGTTGTGGCCATCATTTCCATGATTATGGGAGGGATGATGGTGATGGTGGTGTCCTTTGTCTCCGTCATGTGGATAATGCGGTGGATAAGGTGGTGGATAAGGTGGAGGATATGGTCCTGGCTGATTGTGACCTCCATGTCCACCGTCGTAGGGTGGATATGGATATTGGCCGCCCTTATTAGGTGGTGGTGGTGGATAATAGTGGTGATGGTGTCCACCCTTGTCACCCTTGTGTCCTCCTTTGTGTCCCTTGTCTCCCTTATTACCCTTTGACGGCCATGGCACTGGCACTGGAACGGGAATCCATGGGATTTGAGGTCCTGGTCCTGGATATGGTGCGGGAGGGGGATACGGATACGGTGGATATGCTGCTGGAGGTGGCGGTGGAGGAGGAGGAGGAGGTGGTGGAGGAGGATAGGTGTTGCCTGGAGGTCCTGGAGGACCAGGTGGTCCCATTCCTGTGTGGAATTTTAGGTTAGTTTAAGGATTTCTTCTTAGGTTTTGTATGACACTTACCCGGAGGACCTGGTGGTCCTGGGGGTCCCTTGGATCCCTTGTGATGGTGGTGGTGGCCTCCTTTCTGTGGAGGTGGGGGCAACGGAACGGGAACTATAATTGGAGGCGGAATGATTGGTGGTGGTTGTGGATGGTGATGGTGATGATGTGGTGGTGGAGGAGGAGGAGGAGGTGGTGGTGGAGGTGGAGGTGGAGGAGGTGGTGGTGGCGGTGGCGGTGGCGGTGGTGCCGGTGCTGGGTGCGAGTGATGGTGATGATGACTGTGATGATCGTGATCATGGTGATCATGGTGATCATGGTGATCGTGGTGATCATTTTTCGATTTGTGACCAGGTGGACCGGGTATTCCTGGTGGGCCGATGGGTCCCGGCAGCCCAGGAGGTCCAGGTAGTCCATAATGTCCACGCTCTCCCTTCTCCCCGCGTTCGCCCTTAGAGCCACTATGCCCCTTTGGCCCCTGCTGACCGGGAATTCCTGGCAAGCCAGGTGGACCCGGAGGCCCTGGTGGCCCCGGTGGACAATTGCAGTGCTGCGGCGGTGGTGGAGGCGGGGGAGGTGGAGGAGGTGGTTGGTAATAGTGCTGCGGTGGCAATTTGTAGATCACACTTTGTGCTGGCGCTGGAGCCGGAGCTGCTTGGAGGGAGGCTAACAATCTTGCCGACTCTGCGGCCGAACTCTTGGCAGTCGCTTGGGCAAAGGCCCAGCCTGAAAAGGAAGTGACTCCCATTTTAGTTCTATCCTGGTAAAGTCTGATGAAGATCCATTTGGGAAGATCCCTTACCTATCCAAAAAATCACTGCGAACAGTCTCATGGCGAAATGGCGTCTGCTGCCTTTCGCCAGCGGATGGATCACTTTTATACCGCATTATGAACTGTTAATCTCGTATGCACACTTTGTTTAAATCACTTTCATTAATCTAGATTCACCAGAACCGTTATATCATGTCCATTCAGAAATATGCTCGCCAAATCTCTCGGGAAATATGCAAACCTGGCCAAGATGATGACGATATCTTTCTTGAGGTTCTTCTCCCTCTCTGCAAATTTATGTAAATTTATGACCATTCAAAAAGTGGACCGCCTCTGAAGTATTAACATGTTAACAAGCTTTATGAATACGCGACTATCTATGAAACAAAAAAAAAAAGAACAAATTCTTTGTTGTCGATTGTTTGGGTTTACGATGCGAATCAACAAAGAGTCAAATATGGCAGAAAAAAAGCGTTTTGTCTCTTAATTGGCCGTTTCTATCATGTTTTTTCACACCTTAGTCGCGCGCCTGCATATGATTAACCCCGAATGATCGGATCGATCCTAAAGTCAACGAAAGTGTAAAGGTTTTCGGACACGGCTCTTTATTATCTGGCTACATTACGTAAGAGGAAGGCGTGACTGGTTCTTGATCTTCGACATTAATCGGATTCTCAATGCCCTTGACTTTGGTTTACTTTCATGGATGGTTATGGGGAGTTAAAGAGGTGAAGATTAGAATAGAATGAAAAAGCAGAAAAGTTAAGAAAACATCTTACTAATTAGAAAATCAATTACAAAAATGATTTAAATGGTAAGGGTTTTATTTCTGTACATCAGTTTTGGGGCAATATCATACAAGGGGAAGGGGGTTCGCTGCATTTACGATTATGTTACTGATTAAGCTAAAGGTATTTGTATTTAACTAGTTAATAATATATCCCCTAGTAGAAAGCAAGGGATCACTTCTTTCCGTAGTGAGACGGATCTACCGCGGCATATGGCTTTTGATCAATCCACTTGGTGAGGTCGACTTGTGGAATATTCGAGCACGGCATGATGGGATTCCTATAATTAATAGGCAGTTTAATTAATATCTTAAATATGTATTTTATTTTTCTACTTACGAATGGGAAACAGTTCTAAAAGCTTCTGGCTGCATGGATGAAATGTGGTTTCCATTGTCGCACAGCAAGCGAGCCATACTTGCCTTTCGCAGCTCTTCCAGTTGATCTATGATATTATATTTTAAATATTATAACCTTTGTAATTATTCAGTATTAATATTAGCAATTACCGGGAGTGAATCCAGTGAGTTTATCTCCATTTTCAAAGAAGAATCTGTCACCCACTCGAGTCCTGTAGAACTGCTCCGTGAGGATGCACAGGAATGTAGGTCCAGCCAAAGCTCCGGCAACGTGAGCCTCCAACGAGGCTCCCACAGTCAGATCCACGTCTTCGTGACTTGAGTACAGCGCCTTGAGTTTCTCCAGAATCGGGGGACTAATAAGGTCACCGTATTCCTCCCACGAGTGGGCACGTCTCAGTCCGCAGAATTCCCTCATATCGTTGTAGGAGGCCAAACCGTGATCGCGATTACGTTGAATGTCCAGCGAACGCAGATCCGAACCGAAGGGCATGTTTCGCCTGAAAAGGAAGTGCTTGATCTGCACAAGAATATGTCGTAGGTAAGAAGGGTTTAGCACATTGAGGAGTTATGGTACGCACCTGTCTGTCAAAGTTAATATCGGTGAGTTCCTCAGGCTGAGTGGCATGTCCTCTGGTCAGGGAGTCAAAGTTATCACCCACCTCGATAATGCCGGGACGGTTGAACCAATCACTGAGGGTCAGAGATCCCAGAACTTGACGCAGCTCAGATAGAAGACTGTAATAGATTTTAAAAAAGATAAATAAGTTATGAACTTAACTTATTCAACTTCTTATTCAACTTACTCCAATCGACCTTCAATCTGGGAATGGAAGTATCTGAAAGCAGCAGTCGCATGTTCATTCAGCACTGAGGGATCGATGTTATGATCGAAGTCGTTGATGTAGCTACCAGATGGAGCCTTGTAGATAAGTCTGTTCTTCAACATATTCTCTCCACCCAGGAAGATGGGAAGCCATTCGTAGTAACTGATTTGTTGGTACTGAGCAATATTGATTTTTCGTGCTTCTTGGAACAGCGTGCGATCATCGTAGTGTGGATTCAGAGCCGACAAGCCGTCAGCAATCCGGTTGTGCTCACGCAGTAAGATCGTCTGGAGGATGGCCAAACCCGGGTTCTGGTTAACCCTCACATCTCCGGAACGGTAGCAAACTTCACTGGCATCGACGGCATCACAATCGCCGGTGACATTACGAGAGAGTGGCAGCCACTTGGCCCCATTACGCTCCTCCACAATCATCCGTCCGCCTTGGAACTCACGGATATCGCTGTTCTGTTGAATGGAGTTGCCATAGACCAAGGAGAGATCCATGTAAGAGGTGACAACAGTTATCTGCTCTGCCGGACCACCGCGGTACTGGCAATTGGAGTCCCTATCCGTCAGGGTACGGACAAAGTTGAGGCACTCGGTGCCCACCTGGGAGTAGGCTGGATCATGGGGTGGCACAATAATGGCAAAACAGGTCTTGTGGGCGGTGTCCAGACCAATCAAACGGCCATCATCGGTACAGCAACGAGTGGGATGCTTTTCTGTTGGGAGTAGGAATTAGGATTATAGGGCAAAAGAATCTAGTTTAGGATTATATCACTTACTGGACTGAGTGCCTCCTGCCTGCATGCTCATATCGTGGGTCATGATCTGTCCCCACTGCATGTTGTGCAGAGTGAACTCTGGATCGGGCACATCTTGTTCTCCAAAAGCCACCAAGGAAACGAGACGAGCACTGGGCAGTTCTTCTCCTGTCTCTGATCTAGTGGGAGCCGAAATGCCATCGGCGTATTTTGGTGTCAAGAGGCGACCATACCTGGTGAGAAAAAATAATATTAAGAGCTTGCAAATCTGAGTATATTGGTATAGATATTACCTGGAGTTGGCTACTCCCAAACCAGGACGCTCCAGATGATTACAGGATCCATCCAGGGAGCGATAGGCAGTCTTCTCGCAAACTGCTGGAGGAGCAGCACATGACACTTGACCAGCAGTGGGGAAACTATAGCCATAAGCTGATACCGGAGGACTGGCAGGCGAAGAAAACGGATGTTGCGGAGCCGGAGAAGTGGGAAGGCTATTACTATTGGACATGGAAATTTGTAAAAAAAAAAGTCTAGAGAAGAGGAGTTCCTTGGACTTACCCAATCACAAATGGAATAGAGCCTTGATGATAACTATAACCATGGTAATTGGGATAGGAGGATTGCGGTTGATTGTGGACTATATGATAGCCAGAGGATACTTTTAGGCCAAGTGCACTTGAGACGAATCCCAAAAGGGCCAAGAGCAGAAGATCTCGTGCCCTAAACATCTGGAATAAAAAGGAAACAATTTAATGAAAAAGTGTTTATTATCAGATAATAAAAATGTTCATTTTCTTTTTTGTTTACAGATGAAAAAGCTGTATTTAAAAGTCTAGAAGGCATTCAAGATTGCTTAACACATAAAAATGCTTTAGAATGGAATAAAAAAAGAGGAATTCTGCTAGCAACATTCTTGCTAATTTTATTCTTAGGAATTTTCCTTTCCTGTTCAAAATAAGACATATTAATCATAAATATTGTAGTCCAAGGTCTGCGCTTTGTATGGCCATCGACAATCTTTGGTTATGGCATCCTGAACTACATGGGAAAAAGTTGTTAGCACTCCTAACACATTCAGCCATTCGGTGTGCTGCTGGTATGGTAACCCACATAAAAACCAACAAACTTTTTTGTAAAAGTACCTGCGATTGGCCAAAAAGAGCATACATTGTCTGTATCCCATCGGCTCTGCCGGCTGGCTGCTGGTTGCTGGCTGCTGCCACTTGAAGCCAACACTACCGAGTTGGACATGTTGGACACATTGGACACACATTTCATGTTCGCCGGTTGCAGACGGCAAGTGAACTACAACTGGAACGTTTTGCATTTTTTTCGAGGCAGCCGATCGATCTGGACTCTGACTCCGCGACTCCTTTGGACTTCACATATGGTCACAACAGGTTTCATCACCGTTTTGGTGCGCATTCATTATTATTTATTGCGACATTTTAGTACGAACATGTTCATTGCTCAGGCCAGACTATCTGGGTATTATATATACACATATATATATAGTATGTACTATATGGTATTGGGCTAAAATAGCGGACCAAACCCCTAACTAAAATCTGAACACAATGAAAAACACGGATTGAGATTCAAATTCGTGTGCTCAAGGCGGGCAAAAAGCGTGAAAAGTCTCATAATTGTTTTATAGCAACGGCATATTTGACCAATTTGCAAGCTACTTATGTAAACAGACCGAATCGACAGTAATGGTTAGCTTTACATAATGAATTTGTCGACGGCCCCGTTCTGCCGTCTACTAAGCCAAGTCATTCCCAACCTTTTCCACAAAAGGCCAGCAGCTGCTGCCAATGCCTTTGCTGCAACATGCAAATCCGCATCCATCGGCAGCCGTGGCAGAAACCACACAAAATAAAACAAAGGCTGACTCTGTCAATGTTTTAATTGCATGCCGTGCAGAACAATGGACCAGACAACAATTCGAGTTCGTGCCATGAGTCTTACACTTTCCTGGACCCTGGGTCCAAATTGATCGGATGATTGGAGGTGGCCCTATCCAGGAAACCCACGCCTACACTCGTAGTAATCATTGGCCCTTGTGTTTAGTTAATAGAGTTAATAATTTATGCAAGGAATTTCCTTATTAATTTTACTTATAGTGTTACAAATTGGTCTAATTAAGTTATTAGTTGCATATTATTAAAGCAATATATAATCCATTGGGTTGATATTAACTTCCTGGTTATACAGTTTATATAATCTATCAGGTTCTTAAAAGTTGAAGCATTCCTAAAAGTGACTTTTGTAAAAGAATCTTTTCAAAAACATTGTTTCTGAACAAGAACAAATATTTGAAAAACATTTTAAATAATTTTAAAATAAACCTTTTAAGATATAGATTTTCCTTTTTTCTTCCACCTTTAAGGTAGCTAACTAATTTCCTATATTTTTCCGAGTGCATCTCTTGGGTTTCTAAATTCGAATGGGGTCAGCGGGTGATTGGAACCGATGATTGGCTGGATTTTAAAACCACAACGCCAACGTCGCCGCTTGTCAATAGAAAAAAGATCGCCATACTCTAGACACAAACTGAATCTAAATTTGAATTGCAGTCTCAGGCGGACACGCCAAGGCAAACCAATCCATATGCAAGTTAGCACAGAAAACAGCAAACAGCAGCCGTTGGTCAGGGCCGGCATCTATATTGTTGCTTTTAATCTTAATGAGCCGTAACTAAGCACGAATGACTGGGACATAGAAATATCTGATATTGCTATCGTCTAAAATCTGTAACAGAACACAAAAATAGCTTGCAAAGATCTGGGTGATATTCGAATCGTTTAGATGGACAGGTCGTGGTTAATAATGGTCACATGAATAGTGCTGACAGATCTCTCGAGAACCATTATATTCTAATTTAACAAGCAGTCCCTTTCTAAAAATATTAAAATTAATGCATGTATGCATAAATTCTTAAAGCAAAGATATAGCTAACACAACCAGAACTTTATTAAATACCAATTGGGAATAAATGAACTTGTTTTTATGAAGAGACGAAGACTGTAAAATTCATGGTGAAAATACTTTTGACAATAAATTTATAAAATCAGTTACATAGTGAAAAGTTGACTAAACTTTTATCTTTATGAAGAACTAATCATTACCTAGAGATCTATGGTTAAGAGGTTCTTGAAGCCTTTAGATGAAATAAATAATTTGATACCTTCAAAGAAAATTGTAGTTCTTATTTCTTCTCTCACAAAACCGAACTCTTTTTGAACTTCTTAAACTTCAATTTCCGCAATAGCTTGAATCTCTAAACTCCAAAGTTTCACAACAAAAAAATTGAGTTATTATCCACTGGCGTAAATTGTATACCAAACGGTTGACTAAAAGAATCGGCTAGACTAACCTAATGATCTTTTCAAAGCTTGCCATTAACATATTTTAGACGCAACTGAATTTACAAACTGGTTAAAACCATAAAAACTAAACTAAAGCAAAGTTTGATTTATGATTTCGATTGATTGACTTTCCCTAAAATCAGAGCGCATACCAGAAAAAATGAATTATGGAGCTTTTAACCACATGTCAATAAGAAATAAATTGGCGTTACATAATGTTTGGCGGAAAGGGCTAAAGTTTATTTTGGCCATGCTCAGACCATTTTTGGCAGTGTTTTATCTTTTTGGATAATTTCATGATTGACATAGACCATACGTAATAGAGCCATGCACTTACATGCATCCAGGCAGGTGCACCCAAATGTGGGCTTCCATTGAAGGCGTGGCCAACTTGGCCAGATCCAGCGACCAAATTGGCCAACGCGAGCAAATTTTTTACGACTTTAACGACTTCTAATTAAAAACGAATTCATATCCCGAGCTATTTGGTGATCATTAAAGTGTAAAATAGTCCATGGGACGGCTGGTGCTGCCGTGATTGATTTATTGGCTGACTATGGTCGGCTATATACCATATAAGACATGCTCTATAACCGGAGACCGACAACAAAATCATTGCAATCGGCGTACGAGTGTTTGAAGGAGGTAAAGGTAGGTAGGGAGGTATGAAAAACGCGGCTACGTGGCGTGCACACAAATCGAGGACATTCCGATTTGTCCGACCGATACAGTAACAAGCACTAATTGAAATCACCATTTAAAAGGAAAGTGTCCCAAGCGTCGGGCACCTAAAGTTGGATAAGGAGAGAGACCCATCAGGAGCTGTCACTGCTCTGGTATTTCTTCGTTTTTCTACGGGCTCCCAAAATTTCGAAATCCGCGCGTTAATTACAAAATATGTGTGTAGTATGTCTGTGCTGTCATTTCAAATCAAAAATTTATGCAAGGCAATGCCAGCTTTTTGTTAAAACGCCGTCAATATGCAATTTCATAGCCAAAATGTCTCGAGAGTGATTTACGTAACACGAGTTAGATCACATGATCTCTGGGGGGATACAAGATTTTGATCTCGATCTCGGTCTCGTGCCCTGGCCCACGGTCTTGGAACTCGTGGAACCTGGTCATTTGGCCATTGAATGTTTTCAGCCTTCTGAGTTTGGCAGCCATTTGGATATTTTCACACATGCCAAATGCAATTTGCAATCGCCATAGATGCGACGCACTAATTGATTCTTAACTGTCTTGCACCGATTTCGGTGGACCACTTCTGTTCCACCAAGTGGTCACTATTTTCGGATGGTAATTATTTTTTATGTTTTGGCTTTGGTTCGATGCAAATTAAAATTGTCCACCAAGTGCTTCGAATTTTTAACAGTTTTGTATGGATTTTCATCAACATATTTTAGTTGACAACAGTTGAAAATCGATTTGAATCGTATGAGGCAACAAATTTTCGCTCTTTAGTAGATCTGTTTAACGTTTACTTGCTATCTTGTTAAGTATGAAAAACTAGTTCACATTTAAACCTAGTTATTAAACTTCATGTCGTCACTTTTATAGATTTCTGCCTGCAGTTACATTCGTTAAAATGTTTTGTTTTTTTCGATTTGTTTTTATGTTTAGGTTTTTTCCCACACATTTACGTCCTCTCTTTTGATATTTGATTTTATTACTAGTTTGAAATGACTTCGTTATTTTTATCAAATGACCCAAAATACGTGAATTGATTTTAAGCGGTTTTTGATTGATTTTTAAATGAATAACTGAACAAAATCGCTCAAATAGCTTAAGCCACCACCTTGACTTAACTGGATTTTTTTTATGGAATGCGGGTTTTTGCCACTTAAAAATGTCAAGCTGTAAGCTTAAGATTGTGCAGAATATAACGATTTGATTGAACAAACGATAAGCAATTTGAAAAGTGTTGAAACTACCACTCAAACTTAGACGTATTATTAAATATAGATTATTTTGGATATGCAGTGTTGGGGATTTTTGCTAAAATGCTGTGGAAGTATTATTATTATTATAAGTAAAAATCGTCTCAGGAAATATTAAGGTGTAGCAAAAGTTACACACAACTGGTTCTTTTATCTATTATCATTTTAAAGCTATATTGCTTTAAAAAATATATTATTTCCGGAAATAACTTTTTGAATTAATTATAACTGTTAATTTCAAAATCAGTATATTTTGATATGAGAATGGTATATTTGAGGGCATTGCCAGCGGTCACACTGCGTCGCCACATGTGAGATACCGCTCATTAAGTTGAGCAACAGTTGTTTTTCGACTCTTCGCCTGCAATTACGACTAATCGTCGCCAAATTTTTTAGATTTTGTATATATAATCTATAATATATACAACCCAAAAGATGGCCAGCAACTACGAGGGTTATAAGTCGCCTTTGAGCACCCGGTATGCCAGTAAAGAGATGCAGTTCCTCTTCAGCGACCAGAACAAGTTCTCCACCTGGCGCCGGTTGTGGGTGTGGCTAGCGAAGGCGGAGAGCAGACTAGGACTGGCGATCAGCGATTCCCAAATTGCCGAGTTGGAGCAACAGATCAGTAATATTGATTTTGATGAGGCTGCCGCCGAGGAGCGTCTCACGCGTCATGATGTGATGGCCCACGTCCACGTCTTCGCTAAACAGTGCCCATCTGCTGCTCCGGTGATCCATTTGGGAGCCACCTCGTGCTACGTGGGTGACAACACGGATTTGATTGTTCTGCGGGATGCCCTTAAACTGTTGCTTCCACGGGTGGCCAGTGTGATTGCCCGACTTAGCCAGTTTGCCCAGAGCTACAAAGATCAGCCCACGCTCGGATTCACTCATCTTCAGCCTGCTCAGTTGACCACGGTGGGCAAGCGAGCCTGTCTGTGGATTCAGGATCTGATCATGGATGAGCGAGCACTGTCCCGCTGCCTAGAGGATTTGCGCTTCCGGGGTGTCAAGGGAACCACTGGTACCCAAGCCTCGTTCCTTCAGCTCTTCAATGGAGACGGTGAGAAGGTAAAGCAGCTGGATCTGTTGGTCACCGAATTGGCTGGTTTCAAGAAGGCCTATGCTGTAACTGGTCAAACCTATTCCCGAAAGGTGGATGTGGAGATCGTAGGCGCCCTTTCCAGCCTCGGCACCACCATCCACAAGATGTGCTCCGATCTGCGAATCTTGGCCTCTCGCAAGGAACTGGAGGAGCCCTTCGAGACTACCCAGATTGGTTCCTCGGCCATGCCGTACAAGAGGAACCCTATGCGATCAGAGCGCTGTTGCGCCCTTGCCCGTCACCTTATCACCTTGTTCAGCAGTGCCGCTAATACCCATGCCACTCAGTGGCTCGAGCGTACTCTGGATGACTCGGCCAACAGGCGGTTGACCCTTTCCGAGGCCTTCTTGGCTGCCGATGCTGCCTTGCTGACCTTACTGAACATCTCACAGGGATTGGTGGTCTACCCGAAGGTAATTGAGCGGCACATTGGTCAGGAGTTGCCCTTTTATGTCTACGGAGAACATTATTATGGCTATGGTGAAGGCTGGCGGAGATCGTCAAGTGTGCCACGAAAAGATTCGTGTGCTGTCCCAAGAGGCCGGAGCCCAGGTGAAGCAGCATGGCAAGGATAACGACCTTGTAGATCGAGTGCGCAAGGACCCTTACTTCTCGCCTATTTTGGAGCAGCTGGATACTATTCTGGATGCCAAGACCTTTACCGGACGAGCCAGTGACCAAGTCGGCGAGTTTATCAAGGAAGAGGTGGAACCCGTGCTGGCACGCTACTCTGAAGCCTTGAAGAACGTTCAAGACGTCAAGCTGAACATCTAGACGTCCATTATGTTGCCCTGTTTTAATACTATAAGTTTGATTTCGTAAATATACACGAACATTCGCACCTAATCAACTGCGTCAGCCATTGGATGCAGTCAACATTATCGCAATAGACTCAATGGGTCGATGGCAGTCAGACCCCCGCCGTGATTTGTCTTTCTGTTTTTGTTTTGCCAGCTTATTTACAATTAAAAACAAAAAACAAAAACCACAAGCCTCGGAATCGAACTCAAGTCGACGTTCTTGATCTGAGTAAACATATATTTGCCGCCTGGGCCTTTGCCTTTGCCTTTGCCTTTCGCCACTTCTGCTGACATATCACGACTCCAATGCTGGTGGCAGCACAGTAGGTCGCTCTCTGGGTCTCATGCCAGTTGCTTTACTTTTAATTATACAACATATATAACATATAACATTATAACAGTGCTGAGAATTTTCTTAACCAATTGCTACTGTCTTTAAGCTGAAAAGTATCTTTACTTACGATCTTGTTTCCATAATTAAGATTCTTTTGATGGAAAATGAAATATCATAATATTATAATAAAAGTATATGAGTCTCTAAAAAGTAATTGTAGAAAAATTGTGAGCTAATCAGGAAAGTCTCAGCATGTCTAACTTTTGATGTTGTTAAATGGATTATCACTCAGATCAGATAAGATCGCATTAGGGTTATTCACTTGAGAAAAATATGAAATTTGATAGGAAAGATTCTGCTATAATGGTTTGCTACCAGTTTTACACTTTGTAACATTAAACTTTATAATATTAAAGTCTTATGCTTCATTAGCTATCTTGGAAAAGCAGTTAATATTCTTTTACAAAAGCCCCCTGCTGTCAGAAAGTCAAACCTATTAAATACATTTAAGAGGCCTAAAAAAAGGAAAGTTCAACATTTCTATTTGAAAGTACAAGATAATTACAAAGTAATAACGAAATTGTTAGTTAGATTAGTCTATTTTAGCTTGTAAATAGGCTGTTTATAGGTTTGTTTTGCTACCCAAAACATAAAATTCACTCAGAAAAAAGTTTTTAATGAGTGAAAAGTTCAACTTTTTTATATGAAAATTTAAAATAAAAAAGTTAATTAATATAACAGCCTTATTTAACATGTTTATTAGTTGTTAATAGATTTGCTTGCCTGCCATTGGTGGCCATAACATTTTAATCAACCCAACGACGACGACGGCAACCGGCTTCAAGTTTCCTTTTTGGGGCTGAACTGATGATGGCTATGAAATGATGAGCCGAACGTGTGTGTGGCACTTGTTTAGACGATGTGCGACAAGCACTTCGACTAATTAAGCTCAGTGTCCGGGCCATGTAAAACAATGAAACAACAACGGAGACACAAGACAGCGTTTTATGATCCGCTACCTGGTTGAATATTGTATATTGTATTGACTCTTGGGGCAATTAAATCTAATGTAATTACAATGGTCCGGTTAACACGCAAAATACGGCAGTGACAATGCCAACCAGAGCAGGGAAAACTCTTGCAATATAGCCAACATATGTAGCCAACATATTTGAAGAAAAAAAAAATATAATAAAACGGAAGCTTGCAACGACACGCGAGTGAAACAATTTCTTCATTAAAGTGTATCGCACTCGAAAATGTGTTACTGCAATGTCGGCTCGTTTTTCTGGATATGCATTCACGCAATCTTTAAAGAAAGACCGCCGACTAGGCCCATTCCCAGGCCCTTATTAATCGTTCACGACCTTCTTGGAGTCTGGGATTATTATATCTGCAGAGATAGGATTATAATGGTGTGTGTCTGTGTTATGGAGGAAAATGAGGAAACCGGAGGAGGAGTGCGCAAGGAAAGCCAATCTCGAGTTTCATTAACAAGTCGTGACAGACGCCCCGTGAATCAGCTAACCGACATAGCGGTTACAGACCAACTGAAGTGGTAATGGGGGCCAATTATGGACGGGCCATGTTGTTGCCACTTGCTGCCGTCGTTGACCGTTGCAATCTCGTTGGATTTGGATTCGGATTCGGTTTCGAATTCGGACTCGGGGGACAGCAGAAGAGACCTTGACTTTGAAAACGACAACGAAATCGATGCGAAAAAAATGATTTACAAAGGTGAAATTGGCCAAAACTGGTCGGACCCGAAATCGCAACACGATCGCTTTCTTCGGCCTGCATTCATATTGATTTTGGATCAACTGGATCAATGGGAGTTCGCCGACTCCAAAATGGGGATTAAGTCATGGCAATCATCTGGCATTACCACCCGTGTAATCGTAGCCAATCCGCTATGCACAAGGAATTTAACTATGTAACCAAGCGCATAAAATGTATATCTTGATGGCCACTAAAGTTAGTTATAGCTAAGGAGGGTTTTCGTTTTGGAACATTAAATATAATAGTTGCTAGGCTAGAAAAATTTTACTGCTAAACTGCTGGAGCTTAAGTTGAGACAGGTGCTTAGCCTAATTCAATTTCTTTATTTTATTTATTGTAAAAAACTGTGCTTGCATTAATTTAAAAGTTATGACAGGAAACCATTACTTTTAGTTTTATATTTAAAGAAAAGTAAACAATCTGCTTTCAAATTTAAATTTTGGTAAAAGTACTAGCAAAAATAAACAGTTCACTTAATATTAAAACTATTTTAATACATCAAAGTCACAGAAAAACTAAACTTATTTAAAAGTTATATTTATGAGACAACTTTAAAATTAATTTTGATGGTTTAACGAATGTTTACCCATAAATAAATATAATAAAATACCATTTAATAACTTTATGTTATTACCTACACTAGATTATCCTTTGCCTCTGTTAAAACCACGAATATTTTGAAAGTCTTTGGTCATCGGCCACATTCCACAAGCTCCTCAGTTAATTAATTATGCGATTGTTTAATTCATTCGGGTAATTGCAATAATTGCTCGAGCTTTGTGGGGTACTCTGTGGCGGTTCTTGGTCGAAAAAAACCCGCCATATGGGCTGAGCACGCGCCGGTCTGTCTGCCATGAAAGAGTCCAAGCCAAAGTAGTTTCAGATAGCCACTTTGATTCGATTTGGCAAGCCACCGACTTATGCACGAGTTTTGGGTGCAACGCCCGTAAAAACGCCCACTTCTCTAGGTGTCCAGTGGCAATATGAATTTCTCGAGTTATTTTTAGACATTTAAATGCGTTATTAAATTGCAACAGGTGAAGTTTTTTTCGACCGTTTAACTAGCTTATATTTACATTTATTTTCCTAAGTGTAGTTTTACCTGTTTGCTCACGCAATTCTGGAGCGCTTTGATATGGCCAATGTAACTGGCCTAATTAGGTAAATTGAACACCAGAAGTGAATTATGCATGTCTTCCAATTATGTGCAACTAAACTAATTGGAATGGGATTGCCAATTTCTTGTTTTTCAGGTGATATATAGGACTACATAGTAGTTCCCAAAACTAAACCATTGTTGGTGGTGGATTGACGTGACTTGAAGCCCAGCAGCTCTCATTATTATTTCCTATACAATAAATTAATTTTATGTGAGATCGACCGACAAAGACGGATATACAACACCTGCCATGACGCCTGCACACACAGAGGAAATTTACATACCAAAGATCGTAAATGACTTCTGGGTTTTCAGCTAAATGGCAGTTCGGGAACACAACATAACCGTTAAGGCTTAAGACCACAAATGGGTGAATGGCAAGTCGTCAAATGCATTAAATTATATGAAAGTATTAAGGCACACACACACGTCACTTATTGGCCGCGTTTGCATAACAGGCTTAAGATTCCAATCGAGAGAAAGTAAAGTTCACGTAATAACTCATGATCATGAGACCCAAGAAAACCTGATCTAAATGATCGATTTTTATGTTCTAGATGACTTATTAACCCAAAAGTGCTTAATGGGATGAAGAAAGGAAAATAAATTGTCGATCATATAGAGCATATATCACAGCTGTCAAGTATCTGAGATTTATATCAAAGTAGTGAAGCCGAATCGGACTTAGAATGCAACAAATAGAAATCAATTTAATTCGAGGCAATCAAAAGGCCGCTGCGGGTGCCGATCAATGTGGTTTTTTGGTTTTTTTTTGGTTTTTAGCCAACTGGAAACCTTTTGTCGAAAGACCCGCAATGGAAACCTGAAGGTCGTCGCTTTGGATCTCAAAATAATTGTCTTGGCTGTAATTAAAAGATTTGTTACTTTCAACGCAATGCTTGGGTCAGTTGTTTACCGCCAACTTGGCTACGAGTGGTTTTATTTTCAAGAGAGAGAAGTAAAAAAAACAACAACGTTTGACCGTAATTTATATTAAAATGTGTAATTTAGAGCAGTCTTGCAAACCGGTATGTGCTTTAAGTACGTGGAGCTATTGAGCTTCATAATTGGCCATTAATTAAAACAAAAAACTCATTCCGTTTCAAAATCAACGCTCTTAACAGATATATGTCATTTGTGAGAAACGCGTTAGCCATACCGTAGGCGCTGTTTAATCTTTAATCAAATAAAATATATTATTTGCAAATCGTCGTGTTTTAATTTGCAGATTTGCAAATACAACTCATTAACATTGGATGGAAAGCATTTATGGCTTTTAATTGAAAATACATAATTGGCTGAATTTAGCCCTAAGTTTCGTACTGTTGAAATGCGGTTTCTCGTTTTCAGATTGCAGATAAAACTAATTAGTCTCTGATTTAAATCATTAAAGGCAATCATTGCAAATTTGAGTTAAATATATCCAATTTGATGCAAATTTTTAGGCTTTCCTTAGTTTTTGCTTTTTTTGGTGCCCTCATTTCTGGTCAAATAAAAGATACAAAGTGCTGATTGCGGTTTTCAATTTGCAGTTAAAAATCATTAACATTTGATCTAAAGCAACAGCTTTTGTCTCCTGCAATGCCACAGTTTTTTGAGCTAGTTATGAGCAATTTTCAAATCATAAATGACGGAAATTGAAAAAACAAAGAATAACAATGGCTTGTCAATAAAACTATTTTTAAAAATCCTAAACAAAGGAATTTCCTATTTAAATATTTTAGGCGATCAACATTTTGATTAATGAAAGTAGTTTACTTTTTTATTTACAACAAATATAATATTATAATATTAAAATAATATCAATCATATAAAAATATGTTAGATAATCAAATCAAATGGAAGTTAATGAACTTTTTATTTAACAAAGATTAAGAAAGACTTTCCTTGAAATATAAAAGTGAATATCATGCAGCTTGAAGATTTGTTTACTTTTTGATTTTTGAGATTTTGAAAATATGTTAATTTGTTAAGTTAGCAAGTACATAAAATAACTTCTCTGCTAATAAATTGTGTTGTTTTATTTGAAAATCAAAAAATAAATATAGTTAACATGCCAATCAAAAATTTGTAAAATAAGAAAAACAAACGAATTACTTATTTCCAAAAAATATATAAATAAATGTCTCAAAATATATGTTGGCACTAAAGGTTGAAGATTTTTTTTAAACACAATTAAATTTTTGCTAAATCAAAGTTGTTAAATATTTAAGTTTGTAAACAAACACATTCCTTGAAATATTTAGCATTATCTCAACATATTTTATGGTAAAAAAGGGTTTGTAAACATATAATTTGTAAGCAAAAGCAAATTCAATTTCCCTGAAACATAAAATATTTGAACAAAACTTCGATGATACGCACTTTTAAGTGTTGTGCACTTTCTTGTTTTTGGGACTTAAAAATCGGTTACTGTGATCATTTCTTAGGTTACAACACATTTCCCTGCTATTAACTTGCGTTACGGCACTTTTCTTCGAAACTATACTTACTGTTGCTTCAAGCGAATATCCTTTCTCCCGACGATTAATCAACAGTTTGTCTGGGCGAATACAATGTAGTTCTTTCACTTTTATTGCTAACGATTTTCGGTGAAGGGGGTCGGTTTGGAGGGGTATACTCGTATATTCCCTGGCTGAAAACTACTCAAACTACACAGTATTTACAATCCATCAATTTCGAGTGCGCAATCGCGAATTCCACGCTGAGGTGAGCAAATTGCTTCGAATTATGTTGGTTTTCGCGATTACTATTGACGTGAAAACAGTTCACAGTTTAATTAGCTTTGCACCTGCCCACAAAAGTATAGGGCTTGGCGCTAATCCGCAGGCGATTAAATATTGGATATATCTTTGTATATATATGCTATGCTTTTTGATCGATTGGTTAACTGTGGCAAGGCCCAAGGCGAACTAACTGCGCTGCCGCTGAATTTGGGCCTTTTATAACGAATCGGCGTGCGCTGCTGCGCATGCGCAAACGTTGGCGTTAGCGTTAGCGTTTTTTTTTATTTTCGAGCCGCATATCCGCGGAGAGTCAGCCAGAGCTGGCAGGCCGGTTTCACTGTACTTGCATCTGCGACTGTGTAAATCAAAAACTCTGTTTTTTTTCCTACTCTCTGCTCCAATTTAATGGCGCTATTGAAAACAGCGCTGCCTTATGCTTTATGTAATTTATGTGCGGAGAATTGTTGTCTTTGGCCAGGATTCGCTTACCTTAACTGAGTTTAAAGTGTGCTTAATGTTATTGGTTATTGGTTATCGTTTAGGAGGAGATCGGGTAACCTGTTGACCTTTTTAAAGTGCCAAGCTTTGTAATGTGGGGACACACAGCCACAGCTGTGACCTAGAAAGCTTTTCTTTCGAAAATGTTTCGAAATCAACGTCTTGTGTGTATGTCACTGGCTCTGCGTGACCGTCGTTATGGCTAATTGTTTTCATTAATTAAACATTGGGGCCGTCCTAGAGCTTAATGTACAAAAATGTGGGACATTACTTGTTACAATAAGACACCCAAAAATGTTTTTATGGGAATACAAAAGTTAAGAAATGCAGTCTTGCATTGGTACATCTAGTAATGAAAAAGTTTTATAAACCTCAAACTTAGGGATTCTATCCTCATTACCCCAAAATGCTAAAAGAGCACCCAACAGCAGATCGCTTAAAAAAGGTATTTCTTGCTTGGAATGTTTGCCGCTGTCTAAATCAATCGTGTTACCAAATCTCCAAACAGTTAGTAATTATCTGTCAGCATTAACTGGCCGCCAACATAGTTGCATTGAAAGATGTCAACATGCATTTAAGCGAGCCAAGAAAAAAAGGCTATCGTTTAGATACATACATTACATTCACACACAATTTGATCTGTCAAATGGATTACACATCGATTAAATGTCCTAGCCGTAACAAAGGTTGACAAAAAATCAAGTATCAGTCATAACTTGTTTGGTTTTTGTTTATTTGTTGGTCGGTTGGTTGTAATAAATTTCTGTGTATAATTGATTCGATTTGACCGTCTATTAAACCCAAATAACCCGTGGACCTGTTTTATGCGTGGCGCGTAATTGCAAAATTAATTCGTTCTAATTGGCAAAACCGCCACAGAAAGCGAAACAATTGGACATTTAAGTTGTAACTGGACAAACTCGAAAAATCAAATTCCGAATCAGTATCTGAGCAAATGGTTGTACTTTTTAATGTTTTAACGAGTTAGTACACGTGGACTTACATATGTAGGTATACCTTGTACAATCATATAACCAGGCGAATAAGAGACCGACCGGTTGGAGCCTTGAAACATGTGACTTCACAGATCTAAGCTATTGGGTGAACATGCGCGTGACTTACATTTTCAAACGCCTTTTTTCCCCCGCCGCAACGTGCATCCAAAAATATAAAAGTCACATGAAGAGTTACGCCCTCACCGGTTTTAGGCGCCCACTGAACAGACTTTTAGGATGCACTTATGATGTAGAATTTATGAAGATTACCACTTATAGCTTGGCAGTATTATAGCACTTAAATCTTCATATCGATGAAAATCATGCTTATGGAATATCAAACTCAATTCGGAAATTATGTAAGACTTTTTGATTGACGTCTGCAGTTCGAAATGGAGTTAGACATAAAAGGTATCTGGGTTAACCATTAAACATCGCTTTAAGGCTGTTCCATAACCAGTTTTTTTATAAGGTTCCTGTATTGATAATCATATTCTTGCCTAATTAATCATGTCAGAGCATTGACATGCATACTTACCCGTTCTAATGTTAATATTTTTACAATATAGGGAAATCAGTTGATTTTTATGTTGATTTCATATGTATTTGATTCTTAATAAGAACACATTTTCGTTGAGAATTCAATTCAATATGGTTTTATTAATAATCAACTGTAATTAAATAAAATAAAAGCATTAAAAGCAGTCGTAACACTTTTTTTCTGGGTTTTTGTTTTAATATAGATATATGTATGAACACTGTTTAACATAAATGAAGAAATATTACACATAAATAAATTAATGGCAAAACTTAGCTCCCCTGAGGCGTTAATATAACTCCAGGACATTGGAAATCATACTAGAAGACCTCATTGGGATTGCCATTAGACTGATCGGCCTTTTGACGAGCACGTGCCAATTTGGCAGAAAGCTCAGAAGATCGAATGGTTTTGTACTAAAGAAGTTAAAAGTTAAATGAATATTAGATAAGATATTATAATAGAGGTATATCCAATAACCCACCTCGCAGAAGTTCTTTTGCAGCACAATCTGGGAGATGAGGCGGCGACTCTCCCGCTGGCCAAAGTAACTTTCGATGGTGTGTGGTGACAGGGCGAAGATCTCCTCGCCGGAGAGCGTGTGCAAACGCTTGATTATGATATCCGAGAATCCCTTACCACGCAGCCATTCCTCAACTTCACGTGGCTTCGAATTCTGGGTGATAAAGATCTCAGGAGTCTTAAGGATCTCAAGATCCTTGCGTCTTTCTCGCTGCTGCAACAAAATACGCAGCTCATCGTTGACATCGTCCTGCATGTAGTAGGCCTGGTCATCGGCCTCGCAATCGTTGCGGGCACGCATGGCTATGGAAAAGCGTTGGGAAAGTTAGCATTACTATAGAAAACTATTATTATTTATTCTATAACAAAAAACCAACCTGCCAGAGCTCCTGCTGCAGCCATATTCCGTTTGAGGGTGCCACTGGGAGTGGGTGGTTGGCTGTCACTTGGTGGCGGCATCGGTGGTGGAACTGGCACATTGGGCATCGAGTAGGAACGTGGCATTGACTTGCCATTGGTCACCGGCTGCTCCACAGGAGCTGTATACATGGCCATGGTGTTGCGATATAGTGGAGGGTTGACCTCCTCACCACCATTTTCCGTCAGAGCCATGGATGCCAAAGACTCTGTGTCCCTACCATTTACGCCAGGCTCAAAGTTGTAGGGCGTGAGCACGGTGTGCGGCACGTAGCCAATATTGCCGTAAGAGTTACGGGCTTTCCACCAGTTGCGGGAGTCATCGATAATCTTGGAATCAAAAGAGGTACATATATCTTTTTATAAGCCTTGTTATCAAATGCATAAGGTTCTAAACTGATAAGATTGTTTGTATATATGTATGTTTCTAGAGATTATAATAACAATGATTAGTTAGCAATAAAACGTGGGAAATGTGGCTATTGACTTTTTTAAGAATCTTTACAATAATATATAGGTCTTCCCCGAATTCTTGATGTTTGAGTAATATTTATACAAGAATTGCATGAGTTTTCTAATCTACTTCTTATCTAAAGCTTTTGTTTATTATCTTTTAGATATCAGATACTTCAAAAGTTCAAACTATTCACGAGTTTAATTGGTGGCTTCTTAGAAATCGAGCAATAGGGGTTTCCCAGTCATATAGAAATCCCATTATTTGTTAAGGCAAAAATATATATAATACATATGTATATATGTATATTTTATATTTAAATCTACTTGTCTTTTACGTCAGCAAATATATATAAAAAGCTAAATCAAGTTAAGTCACTTGCACTTATCAAAATAATAAAAAATCTCAAAGAGAGATAAAATCGATTTTAATTAGTTTAAGAGTTCTTAATTTGTTGCTGGAAGATTTTGAATGAAAAATCTTAATTTAAGCGTGGATATATAATATATATGAATTCAGACACATACCTCCAAATACTCCCCCTTGGTGACTTTCAATTCCTTGTCATTCGTGGCAGATTTATTAAAGGAAACCTCGGCGATCTTGACATTGCGGCTCTCCAGACGATTCAACCAAGTGCGATTGCCCGGACTCGGAGGCACAGGAACTGCCACTGGCGATGGAGTTGTGGTCTTTTTCAAAGCAGGAGCCAGGTACTGTACTTCCTCATCCACCACCCAATCGGGAGACCAATCATCGTAGAAAATCGGATGATAGGAACTTTTGTGATCCTTGAACTGATCCTTGGGAACCGTCCAGTTGGGACCTAGACTCTGCCACAACTGCTTCTCATTGGAGTCAAGGGTGCCATTGAGAAAAGCAATAGTCTCACGACGCAGAAGAGGATTAACCACTGCCTCTGGAAGACCCGCATCCACGTAAATATCATTACAAACGTTAACGATAGTTTTCAGCGATATGAAGACATTGTGGACTGGATCGGTGGACTTGGTGAAGTGGTTTTGTAACCGAACGGAGTAGATAAGTGCTAGTTTCACCTTGGCCAAGATGTCATGGAACTCGCTTTCAATCGGTGGTCGTGATCTTAGGAAAAGGAGTCCTTCACCATGAGGATTATGCTGCTCTTTGCGCAAATTTAACTCGTTAAGAGCCTCGGCGGCGTAATGAAGTCGGGCCATGAATCTTTCGATGTCCTCGAAACAGTGGTTGATCACTTTGACATCCCTTTCGGTCTGCTCCTTGTCCTGGGCATTCCTCTCCGCTGCGATTCCGGCCACTGCAGCAGCTATTCCATACTGATCCTTGGGCTGCTGATTTAGTCTATCCGGTTTGGGCAGCAGGATAGGAGTCTTGTTGCGATCTATTGTTACTGGAGTTCCCTTGCTCAGCTGGAGAAATAAGGAATTTTGATTATAATGATCGTTTAACCTTACTTTTGCAAAGCTCACCTGCTTCAAATCCTCTACCAAAAGAACTGAACTCACATCGGCCACCTAAAAATTAACGTTTTTAATAAATTAAGAATTCTGTAAGAAAAATATTTAACATTTACCTGAAATATGTGCATCTCGGTGTTACCCAAAGAGATTCCAGGCACTGAGAAGACTAAGATATTGTTATAAGACTCCTGTGGATGTTCAGTGATAAAAGCGGTGGGCTCTGTAATCAAACTGCCTGGGAAGTTCTCAATCTCATTCATATCACTGTCCAACATGACCAGCCACTGTCCATTAAAGCTCATGAACATCTTATGTGGCCAAATGCCACCAGTTTTGTCCAGTTCCACCAGCAGCTTCATCTTCTCCTTGGGCTGCTTGATCTCGGCCTCATTCTTCAGCTTGAAGGTGGCCAAGTGTTCCAGGGCATATGTGGGTTTGTTCTCATCGTAGTTCCCATTCGCCTGTCCACCGTTAGGGACTCCATTTTCGTAGCCGTTACGTGGCATCCTGGGGAATGCGTAAGCGGGTAATCAAAATCACTTTGCTATTAATTTATTATCATTTATTGATCCGTTTATATTATTTAATTGTTGCCCATATTTCAAGCTCAATAATCGGTCGCAAAAGGAAAATAAACTGCGCAATTGTTCACTTATTTCCCTTTTTTATTTGTTCTATTTCGATTTGTTTGATGATAACGATAAAAGGCAATTATTGTATGAAAAGAAAGACAAATGTCAATGAGAATCGGGAATCGGGAAATTCCCCATTTTTTATACATATTTTTAAATAAACGGTAAACGGTTTGTTTTTAACTTTCGAATAAAATACCATCAAAATGTTAAGGAAATCCTTTGATTGGTATTTAATTTGGTATTTTATCACATTTAAATAGTGAGGCCGTGTACACTTTTTATTATTCCAAAACTATGATCATAAACAAATCTAACCTCGAATCTCGGCTCTAATTTCCCTGTCTATCACTCTAGATATTTACCCATACTTGACCGATATGGGTCGGAAGTACTTCAAGGTCCTATTGCCTGCTTTGACCATTCCGTCGATGTGGAATCACAGCGGACTGGGAAACTATTGATTCCGAATGGGCAATGGGATATAGACAGATAGATACTATTTGATACTTTTACATGCTGAATATATGTACATAGGTACATAGAGGAGTACCGCCTATATGTGGTAGCCACCTGCCTCGATTAGATAAACGCAATTAGGCACTGAGTTTGCGATTGCCTTTGCTTTTTTGCTTTTGCAATTCGAGTTGGCATTATTTTTTTTTTCTTTACTTTTGGCAGTTATCACGAAAAAGCCAGGAAATTCTTGGCACATGAAGCAATCATCAATGAAAGCTTATTACATAAAGAGTCGAATATAAGAGTTAATCGTGTATTTTTAGGCCATGATTATGGGTCAATTGTTTATTGCCATTAGATAGATGGCATCTTTGATTTGATATATATTTATTGGTTTTCACTCTGGCATGACATCAGATCCTAAGATATCGATGTCAGCCCTTTGATATCTTGATTTACGGGCTTAGATGTGCTGATTGGTTACCTTGTTTTGCCCACTGTGCTCTTTATTTATTTATTTTCTCTTTCTTTTCTTTTTTTTATTTATTTGGCCCGAACTCGTACTCTCGACCCGCTGCGAATCGTATTCGAACTCCAACTAACTGACGTTATTTGGCCTAAACGAAATTGGCGATATCAGCTGGTTCTCCGCTCATTAATTGATTGCCTCAATTTGTATTGTTATCGCAAAAGCAAAAGTGTCCCTTATCTTTTCGGTTTGCCAGCGCCGCAATGATAGTGCATCATGCACAGAAAGAAAATGTTGGGATTCAAATGATACACCACTAAATAAAATTCAAGAATATATTGAAAACTAACATTCTATAATTTCTCTTAACTTAAAATACATTAAACTTACTAAAAAAAACATGCTCGAAGGTCAAACTGCCTTATTTCTATCATAATATTATAATATTTCAAAACATCAAATTGATAGCCCCCATATCAATACCAAATTGATATGAAAACTCATCAAAACAAGTATGGTTTCTTATCAATTTTTTATCAGTGTATCGCTCAATACTCATTGGTACTTTTGGCAATCTTATCTGGGCAGGGAGAACACAAAAATAAAACCAAATATACTATTCCTTATAGAGAGAGTCTGCTGGCAATGGGCCTAGGTTTTGATATCAGGCCCACAAGGTAATCGCATCAAATGGTCAACGGTTGTCCCTGGGCCACCAACAACTACTCTGAATCAACGATAAACAGGTGAACCAGGAATTTCGGCGAGTTTCCCGCAACATTTTTCACATTTTTTCACTGGCCGACAAAGTAATCCCCAAGTCTCTTTTGGCATACTGATATGCTCCGTATTTTAAACTTCTGTTTACTAATTTAACCATAAAGAGAGAAATGTCTTATTTGAATAATATTTATAAATAAATATGTATATGAATCAACACTATATATCACAAACGTTAATCTAGATAATTATTTAAAAGCTCAAGTCATGTTAGTTTAGTTAAGGAATGTCAGACAAGTTTCCTTTACTTACCACCCTTTTTTGTTCTTTCTACCGAAAGTTGTAGAGTCCAAACTTCATTGTAATTAATATTCAAAAATATCTTTTTAACGTACTTTGTATACAAATAACTCACAATTTAAAGTTTTCAATCACCTATAACAGCCGTTGGCAACAGTCTTATGACTATTTCTTATGAAACCTCATTAAAATAATTGATTTGTTAGAATAAAAGATTTTCCATCAATTAAAAAGATAATTTAGAAACCTACAAAGTTGGATTTTTATATCATACAGTTATAACTTCTAAAAATGTTTTATTATTTGAATAATTTGTAAATTTAAGCAATCTTTTTAAAGGTCTGAGAAAATAGTTTATTCGTTTATTGGCCAATAACCTTTTATTGGTGCTAATTGTGACATTCCTGCCTTTTATTGGTGTTTGCGAGCTAATTCACGTAATAACAGAAAAAAGCGACCCTAATTAGGATTGAAAATGGAAATTGTTGAAAATGGCAATACACGTATCGCTGCAACACTTTCTGCAAAAGCTTTTGGGTATAGTAATATTGCGTGACTCTAACGATCTCGCTTCTGAATCGAGAGTTATCAAAAGTGTCAATCAGACAATCGATCCGCAATTCCATGTTCATTTGGACAGAACATATTGTTAACAACCAATAACAAAACCATACAAATGAAGTTATAACTGAGGTATTTATTAAGCTTTGACTCTTACTTATATTGTTTTTGGTTTTAGGAACTTAATCTAAAATTGGTTTGCAAAGTATGAGGGGCGGAGTCTTGTCAACCTCTAGACATCTGCACAAGATACCATTTGATTTCTGTAAAGAAAAACACACGAAAAGCAATCATTAAGGTTGTAGATAATTACTGTCTTGCCGAGCTTATCACCGCCGGCACGCAGAACACTATCGAATGGGAACCAAATGGTGTACAGAATGTGACTCAACTGGGTGACAGGTGATCTATTATGCTTGCATTTCATTTCCTTACCTGGCCGATGGCAACTGGAAGATATTCTGCGGGACAGCCGAAAGACCCGAGTTCAGGCACAGGAGTTTGGTTCCATTGAAGTGGCTATATTCCCGAACCAATTGGGCGTGCTTATGGTCTGGATTCTGCTCGTGTTGCTTAAGAACATTTACAAATTGCTCAGCTATAAAAGGGAATAGTTAGTTTTACATTTAGCATGTATCTTGGGAAGGAACCTACAAATTATGCAGCTGAAGGTGGGACCAACGGATCCGCGAACTGGTCTCTCGGAAATTCCACCCACAATTAGGTCCACATCAGCCCAACTGGAGTAGATGGTTTTCAGATTATCCAAACCCTTTTTAGCAAAGACAATTTTTAAAATAAATATAATAATACTAAACTATTAAAAATGTACCTCTTTGGGGATAAAATTCTCAAAATCTTTCCAGCTATTTACGGGCCTGGACAGGACACACGATTCCAAGTATCTATGATATGGCAGCAGACCGTGATCTCTGCCCCTTTGAATGTCGAAGGCTAGGATATCAGCATGTGTTGGCTTGGTGTCCTTGTGCCAAACGACCTGTAAAAGAAAAGAATAAAATTTAAGTTTCTTAACCTATTAAATAAAGAAATCATTAGACTTACACCACCAGAGTAGGCGGCATCCATTTTCATAATCTCCTGATTAAGTAAACTCTCGAGGATGTTGTTTAACTTCGCAGAAGTGTACTGAAGTTTTGGCTTGTAGATTTCTTCCTTAAGCTCAAATAGGTTGGTCGTCTGTAGCTCCTTGCTAATAAAGACATATTCATTATTTCTGTAGAGGGATCAGATGTTATTAATTATAAAGGGTTTTTTATGTATGAAGTATACGAAATATGATTATATAAGACCCAACTCACTTTTCAGTTCCATAAACTACATTATCCTTGGTCAGATTTTGGAGCTCATTGGGCAGCATTGAGAAGTAGAACCGAATGGCGGCCACCGCAAACTCATTAGAGACCTCCAAGGCACTCTTTTGGTGATTTCTCTTAATCTCAGCAGCCAAAGGATTGCCCAGCACAGCTGGCAGCCACTCCTCAATCACAACCCGACGGTATATAGCCACATTGATCGCCTTGGCTGCCTGGAAGAGCTTCTCATCGCTCCACCGGCGATTCCTTTGATGAAGTTCGGCAGCCACATTATTATGGTTTCGCATAAAGATTGTGTAGATTAGGATGGAGAAGGGAGAGCTGTTCACACGCGAATCTCCGGACACAAAACAGGTGCCATCTCCAATGTTTTCCCTGGCGCAGAAAGACGGTCCTTCTGTATTCGTAGCAATGGGCAGCATGGAACTGTCGTACTCGCCCCGTGCTGTTGACCTTAAAAGACCACCTTCTAGGAGTCTTAACTTCCTTTCTGCTGCTGCGGTAAAGCCATACAGTTGCGACAGATCCAAGGATCCCGTGGCCTGGTTTAGCTGTATAGGAAATGTGGAAATTTATTAATATTTCGGAGATTTATCACTGAATTCTTCTCACCTGCTCAGCGCCACCGAAATTGCAATCAGCGACGGCCAAAGCACTTCTCACATAATTGAGGCAATGGGGCACGTCGTATTTCCCAACGGGCTGGTAGAGAATTGGAGCACATGCCGGGTGGTTGTGACGCGGCTGAAGGTTGATCTGGTCACGGCTGCAGCATTCTATTGGGGCTCCATTGCCTGGGAACGGAAAAATCAATAATTAAATTAATATACTAAGTTGTGTTTAAAATATATTTTTTTTGTATAAATTTATAAATTTTAAACTTACTCATCGATTGTGATACGGGCTTACTAAGATCATGCTCCACGAATTGGGCCCATTGGGCCAGACCCAAATTCGAGTTGTTGTCAACAATTTTCTGTTTATATGTCTGAATATTATCGGGTTCATACAGGTCCTTACTAATGGACCAAGCAGCCGGCACTGTTTGACGATTACCAGAATTGGGGAACATCTGAAAGAATCATGGAACTCTTTTATGTATTTTAAAGATTTCTTTAGGACCAGACCCACCTCATAGAAACCATCCCTGTAGTGGCTGTCCTCAAGTAACCTCCTAAAAGCATGGTGACCTTCTCGGTTTCCTCTTATCAAATTTTCGCATTCTGTCCTCAAACTACTGCCCTCCGGAAGTGGTTTTTCCTCCAGGTAACTGCGACAATCATCTCCATCGATATCATTGGGCAAACATTCGCTATTGTAAACAGTCAAGCTGGACTTCAAGATCTTTAGTGCAATCTGACAATCTTCTTTGGAAGCTAGATTTGGTAATGTATCCAAAAGTTGGACATGGGAAAGACTGCCATTCCTTACAGTGATATCAGAACGCAACAAATTTTCTTCCAGGCTGAAAATGACAGTGGAAAATAAAATATTTAAATATAAATTTAGATTGTTTCCTACTATTTAAAGCCTAAACAGTCAGGAAGGTCTCACTTCCTAATCTTATCACTGCCAATAATTAAAATTTAACTGGTTTTGCAATGTAATAATTAAAGATTTACAAACCGCTTTTGTCTTTTCACTGAGTCAAGCGCTGAGTCGACCAACTGCAACCATTTCGACGCAGGAATCTTGTTTAGCTCTGCATTGACATCCCGTCTTGCTAAAAGTATAACAAATATTTGATAAATTAAATAAATATGACAAAGCGTGAGCAGATAGCTAATTCAGTTTTCTTAAATATTTCTAAAGCTAACCAAGATTTTTTTATTTATTAATATCATTACTTTCGTGGGAGTTTAATTTCTTGGCGTCTATTTAAAGTAACTTCTCAATTTCTAAAGAAATCACACAAATAATTGAATTTCTCTGTGGAATTTCCCATAAATTAGGCAATGTCAACACTTTAATCTAAACAATTTAAGAAAATTATATTACAAAAGCCAGAATTAAACAATTAAATGTACATTTTTGTGAATTGTTATTGAACGATCATTGTCAAAGGTGTACATCCCCCTTTAAGAGAAATCTAACTGGTTAAAATATGCAAACTCATCTGAAAGATATTTTGCATTTGAATTGATATATAAAACATCGATTTGTTGCCACGCTTATAAGAATCTATTCGATCAGAATAATAAACAATGGTTGATAAGGCAAAAAATATAGATGCATGCCTTCACGAGTGTGAACTTTGTGGGTTAACATTTGGGATTTATTGGATTTATTTATCAGCATCTATAAGCAAACGGGTTTTTCTTTGAAATGTAGTATTTTTGAAATGTTTACTACAATACAATGAACAAACGTGATACCTGGCAAAAACAAGTGCATTCATTCATGATGATATAACGCGTGAGCTTCGGCCATCGATCACTTTGAACCGGCAAATAGAGGGAAAGTACATTTTTTGTACCAAGATGATAAAACAGTAGTATCAGTGAGATCATAACTACTTTTAAAGGTGCGTAAAATGTAAAAATTTATGTTCATAATACTGCCATCCTCAGATTTTTGAAAGTCTTCCTGTTTAATCAATAAAATATGCACTTTATTTCAAAGCATTGACAATTTTATTTTTATGGTCAACTGAAGAGTTTAACAAGGTCTGAAATTGATAGGATCGCATTTTTATCTATTTTTAAGTTTGTTTTTTTATATATACTGAGCTCTATATGAAGAAATTAGCATAAGCGTGAGATACTTGCCACCGTGCGATCAATAATAATGATAAAGCAGAAGCTTAAAGGGAATTTTTGAATAGTTTATGGGGCATTTTGTTGTCAGACTTACAAGTTGCCTCGCCTATTGTCAATAATGATGCTCCTATTATGAGAGCCAACAGGCAGATGTACTTGATTCCACCCATTGCAATGTTCTTTGTTCTAGAACACGGATTTCTGAGCCACCGGTTGTGATTCACAAAATACCCGCACGTAAATGGAATTTAAGTCACGTCGCTAGCTTTTGATAAGGAAGTGATCGAACTGCGGTTCTATTTCTCGTAATCCACGCTATCCGTCCTATTAAACAGTGTTGACGGCTCAGCGAATCGTAGACTACTGAGCTTGGGGGCAAATCTCAGCAGAATCGAGCCGATGAGAATGACTCGGATCGTTATCACGCACAATGGAGCTCATCATCATCATCTGGCTGGGAGCTCGCTCTCTCATCGGATAAATGAAATCGAATAAACGTAAACACATGTTATTTTTGTGTTGGCTTGGTGAGTCAAATCGCACAAAGCCAAACGATACACACTAACGTATTATGCAAATGACAACCACACCTGAGGGATTCATTTTCGCCCACGCCTTTGAAATTTACCTACCTACTCAGAAAAATCATTTTTATTAAGTTTAAAGCTTTTATAAGACATTTATAAGTCTTGGACTTATATTTTTGTTAAGCGGTTTTTTAAATTAACCGCTAAATTTAAATTTATCGATAGGTTAGTCTGGATGGTTCCGGCTCAGAACTAGTTTACTTATACTAGTTCTTATACCTATTCATGTGACTTCTATAATTTTTAATGGATTATAAATCATTTGTAATTGAATTAGAAGAACAACGTTTAGATTTGTTTAAAGCTTATACATATATACGTATTAATGGCAAACAAGTTTTACTGTACAAAATAAAAATACAAATTAAAGAATATTAATAATACAACTTTTTTTCCTTGAATTCAAAAAGCTATCGATGTTGCCGGTTGAAGCAAGACCATCGCTACTATCGGTATTGCCATCGCGGTTTCTTCCACCTCTAATTTTCATCTAAACAAGCATTTCTTGTTTTCCGAAAAGTTGTAACTTTATCAATAAAATAGGACGATTGGAACAGCCATGCCAGCCTTAGATGCGGAAGCCACCGATGAGCAATTCGGGAATGATCAGCCCAAGTCAATGTCGGGTCCCATTGTTGGGATTATCTACCCGCCGCCGGAAGTCAGAAGCATCCTTTTACCAAACAACAACACATTTTTTCTAATTTTGCCTAGAATAAGATGATTGATTATATATATGTACTTAACGTTTTCCACACACTCAGTTAGCAAAGTTTTAACTAACAGATATCGTTGACAAGACCGCTAGTTTCGTAGCTCGCAATGGACCGGAGTTCGAAGCACGAATCCGGCAAAATGAGCTGGGCAATCCAAAGTTTAACTTTTTGAATGGCGGAGATCCCTACCATGCCTACTACAGACACAAGGTCAACGAGTTCCGCGAGGGCAATGGTATGTTTTAATTCACCCAAATGAAGCTCCCTTGTTTTATGTAATGCCAAACCTCTTTTTAGATGCCGGAATCACTGCGATTGCGGGTATGAAGCAGCTTGCAGTGACCAGTGCCGCCCAACAACGCCAGCAGGAGCTTCTCAAGCAGGTGGTGGAGCAGCAGTTTGTGCCCAAGGAACCACCGCCGGAATTCGAGTTTATCGCTGATCCTCCATCTATTTCAGCTCTGGATCTGTGAGTGTTCTTACTCAAGGCAACTGTGTGGCTTAACTAATCCATTCTATATACTTCCCTTTTATCAGAGACATTGTGAAGCTTACCGCTCAGTTTGTGGCTCGTAATGGTCGCCAATTCCTAACTAATCTGATGAGTCGGGAGCAACGCAACTTCCAGTTTGACTTCCTGCGGCCACAGCACTCACTCTTCCAGTACTTCACTAAGCTCCTGGAGCAGTACACCAAAGTTTTGATACCGCCAAAGGATTTGCTGGGCAAGCTGCGAGCCGAGAGTGCCCCGGGCAGGAGCAGCATGAACCATGTGCTGGACCACGTCAAGTACCGTGCCAACTGGCAGCGCCACCAGGAAGCACAACGTCGTCGCGAGGAGGAGAAGATCGAGCGAGAACGCGTGGCCTATGCCCAGATAGACTGGCACGACTTTGTGGTGGTGGAGACGGTGGACTATCAGCCCTTCGAATCGGGAAATTTCCCACCGCCCACGAATCCCGACGAGGTGGGAGCCCGTGTCCTAATGGAGGAGCGTCTTATGGATGAGGAGGGCGACACCGAAATGCAGATCGAATCTGACGAGGAAGGTGACTCCCAGGTTACCAGTCACCTAGAAAGCGGATTGAAACTGTCGCAGATGGAGAACCGAGTGGGCATTCAGATGAAGAACGTATCTTCCTACGGCCAACCGACGGGCGCCAAGAGAGACAACACTCAAGTGCAGGACATGGACGAAGCCTCCAGTGATGAGGACACCCCGACAACTAAGCTGCAGCCGTCGGTTGCGCCCATGCTGCCACCCACCCACGACAAGGTGGTGGTCAAAAAGTACGATCCGAAGGCTTCGCAACCTAAGCCGGCGCCCATGCCGACGGATGAGTATCTCATCTCGCCGATTACAGGAGAGAAGATACCGGCCTCCAAGGTCTCAGAGCACATGCGTATCGGTCTGCTGGATCCTCGATGGGTGGAGCAGCGTGATAAACACACTGTGGAGAAAATCAATCAGGACAACGTTTTTGCCGCGGGCACAGCCATTGAAGCTAGTCTTAAGCAACTTGCTGAGCGTCGTACTGACATTTTCGGTGTAGGCGACGAGGAGACAGTGATCGGTAAGAAGCTTGGCGAAGAAGAGACCAAAAAGGATGATCGCGTCACCTGGGACGGGCATACGTCCAGTGTGGAGGCGGCTACGCGAGCAGCCCGAGCAAATATCACGCTAGAGGAACAAATTCATCAGATTCACAAGGTCAAGGGATTGCTGCCGGACGAGGAGAAAGAAAAGATCGGGCCCAAACCGGTGGGCAGCAAGGCAACCCTTTCGGCCCCACCACAACCGTCAACCAAGTCGCAGCACAGTCACGCCAGTCAGAGTCAGCACCACCAGGGTGGCGGAGGACATCACGGACACCACAATATGCACCATCATCATCCTCCGCATCCACAGGCGCCGCCACACCCACCCCACCATCACCATCCGCCACAGCAGCCTCAGCCAGTGATGCAGCTAATGCAGTTGCGTCCACCCATGATGCGTAAGTACCAAATAATATCTCGTTTTGCTTCCAAAATCAACCAGATTTATTTAACAGAACCTCCATTTGGAGCCGGTGGTGGAGGCTATATGGGCATGCCACCTGGAGGAGGACCCCCGCAAATTGCACCCGCTCCACCTGTTGATATAATGGAGGATGAACCGCCATCGAAGAAGATGCGTAGCGAGGATAACCTAATCCCAGAGGCAGAATTTATTGCCTCTCATAAGGTCTGTTGGATTTATGTTTTTCCTTTACAAAATATACATTTTTTTATTTTCTATTTTCAGAGTCCTGTAACTATTCAGGTTCTGGTGCCCAACTCAGACAAATCAGAATGGAAGCTTAATGGACAAATGATAGCTGTGACCATGGCACTTTCAGAACCCATAACCAATCTCAAGACAAAACTACAAGATGAAACTGGCATGCCACCGGCCAAGCAGAAAATCTTTTATGAGGTAAGGTGTACGACTTTTTTGTAATAAAATTTAACTAACCAAACCAATCCTTTTTTAGGGAATGTTCTTCAAAGACAGCAATACCATGGCCTTTTATAATCTGGTGAACGGAACCACCGTGCATTTACAGGTCAAGGAGCGTGGTGGTCGCAAAAAGTAAAAGTGTCAAAGCATAAAGGGCATAACATTAATTAGAAAAGTTCCATCATATGTAGAAATTTATTTGTATATGGTTTCGCATAAATTTGTAATAAATCGTCAATCACAGAATTCGTTAATTGCACTTTAGTTAGTTCTATAGTTTTTAGGTGAAGTAAATTTGAAGGAAATTTGGGAGTGATTTTGGGGAATGTTCGGAGTATAAAACGGAATGTTACGTTGGGTTAATTGGAAAGTCTATGATTCTGTATTAGCTAGGACGCGGGCCATTTCGCGATATCGTAGTAACATCGGCGCGTATATTTCCTTGCTGTCCTTGTTTGGTTCGCATACCAGTTGCAGCTTATTGTCCGTCAGACTGAGGACGTAATCTCGATAACTAAGGGCCGTCTTCTTTTTATCCAGCTCCTCAACGTACAACGCATATGCGGCTCTATAACCGGCTCCCATCAAGGCAGCCTCATAACCATCTTCCTGCAAGTAAAGTTATGGTTCATTTCTAGTTCTTAAATGGATGTACACATTAACCCACCTGAATATGGACAGGAGAATTGAATACATCTGCGACTGTCTGCAGGATTGATTTGTTAACGGATGCGCCTCCAGTGACAAGAATTTGCGTATCGGGCCCAAATTTGTAGCCAAGGTCTTCGGCCACAGCTCTGTGATGCAGCATTTGGCCTTCAACTAGAGCTCGAATTTCTATTTGAGGTGAGCTAAATCTGTTATACAAAAGTATAACAAAATATTAATTAACTTAAAACAAGCCAGACATAAATTTAGCTTAATGTTATTTATATGGGTGTAGGTGTAATAAAAATTAAAGTCATATCTTAAAATAATAATTCACAGATGATTGACGATATTGCTTCTGACTTGCCCTCCTCAGCTAATGACAGCTGTTATTATTTTTAGATTTATGACTGGTTTTATGAAGCTACTAACTAAAAGTTAAAGAGTGAATTGTGACTTACTTGATGACACCCTTTTCTGCCTCCGGAGTGTTGGGTTTGATCTCCTTGCTCCATCGCAGAATGCCCTGGGCCTTAGGTATAATTTCCATATCGTTAAAGTGCACGGCCATATTTCCGAAGTTTCCACGTGGCGTGGAGTCGAGATACTCATTAAATTTATCCCAATTGCCACCGGTAGCTGTCTTATTCAAGCCTTCGCGAACCAAAGATGCATTTCTGAAACTAGAAAGTAATATGTAAATATAGTAAGATATGATTCCTCGAGGACTACATACCATAGAAGGCCCATGAAGTTATCCGTATCGGTTGGATGACACAAAATATGTCCCTCCTCCCAGTTCAGTGGCTCTGGCAAACTCACCATTAGGGTATCGCTTGTGCCGAGGGAAATGGTCAACCAATTGCTTCCCACCAACATCCCAGACAGCGCCGATGGATTGTCTCCCGTGCTGGCGATTACTTTGCATTTGGGCGAAAAGCTAAAACGCTGAACATAGTACTGGGAGACGTCGCCTACAACCGTATGTGGACTGACGGGGAGCCCCAGACGCTCGTCAAGATCGGGGGCGCAGACATTTAGACACTCCTTGGACCAGTTCTTCTGTCGAATGTCCAGCAGATTCATACCGGAACCATCACTGAAGTCAATCGGTGCCACAGAGCCGAGGAAGAGCGATGATATAAAACTGCTGACCAATGAGATTCGTTTAGCCTCTTCGTAGGCGTGACAGCGCTTCTGATAGATCTTCCGGATTTGGGGGCCTGTGAAGCGTTCGTAGCACTTAGAGCCGGTCAGTTTAACCATATTCAGCGTGCCGCCAACGGCCATTTCCATCTCTAGGCATTGTTTTGTGGTGGTGGCATCCATCCAAATGGGAGTACGGTTGACCACAAAGGCAGAGTCGTCGATTTGTGCGTGAAGGAACTTGTCGGAGTCGAGATTTTTCAAGGTTTTGATTCCGTGTTTGGACCAGTATACAGATCCGTGCTGTTGTCCGGATCCACTGATAGCCACAACAGTACTAAGATCCGCCTGCTGCATTACCAGTCGGTCCAAGACAATGTCCATGGCCTTCACCCACATTACAGGCTGTACATAATATCTACGAAAAAAATAATTTGAACTTTGATTTAGTATTTGAAGTTATTTTTTGTACTACTTTTTGTTTATCCGAAAAATATTACGTTAATCTTTGTAAGGCAAAGAATACACCTATTATCCATTAGTTTAATTCTTGGTTAATATTTAACCCGATTAAAAACAAAGATTTCTCTTTCAATTTGACCTTATTTGGATGTCAAAACTCACTCATTTTTGTTGGGTCCGGCATTGGCTCCTCCATTGGTCCGGAACTCCGGCAAATCGGTGTCAAATTTCACTTCAGCAGAGGCAACTACCTCCAATTTAGAGCCCAGGAGGACGGCTTTGAGCTAAGAGAAGCAGTGGGGTAGTAATTAGAGATATGGAGACACACCTCGAAAATAACGATCAAACAGAGGGCAACTAGGAGTCACCGCTGGCGTCATTCAGGAATTGTGAAAGTTATTGCGGTATTATTAAGATAATGGAGGGGGCCAATACATCCGAACATGAATTTTAATAATCAAACCATAATAGTTAAATGGTTTGTGTGCCAAGGGGCTTCAGCCAGATAAGAAAGAATCGAGCCCCAGGTCACTGTCACTGATAAGAATATAGTTGGTGTTCTGGGGTAAACAGGTTCCCGAGTTCCGTCTGACCTTTTCTACTAACACCATTCACACGTTAGTTAGCTGAGATCGAGTAAATCTTGAAGACGCCTCTGCATCTCAGATGAATAAGATACTACGTAGGCAGTTACAGTTCTCACCTTTTGCGTACTCAAGTCGAAGCCAAGGAAGGTTCGTTTCGGCTGGCTTGGCGGACCCATTCTCAAACTGCTTCCGGAGATTTTTTGAATTTGGAAACCTAATCGTCTGTCTAATACTCGACAATACCGCATGCGGCGCTGCCCGGTTCTACGGGTTAAATAGCCGGAATACCCGAGAGTATTTGCTTTTGTTGACGGTATCAGAATTATTCGAGTTTTAGAGTGACTGTAACTTGATGTAAAAATAACCCGTATTTCAGGTGGCGCGCTTTTTAAATTTTTAAACCGGCTTATGTAGTCGCATCTTTTATATAAAAATGAGAAGCTTTAGAATTAATGGATGCTGTACTTGGTGTAATCAACGGAAAAATAAATATTAAAGGTGCTAACCCGAAATTTAATATTAAACAATACATTTATTTTTAAACTTCCACCTGAACTTCAATTAGTTTCCTAGCTATATTTAAAATTGACCTTTTAATTAAAATTATCTTATTCCAATATTTTCATTTATTTATAAAATGAAAGTTATTTAAAAAAGTTGTATGAGTCATTTTAAAAATGACAGTTTCATAATATCAATCTAGGTTGGCAGCCCCGTACCCACAGTTATTTGGTATATTTTAACGGCTCATCCGACGGTCACACTTAGCTAATTTTTGTGCCAGGAAGGAAATTGCTAGTTATAGTTCACAATTGGAAAATTAAGTTAAATTGAGGTGATATTTCAGTCCGCCTGAGTGAGCATGTCGCTAAATTACGAGGAGATGAGCTGGTCCGGTGAGTTATCCACTTTTCCCGACTCCATGCGGGTGGACCCACGTCAGTGGTCCCATTGTCATGTGTCCGGTTTTCCGTTGAGCGAAAAAATGGGGGCATGAATGAAAAGTGCCGGATCATAATCCTACGACCATTCTTCCAGATGTACGGGATCAGTTCAGGAAGTGGCGCGAGGAGACAGGCCGCCACAGCGAGGAGGTCGTCCAACTGTGGGTGGCTGTTCTGGAGGACAAGGTTCACAAGACCGGCAACGAGCGCCATCTCATTCTGGAACAGGTGATCATCGCTGCCCTGGACACTGCCCGCTTCGACATTGCCACTCAGTGCACTAAGCAACTGGCCCTGGAGTTCCCGGGCAGTTTGCGCGTAATGAAATTTAAGGCGATGCGCTATGAGGCTCTTGAGCTGTACGACGAGGCCGACGAGGTCCTGGATGCCATCATTGCCAAGGACGAAACTAATGCCGCGCCCAGAAAGCGCAAGATTGCCATTCTCAAGGCCCGTGGTCGCCGCCTAGAAGCCATCAAGGAATTAAATGAATATTTGAAGAAGTATGAATACTAGGCTCTTGTGAGAAATATTGAAAAGTTTCCTTTGTAACGGTCTTAAGCGTTTTCCTAGGAATATAGATAAATCTGTAAGAAGCAAGCTTGAAGGCACATTATTTTTCATAATTAGAGTTACATATAATAGTTTAAGATACCATGGATTTCTTTTAAAGTTTCCATTTATCTTTTTCTTGTTCATAGAAAATGACTTCCTTTTTTCGTAGAATACTTATCATCCTATTTATACTTAATATCACATCTCAGGTTTATGTCTGACCAGGAGGCCTGGCACGAGTTGTGCACCATGTACCTGGCTGAGGGAGAGTTTGGCAAGGCAGCGTTCTGCATGGAAGAGGTTCTGCTGCACAATCCCCACAGTCATCTGATACATCAACGTTTGGCGGAAATTCGCTATACAATGGTAACCCAAATAAACCAGTCAAACTTCCAAAAACATATTTAACCAAATTCTTTTTTTTAGGGTGGCGTCGAAAATGTAGAAACGGCTCGAACTTACTACTCCCAGGCCCTGAAACTGAACCCCCACAACTTGCGTGCTCTTTATGGCATTTACTTGTGCTGCAACTATTTGGCCAACTCTCGAGCTGTCAGCTCCAAGCGCAAAGAGCTGCAAAAGCTGGGCCAGTGGGCCCTTGATCAGGTTACGGAACACACCACAAAACAATCCACAATCAAAAACAACGATAAACTGATTCTATCATTGGAGGCTGCCTTAGGAAATTTGGAAATCAAATCGAATTGACCAATATAAGCACTAATGGATATCAAATCATTTGTGCAATAGATGCCAGAAAGTAATGATTCCAAATATTCTCAGAAATGGGTTTCCAGTTTCTGTTTCTTAAGCAAGTTACATAGATAAACATGATAAATGGGAGTAAAACAGAGAATTTTATAGTCAGTGCATCCGAGCTAGTATTTTTTATGTTAAAGTATCGGTGTCGGCTTTGAGCTCGGATAATTTATAACCTTGAACTATTGAGGTATGCGATGAATAGTCCTGTAATAAATTTAGAAAAATCAAATATCAATATGTAAAGACTTTCCTTTGTAACCATTTTATTTATTTTACTTTTGTTTCCATGTTCATTACTATATTTTGGATGGCCTTACATTTTAAAAACAAAAGCTCTTACGAATTCACATCTGTAACATTGATCGGACATTGAACGACATTCATAATGCTGTTAAAATGAAGAATTTTTATTCTGAAGATGGGGTCTATTATATTCGTACTGTTTACTTGACTATTCATAGAGTGCATTGACTCGCATTATTGTAAAAATTGCTTTAGATTAATTCTCACTAGGCTTGTGCGTGTCCATCGCCATACAATTGCATATTTATATACGTACATGGTAATTATCGTGCATATGGTGTGCATATATTTACTTGCATCGCACTGTAGGTGCAATCGACTACGAGCAGGGCATCCGAGGGCAGCTCTGGCTGATAATCCAGTGGACGGTTAAAAATAGTCCAACAATGGGACAGAATGCAATCAGTGGAATTACCCCCCCCCCTTCAACAGAACACTTCAATTTGTTGAGGAGCCGTTGCCGTAGGTCCGCCCACTGTGCGATTTCCTTGAATGCTTTGGCCGGAAAAAGTCCTTGAAAGTGAGTGCGGGTGCGGGCAGTGGCTTTTCTGAGTTGCTTGTGGAATCCGGACCCTGTCCTTGTGAGGATGAGAGCGCTGTATGGCCTCCACTCATGCTGCTGGGGCAAGTTGGCAGTCCATCGAGGTATTTTAGCTGGGGAAGCACCTGCAGGATGTACTCGCGGGGTCCTTGGCCACCGAAAACCGTGATGATACCAGGATTGCCCATACAAGAAAGCTGATCCAGTGCCGGACACTGCCGTTCGATGCGGTGTATCCAGTCTGTTATGTTTGCTATATCGCAGTTGTTAATCCTGAAAAACAAACGAGGCTATTATTTCGTTGAAAATTTTATAATTAATTACTTTTAATCACCACAAGATTCTTAGGCTCGGTAGGTAAGGAAATGTATTTATGTCCAGGTTCACATTGCGGTCCAGTATCAAAGTATCCAGATCCTCAAAAAACGACAGAAATCTGAGATTCCTAAAATCATTGTGACTCAAGTCGAGGAACTTGGTCTGTGCCGCAAATTTGTCGGCCAGTCGCCGGGGAATTGTCTTTAGGTTCTCATACGCCAGCGATATACGACCATTGTCCTCCAGAATGCTCTCCGTGAAGGAAACATCTTCACTTGGACAACTGCTGATGGAGATGTTACCGCTGAAAGAGTATGGATTCGGTGTTATCATCTTTCCCTCGCTGGATTCGGTGAGGAAGACGTCGTTGTATTCGTAGTTCAGGCTTTCCAGTGACTGGATATTCGCACAATTTCTGAGCACCTCCGTCAGGCCGGGATTCGATGGACTGGAATGGGAACATTTAGGATTATAATCTGGATCTTTGACTACTCAGCTGATCTCACCTGTCTTCAGAGTTGGAGCGTTCAGATGTCGATGTTCCAGACATAACGCCGGGTAATCCTCATAACTAGTAACTGATTTTTTTCTTATTATATTCCAATTGGGATTGGGAGTCCGTCAGATTGTATTTATTTTGGTCCAACGTCAGTGGAAGACTGAGGGAAAAATGACACTTGATTCTCGCTCCGCGAAGATTATCTGAGTCTTCTTGCTCCCCAAGCAAACATATGGCCGAGATTGTGAGTGAATTGAAACAATTGTCATCCCGGTCGTCACAATTACACAGAGCACTCAAAATACACTCGAAATAAATATTTGTAATCTGTATGTCATCAAAAAAAGAAATATTAAATTGCTAATGTGGTTTTGGTGGTTAAAAAACATATTAAGGGTACAAAAATTCTGAAAAATAAACAAAAAAATACACAGTGAAATTAAATAAAAAGTACGGAGTAAGGTGGTTTCTCATAACCTGAAAACCATACATTTTCATAAAAAAAATAATTACAAAAAATTTTATTTTACTCCAATTATCAAACTAATAGGTACTTACTCATATGTTTAGTTTTCAGTGTAAAGTTACTCGCTCAGATTAGCAAGAAAGAAAATAAAGCATAAGGAAGAAGTCTATTGTTTTCTCTTTGTTGATGTTGATACTCTTCCGTGGAATTATCTATGAACATGGTAGGTTAATTCTTAAGAATAGTTTGTATACTACTTATTTATCCGTTACCGAAGAAACTTATCAAATTGAAAGTACCTTCAGTTAGAGTTAGTTAGTTCTTATCTCAAACATTTATAAGTATTTTTAGTGTTATTCTTAAAAAAGTTAGTAGCTTGGAAATTCAAATTTTTCTAATTACGACTAGAAAAATAATATGTCTTGATAATTAATATGAAAACAGGGTTTACATCACTGAGACTAACTCAGATTTCATCGTTAAATCAATAATAATTTTTAATATTATTTGCTTGTTTTTGTATATTAAATTTCTCATTTCCAATAATAAGGGTGTAAACAGTGTGAATATACATACTTGTTTTCCCTTTGTAAATATTTTTTACACTTTGTACGCATGAAATTGATTTTGTACTTTTGTTTATATGAGCTAGAAATGATTTCCAAGTCAACTGCAGGCGGAAACATAAAGAAAACGTGAAAATATGTTGATTAAGTGTCACTAATCTGGCTTTACAGCACGGCACCAGTTATATATTTTTTTTATTTTTACTTTAGATGACAGTGTAGTTTGTGCTGTAAGTATTGCTTTTCATGTTTTATAAATAAATATTGTTTTTATGTTAACTGACTTACTAAGTCTTAATTTAAGTGGAAAAAAATAACAGATAAACATACATATTAGATTTTTTATGTCATAGATATTATTTTATCATATTTTATCATATTGCATAGGTTTTGGATACTTTACGTTGCTCTATATAATAATAAATGCAAGACTTAAATGATTTTAAATTTGTTTACTAAAATTTATTATTTATAACAGCTTTCTCCGTTTAAAAGTAATTATATTTTAAAAAATACATTTAAACGTGTTTCTACACCATCTTTGTCCTGTAATTGATCTGTTAAGTGCAAAAAATATTATTTAGTTACTAACTGTACTCATTATTGTTCAAATGACCGAAGCTCCACTGTGGTTACACCTAAAAATAGTGATCGTAACTGTCCAAGTTGACATCTTAGACTTCTCTTGTAAGCTTTGATTCGACTCACTCACTCATTCATTAAGTCAATTTACCCATTCGCACTCGTAAGAGACTCGAACAAGTGGCCAAGGCACTACCATATGCCATATACCACTAAGCGATTTAGTAGAATGAGCGGCGGCGGGCGAGCCCCCGGCGGACTTTCGCTCTCAGCGCCACTGAAACCGTACCCGCGCCCCCAACGCTCGTCGGTCGTACCGCTCGTAAAGCTGCCTGGTACTATGGTACCGCTGCTACAGAGCATGGTGAGCAAATGGCACGGCAGTCAGCTCCACGCTCTAGACCCCAATAGTTCGGCGCGCGGCCTACACGCGGCAAAAGCTCAGCAAGATCGATCCGAATCGAAGTGAATCGAAAACTGAATCGACTTTTTGAGAGTGTGCGTGTGTGCGCGAGTGTGTTGTGTTTTGTTTTTAAGAGGCAGTGCACACAGCTGTTGACTAATATTCAATCGGAGCTTGGCCTCGAGTTGCAAATCGAGTCACTTCAAATCGCAGCGGTAATAACAAAAAAACAGCAAACAGCGACTAAGTTTACATAAAAATGCAATTGAACATGCGAGCATAACGAAAGCTGAATTGAGTTTGTTATTGATTACTTGGGTTGCCAGTGGCACCACCTCCCTCCCAAAACAATCATAAAATCGATTGCTTAGGCAGGGGGGAAATATGTCAACAACATGGAATTATTAAAAAACTCACCGAAAATAATAATATTTACATTAAATTTGCAAAAATGATCAGCAATTTTTGTAATATATCTACACTCTGAATGAAAATTTTAGTTATAGATGTTGTCTATATAAAATATAAAGTCATTATTCAGTGAGTAATTATGAAAAAATTAAAAATATTAGTACATTCCTTAAAATATTCAAATTTTAGATGGTTTCCATTCACATGTATAGGCTTAGAAATTGATGATTGATTTTAACCAATTATTACAACGTATTTCCCCATCCTATTTATTATTTAAAAACTTAATGAAAAACCCCAATAATTTCTGATTCTTGATCAACTAATTATATTTCAATACTATATATTTAAAATATAATGTAAAGTGGGTCATAAAAGATGATGATTATATCATTTAATATACAAATATATTACCTTTTGTAGTTAATTAGCATTATTTATTATCCATTTTTAATGACTTTCCATTTAATATTTCTCTAGAGGCCTTTGTTTTTCTCCCTGTGTGAGAACCCCCACATATTTATTGATTAACTGACAACATACGATGTACATCTGTATGTAAAAACATATCTATGTACATCAGTATCAATTCACCGAAAGAGGTCTTTTCGCTGTTATCGCCGGCGCGTGTATACCTCCCAGTGAATTTAAATGCCGATTCGCACTTGTGGAAACTAACTATTTAACTTTGTTAGTGTTTTAGTGGCTTTACTGTGAAACAGTAGAGCGTGGCTTGCGCAATTCGCTTAGGTAGATGTGCATAATCTAATGGCATTGGCCAAAATCAGGTTTTGGCTTGAAGCTTAAATACCAAAACATTGTTACCCTGGCACTCTTTTACTGAGTGTTGTTTGTAGCTAGTTGGTACTGTGGCAGGGGCCTCAAGTGGAAATGGGCATCTGCGAAGCGAGTGAGTTCATTGATTAAAAGTGCTCAGCTGACGTTGCCGTTTCTTTGTGAATCTTATCAGAGAAGCAACAAAAATAGGAAAAACCAATTAAAAAAAACGCCAATATACATCGTATATGAGGTTTTGCCATGCAAAAACGATCGAACCCCGGGGGCAGTCGTGTATAAGCGGCGTATTAATGCAGATACTTGCGTAGTAGTCACAAAGAATCGCCTTGTCTCAGACCAAAGTCCAGTAAAAAAGCCCTGTCTGACTCGCAAAAACGCCATAAAGAACGATCACTTCGTCAAAGTTTATCATTCGCTGGTGAAATGTGCTAAAAAAACAATCTAACTGATTGCGTTAGAAACAAAACCAGTATAGTTAAAAGTTAAAAGTGTTTTGGTAAATATTTGACACTTTCTCACAGGGCGCAAGCAAATATGCACTTAGAACTAAGGTTTATTTTTACAGTTACCCAGCATATGTTTTGTGTATCGAAAGTTTCTAGGAAAAGGAAATAGTTCGGCTTGGAACCCGGGGTATCGGTTTTGTAAGCTGTCGTAATGCCGGAATTCAAGGGCAGTCCACAATGCGTGAATACTGATTTGGATCTGCGACCTTTCTCGATGTCATTTCGGAATACGAACGCTAAGTAAAATATGCAAAAACCGCATACAAAAAAATTGAAGGCAATATCTGTTCGAATTCTTTGATACCCCTTAAACATAGGGCATATTGATTTATTTATCTTTTTCAAATGCAATTCAGCTTTCATAACTTTGTTTTGCCAATTTTTGATTTACTATATGATTCTAGCTGAATGAACAATCTAAAAATAAGTACCGGATATACAAATATACAAAACGCCCAAAAATTTTCAATTTGTTTGTTGCTTCTTTTCCTTTTGTTTATTTTAGTTTTCCCCTCGTTTTGCGTCACCAACTTGGGGGGAGTTTTCTCTTTCTCACAATCACATCTGTTTTTATCCCAAATAGTCTTCCTTTAAATTAGAATATTAACTTAGAGATAAGGATAGTGTTAAATTAAATTAAAGTCCATTACTTATCGACTTGTTTTTCGACATTGGATTCTATCAGTTGGATATCCGTAAGGGCAAGGTTGGCTTTTCATTAAAAATATAGTCACGACTCGAGGCATTTACGTAATTGTAAATTACAAAACTAAGGAAAAGATAGCTAAAATTTGAATTTATATTATATAACTATACTATGCTAAATTAAGAAAAATATAAAACAATAAATTGCCTAGCAGCTTTGTTTAAAAGTAGCCACTGCTAGCCAATAAAACCTGAAAATTAGATAAGCAATTCTTTGGTAATTTCCTGGTCACTCGCTCTTTCAGTGCTTATCAAAAATTGCAATATTTACAATTATTGATTACTTAAACACCCAACATGTGATAAACTTTTTGCCATTCCTGACATTCAGTACAAAGTGATTGATTTTTGCTTTTTGCCCTCCTGAGTGGCACCACTTTTTCTCATGACAATAAAATAAAATCAATGCCAGCAACGTGTAAATAAGGGGAAAATGTGAAAAGTCAGGTGGCGTCTTACCCACCTGCCAGCTCACACATATAAAGTTCTTAACTAATTGGAATTTCAACGGACTAAAGTCTATGCGAACTCACAACGGTTTAATGGAATATCATATTCATTATATGGGAATATACATATATACTCAGACTTTCCAATGAATAAATTCATTGGCGACATTTTGAGCGATGGAAGGACAGGGTCAGGCACTTAACCGCCGTGTTCCATTTTAATTTGTCGAATGCCGGAAAGTGTGAGCGCTAATTGATCGTGTGCCTGGAATGCTAATTAGTTGGTCGTACTTCACCTAGAACGTTTGATTACTCATTCAGAACGTTTCTGTACATACAGAAACACATTTCATTTAATAGGTGTCTACGTACGCAGTGCTTTTCATTTAATTGTTGATTTTTTTTATGTGCCATTTCAGGGTTTCCAGTTGAGAACTTACTCCCAAAAAAGGCAAAATGACTGGATCTGGTAAATATTTAAATTAATGCAATTAATTTGACATCAAAAAAGAGGATTTGCACTTTGTAGCAAGATCACTTTCATATGGATGCAATCATTTTAAAATAGCTGTTTTACAACTTTTATTTAAAGTGTCATGAGAGGTTTGACGCAATGTCTGGAAATATATTTTTATAGCATACTTATAGGGAAATTATTATTATTATTTTCGTGTAATGTAAAATTCTTGTGTATAATAAGCTAAGTCAAACTTAGTTTCCTCCAAAAATTATCTGAAGGCACTACACATAAAACTTAAAGAAAATTGTAATTTATATAATCATTTATGGGTCAAAGAATTTAGGTTTCCTCTACCTAAAGTTGTGGTTTTAAATAGCAGAAAATAGTTAAAAAAAACAAACAGAAAATTGTATATTTCGTGTAAAGTATTACCCATATCTTAGCTACTAGTGCTGCTTTCTTATCTACTTTTATTAGATATGTATATTTCCCTTCTTAAACTTACCCTATATTTCTGTTAATCTACCTTCCAGTTCACGATCCCAAATGGAGCCTGGAGCGCCGGGAATCCTCTGGCCATTTGGTTTGGCGCAAGGATTCCCCAGAGTCAAAAGTCCGATTTCGTTTTGATGTTGAGGTCCTAGAATTTGAGAAGCACCCGCATGAGGAGCTGGATGACAGGGAGGATAACTTCTCGATGACAAGTCTCTCGGCAACAGTGGCCTTGTGTGCCACCTGTGTGGCCGTAGTGGCTGCCTCCGTGTTCCTGCCCTGGTATCTGATGGAGAAAGTGGGCTCCATCTGAGGAAACTGGCCGGAAAGGCAATGGCTTCTTGTATATAGGTACCTTGACGGTATTAAGTAGACTCTTGTATATAAACAAGCGTAGATTTAACTATTTGTAAATAGTACGTACGTTGTAAATAGAAACTAAATGTGGTTTTTTTTATCAAAAAATGAAGAGTTTGAAAAACTCTCGGTGCAATATGAGTGCGACGATAGTGACTGCTAATGCCAAACTATGGAATGTGGATTGTATTTTAGGATGTGTAAATTCTCATAAGCTTAGTCCTATTCAAAGATCACAAAGATAGTTTATGGAATAAACAAAATACTTGCCCTAAAAAGTGATTTTTCATTTATTAAGGGAAACCCAAAGGTCACATCTGCAATATGCCATAAAAAACGATTAAAAGATCAGAAGAATACCCCACAGAAGCTGCTGTAATAAATGTTTATCACGTTGGTTAGTTCTTCTAAGGATATTACTCAGAATTCAAAGCAACCAATTAGACCATCGAAGTCACTTAATGAATTTTCCAACCCCTGACTCTGGACCAATTTAAGGTAACAATCAACCCCCGCAGATGCTTACAACCCCGAAACAGCATCTTTGCGATTAGGGGTTGATGGCTTAATTCCCATTTCGTTGCCTTGATTAAAATTCTTCCCTTCTTTATGGCCATGCTAAAAGCGTAGGAAAATCCCATAAAATTCAATGCCATCAATTCATTGGACAACGTTGGCGAAAAATGGCCGACTGGCAAGTTAGAAAGTAAATTTAACGAGCAACCCTCGCAAACAGGCAAACTACTTTGGAAAACTAATTGGTGCTGGGATTAAAGATGTATTAGTTAGTGATTTAAATCTTAAAATATACTTTATAAGGGGTTTGGAATGGAAAAAAGAATATAACTTCTTCAATTTTTTAAAGACATAATTATCTAGGAATTTCTGAATAAGTTTAGACGGGATTTTTGAACATTTTTTTAGTATTTATGAAAATTTATGAAAAGAAAAAGCAGATTTACCTTTAAGTTTTTATTAGATTTGTTTTTTAATAATAAAACAGTTGAGGAGTGTTTCCAAAAATTCGCAGGAACTAATAGTTAGCTGATAATGCCTTAGTACATTTTCTATGATTAGCCAGTTTATTTTTGAAAGAGTTGATAAGACTGGTGTCACTTGAGGGCTATATAATTATAAAATACTTGATTTACAAAAACCAAAATATATAATATGTATATGTATATGCCCTTAACCTACATGATAAGCTTTTATATTTCCGATTTAACTTGAATTAACAGTTTCCGAACGACAGCTCAACCTGAAGTGCTTACACTTCACTGGAAAAGTAAGTGGCGAGCTGCATTAATGAAATCCACTCATCCGAGTGGACACTTTGCCTACGTCAGAGCTGGAAATTGATTTCCGTAATCTTGGGAACACTGCACGGGGTGAAGTTGGATCATGATAAGTGCTTAAGTAAGAGTGGGATGACAGAGGAGAGCTCAGCTGAGCAGGGCGAAGACAGGGGCGATAAGAGCTGGCGTCGTGATAAGATTCTCATAAATGTGGCGATCTTTTATTTGAACCGCTGCTGCTGATACTCGCTCCGTGGTCTTGTTGTACTTTTTTTGTTTTCTTTTAGTTTATTTCTATACGATCGTGCTGCTCCCTATAAATCCAATGCAGTGCAGTGAGTCAGTTTGTTGTTTGCCCCAGACGCGAGCGGACGTCTGTGGAGACCGGAGATCGGAGACCGGAGATCGGAGATCGGAGATCGCCCCAGATACAAATACATAAGGCAAACAGACCGAGAATCGATCGAACGTCTGGCGATCTCGTTTGAATTCGAAACGCGGGCCAATCTAGTCTGATCGGAGATCTCCACCAGAACTGACGTTGTGCCTCCGTGAAAAAGTTATAGGCGATACACATATATAGTCTAGGTGATATCCAAACACTTGCACTGGACGATTAGAGCCGGCCTCTGGGGTGCAATAGAAATAGAACGTAAGAAGTCGGAATAAAAAATAAACATCGACCAAGCCGAGCATACTTATAACCTGTTTCGAATCCGTCTAAATGTAAGTCCCCGAAGGTCATGCGCTCTGTTTTCGGGTTTTTTTTTTTGAATAATTTCTGACGTTTGTTTGTTTTTATTTTTATTTGAATTTGTTTTTTGTTTTCGTTTTTTTTATCTCCGCTCTCCAGGGACTTCAAAATGTCCAAAATGCCAGAGACAACGTTTGCCGACCTGAGTCTGGCTGATAAGGTAAATATAACAATGGGACTATCGTAGTGAATTGGCCAAGTTAGTATGTGTTGGCCAGATTCGTTCGACTCGTTTCAATCGCTGAACTTGCCGATTAACATATATGTATATATTTGTATAAAAAACAGCACGTGACACCTCGACAACAAACAAACAAAGCCCCCAAAGACGCTCTCCGGGCAATAAATTAAGGCGAGACATTCACCTCGAAGCTTTTAATACCCTTTGTGAAAGTGATCGCATGACAAATTAAGTTAAGCAGCTTTAATTGAGTTCGTGTAATAGGGGGTCAAGTAGGTGTGATTATTTCAAATCTATAAACTCAACAAAAGTTTAGATAGAAACATAAAAAGCACAGCCCACATGGCTGTAATAAATCTTCTTTTAATTAGCTTTTTCATTTTACTAACTTCCAATCAAAGACTGATCTGTTGTGATTATGAATGGGGGGCCAGTAAATATCCGCTGAATAAGATCGTTGGAGAAATATAATTTCTGTAGATACAAGTGCATGTTTATTCCATATGGCCAGCGAAAACGTAAACAACCATAGTAGAGACACAATGGGTTAGGTATACAATCGTGGATTTCATTAATTCAACTGTTTACATACACTCCCCGATGCGATCGGATCTAGAATCTATATTCGCAATTATATATTTGTACATATATATCTCTCTGGGTATATCAATTGGCGCGACGAATTATCGGCGATATGCTAAACGATGCCAATTAGTGAGAATTTCGAGTTTTTACCCTTCTGCTTTTCTTTGCACTTAAATCTGGATTTAGCTGGAAATTTTAGCAGAAACTTCACAAAATTGATCAATCCCTATAGCCGATTTGTTAATTGAAAAATGCAATAAATTGATCGTTTTGTGATTCGGTGCCATTACCTTTGATTATACGTGATATCTAGTTAGTCAAGGGAGTGTAATCGAAGTCATTAGATATTGACAAATGTATTTTTCATTCACTTAGCACTTCACGACGGCGCTACAATCTGTCTTTAAAGCTTTTTAGAATAAATTAAATTAAATTTCCATGCAGGATGAAAGTGTTTATTAATAGATCTCTCTTGTTATATAATTGTTTTTGTGGCTTAAGCTGTAAGATAAACTTTATGATCTCCTCCTAATTAGAGTTGGTTAAGCGGTTGTTATCTTTGGAATGATAAAACAAAATAATTTATTAGCTGACAAAGGAAAATGTAAACAGAGTTTTGTTTTGTTTTATTGGCTTATTAAGATCATAAAATTTGTTTATATTTTCGTAGACTGCAGTGAAGAAGTCCAGTATCGAGGCTCGAAGGTTTTCGGATGTCTCCACCTGCTCGTTTAGCTCCAGTAAGTGTTAATCTATTTTATTAAGATAATTATTTATTCACAAAGTAATAAGTTTATAAATCATTTAATAATTATCCAAATAAGCAAGCTTGTAAGAATTTAATTTAAAAATTTCTTCATAAATGTTAGGAAAAGTTTTGCAAAAATAATATCCCTGAAAAATGCATTTTTAAACTTTTTGAAAAATACTTTTTAAGATTATTTTCATCATTTTTTTTGCTTAAAACCACTTTATTTTTTTTATAATTCAACAATCTAATCAATTTCTCAAACAGCCTGTTTCACTGGAAGCTCCGACGAGGATGAGATCTCGCCGAAGGACAACCAGCAGCGCAACTCCGCCGGCGGAACTGACTTTTGCGTGAAGAGCATCTCAAAAAGTGCCTTTGGACGCCGGGAGATTGAGATAGCCGAGTCGGAGATGCCGGGCATCATGACACTGCGGAAGAGGGCCAAGGATGAGAAGCCCCTGAAGGGAGCACATATCGTGGGATGCACCCATGTGAATGCCCAGTCAGCAGTGCTGATCGAGACCCTCGTCCAACTGGGCGCCTCTGTTCGCTGGGCTGCCTGCAACATTTACTCCACACAAAATGCAGTGGCTGCCGCTCTGGCAGATGCGGGTATCCCCATCTTTGCGTGGCGTGGCGAGACGGAGGAAGAGTTCTGGTGGTGCCTGGACAGGGCCATCCATTTTGAGGGCTGGCAACCGAACCTGATCTTGGACGATGGCGGTGATGCCACGCATCTGATGTTGAAGAAGTACCCGGACTACTTTAAGGCCATTCGGGGCATCGTAGAAGAGAGTGTGACTGGGGTTCATCGGTTGTACATGCTCTCTAAGAGCGGAAAACTTACCGTTCCGGCCATCAATGTTAATGACTCGGTTACGAAGAATAAGTTTGATACTTTCTATACTTGTCGTGACTCGATTCTTGATAGGTAAGTTTAGGTATTCCTTTTCATGTAGGCAGAGGAATGCCTATAAACAAATTCCTATGACTAGTTTCTAAAATATATTCATACTATTAATAACTGAAATCTATAATCCATTATCCCTTCTCAGCTTGAAGCGCACCACGGACATCATGTTCGGTGGAAAGCAGGTGGTCATCTGTGGCTACGGCGATGTCGGCAAGGGCTGTGCCCAGAGCCTAAAAGGTCAAGGCTGCATAGTCTATATTACGGAGGTGGATCCCATATGTGCTCTTCAGGCTGCCATGGATGGCTTCCGTGTGGTCCGACTCAATGAAGTGATAAGGAACGTGGATGTGGTGGTCACGGCAACGGGTAACAAAAATGTAATCACTCGGGACCATATGAATCGCATGAAGAACGGCAGCATCCTCTGCAACATGGGGCATTCCTGTTCGGAGATTGATGTGGTAAGTTTTGGCAAGAAATAAATTGTTGAGAGAAGTGTACATATATTTGAAATCCCTTTCAGAATGGCTTGCACACTCCAGAGCTCACTTGGGAGCGAGTACGTTCCCAAGTAGATCACATCAGGTGGCCCGACGGCAGGATGATCATCCTTTTGGCCGAGGGAAGACTGGTAAATCTATCCTGCTCCACAATATCCTCGTTTGTCGTATCCGTGGCCTCCTCCACGCAGGCTCTGGCCCTCATTGAACTCTTTTCAGCACCAGGAAGATACAAGTCGGATGTCTATCTGCTGCCAAAGAAAATGGGTAAGAAATCGATCAGTTCTTTATAGAAATTCAAGGTAATTTAATGTAAAATTGCAGATGAGTATGTGGCCAGCTTGCATTTGGCCACCTTTGATGCTCATCTCACGGAGCTCACTGATGAGCAGTCCAAGTTCATGGGCTTGAACAAGGCCGGGCCTTTTAAAGCCAATTACTACAGGTTGGTCTGAATTTCTTTCCCTTTTAAATCGACTTTTTAATATATGATTTTTATTTTATTTACAGATATTAATCAGTATTTAATGTTTTATCTTGTTATTCTCGTTCTGTAATTTTGATATTATTTAGAAAATATATGAATATGAATATAAATTGTTTTCTGTATAAAAGTTAATGAATTTTGCTGTTTGAAATTGGCGGTTGGGCATGCTCACCAGCACAAGCTGGTTGCTATGAATGTAGGTGGCGTTCTGTTATTATTGGTTGTTAGTAGTTCTGGAAATGCCCGTTGTTCAAGTGGTGGTTGAATTTCTTCTATTTGTCTGAATTCTCTTATATTATTATATATTATATCAAGCAGAACCTTCTTCCGCCTGAAATAGTAGTCAAACATGTAGGGCATAAAAAGTTATCTTTAAAATGGAGATCGAAATAATGGCAGTTCATAATGAATACCCTCACGCCTGAACAACGCTTGCAAATAGTGCAATTTCATTTCGAAAATAATGATTTATTGAAAGACATGTTTGGTGACCACCTAATTTAACGTTTTGGACCTGTGAATTGGCCTCCAAGATCTTGTGATTTAACGCCGCTACACTACTTTCTGTGGGGCTATGTAAAGTCATTGGTGTATTCGGATAAGCGGTCATGAACTTACATACCCTTACCTTACCCTTACTATACCTCTATAGTTCTTATATGTTTCTTATATCGGGTAGGTCCTTCTTGCCTTCTTCCATTCAAAATAATTGGCAAAGATGTAGGGCATATAAAGTATCTTTCAATTGGAGATGAATATATTAAGTCCAAGGTGGTAAAAGAACTTACATCGGAATGATTTTTCAGCTTAAAGATATTACTCTTCCAAAAAACGCCACAATAAATACTTTCTTAGGGATATATGTAAGCACTTCGACCACAATTTTCACTAAGAGTTAAGTGAGAATATTTGTTAATCACCTGCCTTTTATTTAAGTATAACTATAAATGTTCAGAATTTCTGACATTTACCTTTTTCTGCCGTATATCAAGTTGTATTATGTTTAAAAATCAAATCAGTTTCAAAATTCTCAGAAGTTATTTTCAGACATGTCATAATATTATATACGTTTCTCAGGGTTTTTATTTGGTCATATCACACTTACTTTTCTTTAGATATCAGAGGCGATGGGTTCCATATCGAAGGAACTTATAAACCAGATGAAGGTCATACAGTCTGACTTCAAGAATGACACGCCACCGGGTGAGGCGACCGGAGATTCGAGTGGCAAAGATGTTCTCCAGATGAAGAACTGCCTGGGGAAATTGGTTGCGTTGACGAGGACAATGAGGGAGTTATATGTGGAGAGTAATGAAATGTCCGATAAAGTGAAATCCATAAATGGAATGATCCTGTCAAGATGTAAGTCCATGTAAGGGGATTACCATTAGTATATTTTATATTTATTCCCAGGTAATTTACACATTAAGCGCCTGTCTTCGCTCTTGGGATACTTTGATTTTGATGGAAATCTAAATATAGCGAATCAATCAATTTTTAAAATAGGCGTTGATAGTGTTCTCTTTGTGTTAGACAGTGTTATTAATGAGTCCTCAATAAAGTCCTCTACGTCAGAAACGGCCCTTAAAAAGGCAAGTCAGATAGTCAAAGAGCCAACCTTAAATGAGAGCCAGCTAAAGGAGTTAAAGGACTTACGTCTCAAACTGAAAAATTCCGAGAAATGCTGGGATTTGGAAAAGTTAGGACACAATTTGATGCTATCAAGAGAACGAACGTTGGCCCTTCAGGCAAGAAAAACCCAGCGGGCTGTGGAAAAGCAACTCGTCAAGGAGCAGCAACGCGCTAAGGAATTGGAGGAAAGTCTTTCTAAGTACAAGAACATGCTAAAGATCGTCACGGAACAGAATCAAGAACTGAAGGAAAAAAGCAAGGATACTAGTGAGGTCACCGATCAGAGTCAACCAAAAGAAAGTTCTGTTCAGAGATGGAGTGTTGAGCAAAGAAAGTGTAAGATACCAAGCCGTGGGAAAAGTTTAGTAAAGACCCCTTTAAAGTTAAACCAATCGCAGCAGGAAGCTCTTAAAAATCTGAAACACCGCCTCAAGCAGGAGAAGAAAATTATGGGGAAAGCCAAGACAGCAATATCCCAGCTCAAAAAGGACATAGACGAACTTTCTTTCAGAAAAGGAAAGCAGCGAATTGTCATTCAAAAAGAGAGAAACTCAAAAAAAAAGTTAGGAAAAAACCGAAATCATCCTTTGAACGTTATAGATGATGTATTGAAATCCCTGGACCTTTACAACAATTTCAAAAACCCAGAAAGCAATGCCAAGTGGAGCCAACTTATGGAATCCCTTCAGGGTAATCTACTTATGATACGAAAGAGGTGGCAAGAAACCTGTCCTGAGGGAGGGCCAGAGTCAAAAACAAATTCAGTGAAGCCAACTTCAAGAAGCACTAAAATTGAAGAACTTAGGTTCAAGCCCTGCCCAAGGTATCGCCCACAATCACAATCATCCCAGGATTTGTTGGACAAGATCTACAAGCCCAGCTGCCCGTCAACTCCTGTTCCATCCAGAACGCGTTTAGCTCGGGTTGTATCCAAGGAACGGGCCAAACCTGTGAACTTCGGGGTGTCCTCATTACCTCTTCAAACTGGATCCAAGACCTCCAGTATCGTTTCAAATGCCCCGCAGTATCTGGGAAAAACCTTCGGAAATCGGCGTCTAGACCTGCTCCGCTGGTGCAAGCTTCGGGTGATGCCTTATGGTATTCCCATGTACGAGTTCAGTGCGTCCTGGAGAAGTGGTCGAGCTCTGTGCGCCATCATCCACTCCTATCGCCCTCATCTGATTGACAATAAATACCTGCAGAAGAAGGGATCCAAAGAGACCTTGACCTATGGCTTCGGTGTTGCCCAATCCCTTGGTATTCCTGGCTCCACGGACCTAATTGCGGAGTGCCAAAAAAGCCAGTCCTGATTTCCGAAAGATCATCGAGTTCTTGTTGAAGCTGCAAGGCTGCCTACAGGCATAGAGTTGAACAAATTTTATTTTGCTTTTATAGAATATATTTTTATAAAAACTTTAGTTTTTAGTCTTCGAAAAAGATGCCTTTCAAGAATGGCCTTTCTTGTATTCAAAATATATATTTTTTAATAAGTTTAACCTGTTTTTATAAGAAAGAAATCACAAAGAAAAAACGTATAAAATATACAACTTATTCTTTATTTTATTCATTAAAAATATATATAGGAATCCCTCACAGAACTATGGGTCCTTTTCATTGTGCATAAAGGAGTTGGGCCAATAGGTCATCATGCCGAGGATAACCTTTTGGTCACTTTTTGGTCCCACGAGTGGATTCAACTGCATCAGGAAGGTGACCAGCCAGGCCAAGTAGCAGCATACGGCCGTGAGGATGCAACAGCACCTGATGATGCCACGCTCCTGGAATCGATAGGAGACCAAGAAACCAATGATGGCGAACAGCAGCCAGAAGATAGAGACCACCGCGAATGTCACATGCTTTTCCATTTCCGGAGACAGAGATAGAGAGGGGCAGTTTTGGCCAGCTGGACGAATGTGTCTGAAGTTCTGACAAGTTTCCACCCTGTGTCCTGGATCTGGGCAAGCTTGGGCAATCCCAATTTGGGTGCCTGCGCGCACTCATAAACTTTTATGGCTGCGAACATTTCGTTATTTTATGGCCAACGGGCGGAGGCTGCAGGCGCAGTGGAGCGCGAAGGTTGTAAATGGAAAACTGTATACATTTTCCGAGTGCCGGCGGAGCGGTCCATAAAATTGCCGCCGCTGCTGATGCTGCTGCTGTTGCACGCATCCTGACTAAGCGCAAAATCCGTTTTATGAGAATTGCCAGCTCTCTGGCAAGTTATCCTGCCAGCTCCTCCGGGTCATCCCCTCGACGTCCTGATGATGCCATAAGTGCCCAGGCGCGTCTCATAAAATGGCGGCTGTGCAATGGCATTGCAATGTGTGACGAGGGGTGGTGCTGGTGGTGTAATCGAGTTTTCCCAAAGTAGCAATAAATGTTAATGGCGACATCGAATTTTCCATTTTCTCGCCATAAGTATCAAGACGTCCGGTGCCAAGCCAGGCAGGCGGTGTTATTTCGCGGCAATGGCCATCTTTAATTCCATTTTGATGTTTCTTTTGGGGTGGGGGGAAATCAACCTTATAGAGAGAGTTCTTAAGAAAACAGTAGCTATCTCGATAGACAACTTCGCACATTGAACTCCAATGGAAACTGACCAACTGCCAAGATGTTTTGGCCCAAATGGAATCGCATTTTCGATGCCACATAGTTTTGAGATCGTAAATCACCGGCTAGAGGTCTCACAGATCTGGACTCGCAAGCAAATGCAAATCGGGCTAAATGTGTGATTTCCCCTTTAACACGGTCGGTCGGCACTTAACAAGAAACTGAGTTGCGGCTGAAGACGAACCTTAACCCAAACCCAAGCAGCCAAATTCTGGGGCACCGCGTTATCGGTTCCGGTGAGGGTTTGTCTTGTCACTTCTTTGACAAGCCGTCAAAATATTTGACTCGAAGTCGCCTTCCAAGGAGTGTGGGTGTCCAAGAGAGGTGCGTGACGGATTTCAATAGGTTTGTATTAGGGTAAGTTGTTCGGGGACTCTTCCTTGATGTCTAGAAAATCATGCAATAAGGAAATAGCTTAAACAGATAAGTCATTTGGTGCATAAAATTTAAAAAAATTAAACTTGTTGCTTGAAATTTGAGAGTGGTTTTTACTAAAAACTTTAATGAAAGAAGGAAAAGTTGGAAAAACTTGCATTTAAGCTTACAAAATGTAGTTTTGAAAAGTATAAATGCGTTGATTTTCAGAACCCTTTATTGCTATTTCCTCTAATGACAAATGTAGAACCACAAAATATGATCGCAAATCCTTTTTTTTACAAAACTACAGCAACAAAAGTTATTTTTTAACATAAAGAAAAGGTAAAAAAGGTTAAAGAATCTCGCATAAGAAGTTACTCAAAGTTTAATTGCAATATTTATATACTTTGAGGAAAGTTCTGTTTTAAAAGGATAAATCAAAAGCTTTCGAACGCTGACTAGTTCAGAGAACAAAAAATAGGATTTTTATATTTTTGGTAAGCCGCGAAGAAGTTTTACCACAATTATAAGACTTTAACGCACCCGCCTACCTTTTGTTCTTATTAAAAATCGCATGGAAGTGACTAGTGAGGGAACTTAAACAATTTGGATTAAGTCGTACGACTCTAGCACGCGTTGTTTGTGCAGCCACTTAGCGGTTTGTCTTAGCACCGGTTAAGGAAGTGTCCGCTGTTCGCCACACAAAGCTTGCAACACATTTCGCAGGTAAACACATGGCAAGGCGTCGAGTCGGCTCTTTGGACCGTGTCGATGGCGCTGTGTCCGGTACCGCTTTCTGTTCCCCTCCCTTACCCCCTCAACCAGTTGAAGAAGAAGAAAGGTCTGGAAAAGTGTCCGTTTTGTGTTTGGGACACAAACTGTGAGAGTTCTAGTCCCTTGCCTTTGTTGGCTTTCCTATTAGCACACATCCATGGTCAGTTAGATCGTCAGTAAGGTCACAGAATCCGGTCATATGTTGGTTGGCAGAAGGAGGAATTTTATTACGGGACTCACTTTCCATTTTCGATTTACAACTATTTTCACGTTCCCATAAATGTTGTTACAAGTCATTGCAGTCTTGGTAAGGGTTAGTGTAGTTTTTGGCTATAAGTTGCTTATGCAAAGAGGGAAATATTTTTGAGCCTAGAGAATGTACATATTCTAGGTTTTATTTATCAGAGGATTTTATATATATATAACTATGAAATGGATAAATTTGTTTATCAAATATATTTTTAAAGGCCTCGTTGCTTCTAAAAATCTAAAACACCTTTAGAATAATTTTTGAAAATTCCTACAAAAATCAAAAAAATAATAAAGATGTTAATTAAATCTTTAAAAAGTCAATACGCTCAAAGGTTAAAGTTAACTTTTTATGTATAATAAACAGAATACATTTTAGCTATGATGGGAAAAGTAGGAACATTTTCTTTCAGCAAAGAAAGAAATTCTTAAAGCTCTTCAGTAAGACCTCTATTGGTTTCTTCCAAACCTCAAAGATCTCTGCCATAATTACATTACAGATTAAGGACTTTCGGTTTCATTAAGGGTCAAATTTATTTCAGCAGGTCGTTCTCTCGTTCGTTGTCAGAGCGAATGCCCCTAGTATTAAGACCCCTAACTGCTGGGAAAGTAAATAAGAACCTGCGGCATGAGGCCGTCCACCCCCGAAAAGTTTGTCTTCATAAAACGGATTCTGCGCACGATAAAAATGCATCCGTCGATGGTGATTGATTTTCGACTTGGCACCGCTCTTATCCGTCTCTGTGTTTGTGGCCAAAAGTGACTGGTACTGTTTCTGTTTTTAGCAGGGCTCACTGCGCAGATACAGATACAGATACAAGTACAGATACAGATACAGATACAGATACAAGTACAGATATAGATACCGGAGACATTATATGGGGCGGGGGCGTGAACAGTCGGTGGTTGATTCCTGTCGCCGGCGAATTTATGTATCTGGAACGGAACGGAGCTGCAACCCCAATAAGGCCAAGAACCGAAATCGAAGAATATCGAATATTTGAGGGTGCGGGTGCGGTTCGACGGGCGAAAAAAAAAGAAGATATATGCCCGTCATATATCTAGGCAGTTCCCCATGCCGCTTTATTTATTTGTTTATCTACTATTTATGATCCAAAGAGCCGAAGTCGAAGTTTTTCTTAGACTCCCCCTCGTACGCCGTACGCTGCATTCGTCACGGTCGCCGTTGTTGCCGATTTTCCTATAGCCTTTAGTCTATAGGTATAACCATAGCCATAGCCATAGCCATAGCCTTATTGGCATTGCTCTGGGTGACTCTTGGCGTCGGCGTCGTACATATACATACATATATATAACCGAGTGTGTATATCGAATGGGTGTGCGAGTACAAGTGTGTGAGTGGGCCATGCGATTGCGATTCCTGGAAACTAACAGCGATTCACAGACAGCGGAGAACTCGCACACCATTCAGTTCACTCGATGACGCTCCGCACCTCGGACTCCAAAAGCCAAAACCAAAACCAAAAAAAAAACTAACACTTGGCCGCCGGCGTGCTCCGCTCTTTTCCCTCGAAAGTGTTAAAATAATAAACCAACAACAATAATAACAATAACAATAAGCAACGTTTACAACGCTAAGAACGGGAACTATAACACTGTAATTGACAGACTATTGGGCCACAAAACAAAGATTTAATGTGCAATTTTCATAAACACTCCCCGCCATAGCCAGACCCATTGACTGTGTGCTTTAAATTATAGCCATCATCAAATCGGAGACACATTAGCCAGCCCAGTTCGGTGGCAAATATCTCGCCGTTATCAATTATTCCACCTAATCGCCAATTTATAATATATAAATAGGGTTCTCGAATTACCATTGCATTCGGAGCCGACGGCAAGTGAGTGTTTCTATCAAATGATTATATTTTAACTCGATCTCTGGGCGATATTAGGTGAGTACTTTTTTTTTTTACTCTTTCATGGATGGGAAATAAACTTCTTAGAATTCAATTAGAATATCCAAAAACTACTTCAAAAACAAGTTGAGCAAATCGACTTCCGAAACACATTAAAATAGTTTCATTCTTTCCAACTTTTTGGGTTGATTTCCAGCAAAAAGCCGCTAAAGGTTTCTTTAGACATCTTAGAAATCGCAAGACTTGGCTTCTAATCATAAAACTAAGCACAAAAAATATATTGATGTCATAAAATAAATATATGTATTCTGCCTTTAAAGCTTATTTCATTATGAAAAGGAAAAACAAACCAATTTAGGATGACAGAGTGTAGCTTGTGCAGGGTGCAGCTTGTACTTACTAAGTTTGTTAGGTTTAGTATTTTAAAATAGATTTAATCTTAATCTTAAATAGTACAAAAATTGTCATAAATTTTTGAAAATATTTATAAATATCAATAAGTTATTAAAATCAGTGAAAACACAATTAGTGAGGTTTTAAGCTTTTAAAAAATGTGTAATTTAGCTTTTCGCTACTGAACAACCTATTTGAACTGAAACTGAGAAACAGGCTGCCTCTTAAATGGGTCTAGTTTGAAAAAGTATATTTATATCTTAAACAGTTAAAAGACAATAATTTCAGTTTTGAATGCTCTCTATTTAAGATTTAACAGTGAAAAAGCAAATATTCAAATCTATAATATTGTCATCTATCTGGATTAATTATGATCTATGGAAGATGAACAGGTCTTGGTCGTAAGACAACATTTCTAACAACATTGACCTTAAAAGTAAGACACCTACATACGAGTATATAGAAGACTGGTTTTTGAAATTGTTAGGAAGTGTTTGAACGGTAAACCATTTCATAAAGCTTAATATTAGTTAGCTAGGTCAGACTTCATTTGAAATAAAATATTTATATATACTTTTTAAAAGAGAATACCTTTCGAAAAGAAATGTTTAATTTTTAGTATTACTTTCTTTTT